CGTTTGCATGAATGAAAGGGTCAATGTATAATTACTTTATAGATCATCTAGGAACAGGCATGTATTGCTAGCTAACGGCCACTTTTATCCAAGTATCATTGTTGCGAGATCCACTGCATGGGAACGATGACCCTGCTCTAGACATTCATTTCCATAATTAAAGTAGGTTGATCCGAGCTGATTTGACTGAGCTGCGGTCAAAGAGAGATTACATCACTCTGGACATAAAGCACGCTCGATGTAGCTCAACCGATGTAACCTTGTGTGAGCGTAACTCAACCAAATCAGCTCGGATCAACCTACTTTAATCATGGAAATGAATGTCTAGAGCAGGAGCATCGTCCACCTACAATAGAATGCACAAAAGTTGGGAATGCACAAAAGTGGCTATTAGCTGCCAATGTATGACAAAAAGTGAGGGTTGCGTACCTTTCATGCATTGTCCCTGAAGTCCTGACTTTTTAGCTGAGTTACCCAAAGAGGTCCTTCTGCATCTTTGGCTCTCCAGAGTCTAGCTACTTGACAATGAACAAAGACCACTTCTCATATAGCATCACGCTTACAAACATAAAGGTGCCTGCATCTCCAAACTTTACAATGAAACGCGGGGTTTTGAATAGAGCAATGGGCTCGTCGGGGTCGAAGGAATCTTGTGTCAAAGTATGAAGTTCATCGTGGGTAATCCCAGATTTCGCAATGTCGCTACCAGCCAAACAGGATCTGGGGGTCGACCTCTTCGACAACGACGACCAAAAAATATTTTTTGGGCTGTTTGCGACATTGAACGTGAAACTTTCACACAAGGTGCTGTTGGCCAAGCCGAGCCCATTGCTCTATTCAAAACCCCACGTTTCATTGTCAAGGTTGGAGATACAGGCACGTTTATGTTTTACCTATGCTGTAAGCGTGATGGAGTTGCTTTTTCCTAGTGGATGGTGTCGGCTGCATTAACGGAAAGATGAAGAGCTGAGTGAAACGGCACGTGGTGGTTACACACATGCGCCCTTGACAGGTTACTGCAAAAATGGATGATGATTGTCTTTTAGAAGATACGTAAACAGCATCCAATAAAGAAAAAGGTATCTATATTATCAATGACAATGGATACATACATGTATGTTACGTTCTTGTATGTTTGATAGGTAGGGAACCACATGCGGGTTGCACAAATCCACGAGTCGATCTGCATAAGTTAGAGCGCACGGACCTGATAGACACCAATCCCGCCAGAGTAAAATGATGCACATCTTGATTACAAGGATCGTGTTCAGTGATCATTCTTATGGAGCTAAGAGTATATGATATTGTTGAGGATACGTATAAACAGTAATAGCTGTAGCAAGCGGGGTGGCATGGAGCCCACGAATTGGAGCGAACAGGAGGAACAAAGAGACCACTCTTCTTCACTTCCACATCACAAAAAAGGTAAGCTTGTCTCCATTTACAAACTACAACGCGCTAATTGCTGGCATTCCCTTACAATGCACAGCGTTCATTGGTGTGAACATGTGGTCAATGGCGACACTTTCCTGCTGCAGACATTCAGCAACAAGTACGCGCGCGATCTGCCCATGACTCAAGCTTCCATTGCAATACAACATGTACGTTCCATCGCTGCATTACTTTATTGTTCAAGTTGCACAATGTGGTTCTAAAGCTCACGTGTAGCTTGCTGTTCTCTCGTTTATACAAGATCCAAAGGGGGCGTCGTGTGTCGTGTGTATGCTTTTCATGCTTGCCATCAAGGAGAGATCCCAACACATTGTTACTTTGGGTATGTCGACATGAAAAGCGAATGCTATCCTTGTTACCTTACATTGCATTTACTGTAGCTTGAATACGTTGGACGATGGTACCTCTGACAGCAACAAGACATTGATATCAGAGCAAGAATGCTGTATGGTTGGCTCAATGGTATGCATGGCATTGGATCTACAAAGCAAACCCTGTTAACTAACGAGCCTTACAATGAAACAGCACCAGCATCTACTGGATGGCATGGATATACGGTTTTATTTGAGGCAAAGATGCTATTGAGAAATACCACAAGGTAAGAGGATCATTGTGGGATTGGTTGGATTCAAGTGGACTTACCAAACACCATACAGTGGCAGAGCCTCTTTCGGCGATACTATTATTATCACGGCTGCACGTCAAGGATGTCATTGTATAGTACTGTGCTCTCCTGGGGAATTTTGGCCCGGAAACAGTGTGACTCAAGATGCGATGGCATGGCCAAATTGAAAAGGCATCCGCTGTGCACACGGCCTCCATCCAAGTACGGCTATTGATTTCCTTGCCTACAGAGAGAAGGTGGATATCTCTTATGATGCCAATTTCAGGATCCAATGAGAGTATGGTACATATGGTGGCATACCTTGGCGCTGCAGGTTGATTATTGTATTGCCTTCGGATGGTGTATTTGGTTGCAATTCCTTGTGATCATCATGGTTCAGGGCGTCGTGTGCCTTCCTTACCGGGTTGTCCACGATGAGAGTTCTCAAGACGTCTTCACATTGCCTCTTTTGGGTATGCTGACAACAAAAGCGTGTGGATTGGGTTTGCTTCTTATCTCACATTGCGTTTATGGTAGGTGAACATGTTGGATGATGGTGCCTCTGGAAGCGACAAGATACGGATCTCAAAGCAAGAATGCTGTATGGTTGGCTCAATGGTATGCGTGGTATTGGATCTACAAAGTGGAACCTGTTAATTAACGAGACTTACAGTGAAACAGCAGCAAGACAATATGGATGACATGGAGATACGGCTTTATTTGAGGCAATGATGCTATTTAGAATACCACAAGGTAAGAGTGATCATTATGATGGGATTGTTTGGATTCAAGTGAACTTACCAAACGCCATACAGTGGCAGAGCCTCTTTCGGCGATACTATTATTATCACGGCTGCACGTCAAGGATGTCATTGTATAGTACTGTGCTCTCCTGGGGAATTTTGGCCCGGAAACAGTGTGACTCAAGATGCGATGGCAAGGCCAATTTGAAAAGGCATCCGCTGTGCACACGGCCTCCATCCAAGTACGGCTATTGATTTCCTTGCCTACAGAGAGAAGGTGGATATCTCTTATGATGCCAATTTCAGGATCCAATGAGAGTATAGTACATATGGTGGCATACCTTGACGCTGCAGGTTGATTATTGTATTGCCTTCGGATGGTGTATTTGGTTGCAATACCTTGTGATCACCATGGCTCAGGTATGTAGGACTCTCGTGCTTTTTGGAGACCTTTGCTGAAACGCCTACCATTATTTAGAGGGACTATTGCAGAGAGCTGCTTGTCTTTTGGTGCTTTGACGTTTACAAGATCACAGCTATGATATTGTTGGATGACTTGGGACAATTGTTTATGGTGCATCTTTTATAGATGAATCATGTCAGCCATGGGGAAGCGTTTATGTCTTTTGGTGGTGTCAACCTTTATTGCATCTCGGGTGGTTGGTTACCAAGCAACGGGCGATTTCTCTGAAAAGTGTCCGCCAATGCAAGTCTCTTGTGAGTGGATTGTATCAGCAACAAGTAACAGCATCCATATCGTTGGTTCCATATCAAGCTTTATCCCATCATCTGGTTTTCTCGTTATCGCCAATTCGGTGGGAATCCTGAAATGAAGGTCTCTTATCGATTGGTCACATCAGCAACAAGGAACAACTTGTATATCTTTGGTATCAGCAAGCTTTCTATCTCTTGGTGGTTCTGGTTATTGGCGATTCCTTTGGTGCGCGGCTGCTATTAAACGCCTCTTGTGGATGGATCATGTCAACAACAAGCAATGAGCGTCCGCGTTGACATCTTTGGTGTTACCAAGGTCATTTATGCATCTCCTCAAGGCATTCATCGTCAAGCTGCATTCGATTTCCAATGAAAAACGATTGCCATTCACATCGCTCTTTAGCCATATGTACGTCACTCCGCAGCTAGGATCTGGTTTGGGCTTTTCGATGCACAATGCTTTCTCGATTTGCATGTGGTCTTGGGCAGCAAGGATTGTCTCGTTGTCTCTCTTTGTAAGGGCTCTTCGGCATCATGTAAGTATGCTTTCTTTGGTGGTATCAATATTACTCAACCTTCTCACTGCATATGCCCATAAAGTATCGTTCCATCGCTTTCAAGCCGAGGGCCACCGTAGCGGGCCTTATCAACAAGCGGACGATTGCAAAGAATCGGCTTGATTTGGATATCAGCAGGATTTCGTGCATATGGCTATCATTGGTAAATAGAGGATGATCCATTTTTTGGCTCCAATCCCAACCAACATCCTCTTTTATTATAGTATGTGGGATATTCATCAAGCTGCATGTCTTCTGGTGCATTGGGATTTCTATGGATGCAGCTGTCATTGGATGCCGACATGTTGACGTGCATATGGCAATCATTGGTAAATGATGATCAATTCGTTTCTACAACGCCTGCCAACCTCCTCTTTTATTACAGTATGTGGGATATTCAGCAAGCTACTTGTCTTCTGGTGCATTGGGATTATCATGGATGAAGCTGTCATTGGTAAATAGTGATCCATTCTTTCTTTCAACGCCTACTAACACCCTCTTTCACGTGGGTTATTCAGCGAGCTACTTGTCTTGTGACCTTTGGATTCTTGATGGATGCAGCTATCATTTGATGTCGACAGGGTTTCATTACATGGCTACCATTGGTAATTGATGATCCATTCGTTTCTACAACGCCTGCTAACCTCCGCTTTTATCATAGCATGTGGGCTATTCAGCAAGCTATTTGTCATGGTAGAACATAAAGGGATGGGTATATTGGAAAAGGTGAGATAGAAAGGATCCATTGCATGTTATGCATAGCGTTGCACATACAAAGATGGCTGAAGATGTAGTGCAAATGGCGAATGGGTTTGATTGGATTAGATTCGCTTTGGCTGGTTACCCAGGGATCATTCTTTCTTTCGCTCCGTGCACACGCCAACCAAGCGATCGTGACACACCCCTTGATCAGCTTTGCATGTCACAAGAATGGACACGTTCATAGACTCTGATAATACGCTCGATACAGGTATGCATTGTCCTTTTATAGTTGTCACTTTTCCATGTCGCCAACACCTCCATTGCTGCATTCGCTCTTCCATCGTTTCAAAGGCAATATCTCCAAAGTGAGTGGTGCCAAACCACTGCACCCGACTCGTTGCGCGCATACCATTTCCCAGGACAACAACTCTGTGCTCTCTCTCGCTTGTAATCAACGCTACTTGTTTAGTGGAAGCCAAAGTTCAAACATCCATGTACGTATTCTTCACCAACAACGCAGCATGACACGGACACCTTATATGCTCTTTGTAGGTATGGCATCTACAAGACTTTTCACTCGTTACTACGCTCCAAGGTCATAGGGGAAGTGTCCTGGCTTTGACAGTATCCAAAGATCAACGTTGGTTGTTTAGTTCTTCAGGTACATTTTTCATCGTGAAACAATGACATCATGCTGATTCACTCTTGTGGGTATGTCTGCATATAGGTGATGGAACCGTACGGGTAAGCATGATAACGTACCTGCATGTATATTACATCCATGGCTGATGTCGGTGAATAGGTATGGGATACCGAGAAACTCGTTTGCACGCATCTCATCCAATCCTGTCATGACGTGGGCGATATCTTTTCCATGGTGTACATTGACTCTTCCAATACGCTCTATTTCGGCAACCAAAACACCAGCATTCAATGGTACGATTTCAGCGATCCACAATCCCAAGGCAAAGCGGGTGAAGTACCGGTGATACCTATGAATCCTCGAAGTTCGACCTACCAAAAATCAAAGTTCTTTGAATCGCCTTCCTATGAAGATTTGGTGGAAGAGGTGGATCGATTTCCTGGTGAAGAGAATGTTATCAAATGCGTGATCCGAGAAAAGAACGTATGCTCCAACGCACACAATGGCTATGTCTATTGTCTTTTGCATGCCGTGGATATTCCCAATGTGGATGGCGAGGTTATTTTTAGCAGTAGGTTAATGTGTGGATGCTGTGGCAAATAGGATGCTAATCATGGGTGATATAGGTTCAGGTGATGGGGATGTCAAGGTATGCAAGCATCGTGATGGCGAATGATGTCATCGTATTGACGGTTATTGATATACTAGATCTGGTCGGTCCAAGAATCAGGATTGCAACTGCTCAACGTCTTGACAGGGGATATCGATAAGGGTGTATTGAGCATGGCTCTTTCAGAGGATGGTTATTTATTTTGTGGTGTACAAGGAGGCGATGTCCAAGTAAGTTATAGGTCTCTTATTGGATGATGCAGGATCAGATGCTCACCATGGATGATAGATCTGGGATCTTGAAACGGTACAACACTCCAACACCATCACCAATGGATTTGTTCGCTGATTTTATTTTCATTACACAGAACCAAATGATTCGGTCGTTGATGGCACATTCAGTAAGTGAGAAAGGATGTCAAATGGGACAACATTCTAATGATTTTTAAAGGATGATGTCCTTGCAGTAGCTCTAAAGGGTCCTCATCTTGTGAGCGCTTCGGCTGACGGCACCATCAAGGTAATGTCTCCAACAAGTCTGAAACTCTACTCATATTAACACAAAGAACAATGTAGATATGGAGCGAAGAATTTGAATTTGTTGAATGCATGGATGACCACAGCGGCATTATTTTATCGATGATTTGTTCGCCAGAATACTTGATCACAGGAAGCAGCGATCACACAATCAAGGTATCATAGGAGAGAGAGAGGGAGCGGTCGATTGAGGGAGTGGTCGCCTTACTCGTGACATTACTTAGTTTTGGGATATGCCATCACCTGCCAACATATACGAGCCTTTTAGACGAAACAGTGTCATGACGGATGTACCTTCCAGTGGTAAGCTCAGCGAACTAGAGGAAATCGTCCACTCGATATTGACATCAAAAAGACACCCTTTTGTATGTTCTTGACAAATGGATTGCTACGCGCACAATTAGTGGTAATCACAAATACAAGGAAGAATGTCGTCGTGGAGCTCGTTTTCTCAAGAATGTGTTACAGCAGCTTGGTGCCACTAGCCGGATGGTTTGTGTCATAGGAAACGATTGTGACAGGTTGCATTTATGCTAACTTTGTATATCAGATCCCTGGTGCTCCTGGTCGCAACCCATTGGTCTATGGTCGCTTTTCAGCACGGCGCTCAAGCAATGTTGGAGTAAAGAAGATCCCCACCGTGTTGGTGTACGGCCATTATGATGTGATCTTTGCCCAAAATGATGATAATCAATGGCTCACGGACCCATTCAAGCTAACGGGACGCGATGGATATCTTTATGGCAGAGGTACCAGTGACAACAAGGTAACACGTGATCCTATATTGGGCGTGTGGGTCATTTTATTAACATGGCATATCGTTTACAGGGCCCTGTGCTTTCTAGTATCTTTGCTGTTTACGAGTTGCTCAAGGAAGGTCTTTTGGATGTCAATGTCATTTTCCTTGTCGAAGGAGAAGAAGAAAGTGGCAGTGTTGGTTTCGTAGATGCTGTAGAGCAACACAAGGCAGGTACAACTCTGAAGGGCAAAAGCATTGTCATCTAACGTATGCATCAAACGCCTATAGGAATTGTTCTCTAATGTTGATATGATCCTCCTGAGGTAAGATTGCTTGCTATATACAAGAGGATGAATGATACTTAAGCAGCTTTTTAGTAACTCGTACTGGTTGGGTGAAGATGTTCCTTGTTTGACATATGGCTTGAGAGGCGTTATCCACGCAAGCATTGAAGTTTCCAACAAGTTGGCTGATTTGCATTCGGGTGTTGAAGGTGGTGCGGTATCCGAGCCACTTATCGATCTCATTCACGTGACCAGCAAGCTTGTGGACAGCGAAAAGAACGTGCTCATTCCAGGTAAAATGATAAACCCCATAATTTGTGAATATCCTTGTATTCAACAAGTATTGTAATAGGTTTTTACGAGAATGTGAGTGCAGTGACTGAAGCAGAAGAAAAGCTGTATGATCCTATCGTGGAATGGCTTCAAACGTAAGTAATTTTCTTCAAGATGTATGTGTGTCTTCTCTTACTGATGACCCGACATAGATCCGAAACGGCACAATCCCATACTCGAATGCAGCATTCCGCAATTACATCACCTACACTTTCGGATCGATCAAGGGCTAGCAACGATTCTAATCATTGTCAACAAGAAAAGTCGCATCCTCACCGCCACCATCGTTCACCATCATCATCGGATACCCCGCCACAGCAAATGGATAAGGATAAGCTCAAAAAGCAATTGATGGCACGATGGCGATACCCGACTTTGTCTGTGCACAAGATTGATGTGTCCTTCAGCAACCCAACCATTATCCCACGTTGCGCCAAGGCCTTTGTCAGCATGCGCGTGGTACCTGATCAGACCATTGCTGATATCAGTTCCAAATTTGAGAGCCATGTGTGTCGCGTGTTTTCGGATCTTCAATCCGATAATGTCATCTCGGTAAGTGAAATGGCTAAAGTACAATGGATGGATGAGGGAGGCTAATAGGATGATTGAATAGGTACGAATTGAGAGCTCGGCTGAGTATTGGCTAGGCAATCCCGAGGGAGCTTATTTCAAGGCTGTGGAACGAGCCATTGAGAAGGAGTGGGATATGAAGCCATTGTATATTCGTGAAGGTGGATCCATCCCAGCTGTTCGATTCCTTGAGAAGTTCTGTAATGCTCCTGCAGTACATTTACCCATGGGCCAGGTAATAAAAGGGAAAGGAGAGGATAATGAGGAGGGGTTTGTGGAAAGGGATGTTGTGATGATCGCTGACGTGCATATCTATCGACCAACCAAGGCATCGGATCAAGCCCATTTGCACAATGAACGGATACGTTTACGCAATCTCAATGCAGGTCGTCGCATTATCAAGACTTTGTTGCAGGATTTGGGTAGAAATGATTTGTTATCGCACCAATAGATTTGTTCAATGAAACCATTATGTGGGAGGAGCGATGCTTTATTGGATCATTTTGAACGCACTGACCATTTTCATGCGTGTCACCATGGAGGGAAATAAAAAAAGGGCCCTTGTCATGCAAACAAATCTGCAAGTAAATGCATGGAATGAGGATGTGCAAATTAACAAAGAAAAGGCGTATGTACCATTTAAGTGATCAAGTCATAAAAAAAGTATCTACCAAAAGAAAGAAAGTGCAAAGAACAAGAAAAGGAGCATAAGGGTCATATGATAAAAAAGTGAACTACGTGAGAGTGGAAATACAAAAGGGTGTTGTGTACAATGAAAAAAGGGACGTTTGCATATATGCATGACTACAATAACTGAGAGCAAGTATAGATAAATGAGGAGGGCCGGTGAAAAGAAAATTCACAGCAGCGAAGCATAGTTGCTGCTGTTGATGGCCAAATGAATGGATGTGTAAAACGAGTGGCAGATGGAACCATGTTGATGCTGTAAGCCATTATTGGGCTGATTGAGTGGTTTCAAGTTGATGCATCATTGTTGTTGTCGTTGTTGTTGTTGTTGTTGTTGAGCTGTTGTTCAAGTTGATAGATACGCTGATCACGTTGCTCAATGTTGGATTTGAGCAATGAAATGTATTCGTATGCATATTTGAGAAGTAACACTTTGGAAAGTGGTTTGCTCTCTTCATCACCTTTGGATGATTCGCCATCATCAACAGGCGGCGCTGGAGGTGTCACGTTCTTTTTCACATAGCCTTCATCGACTTCACGTCGTAAACGATCAAACCACTCTTTGAGCGAATCACGTCGTTTTTGCTCAGCAGCCTTGTGAGCTGTACGACGAATCTCGAGACCACTTTTGATGGTGGATGAAAATGCAATACCCAAAGCAGCAGCCTTGCCTTCCATAAGGTTTTGATAATTGGATCGCGTAGCCAACATACGCTCAGCATCGGCAGGCACAGCAACAGGTCCTGGTCTCATTGTCGGGCTAATAAGAAGAGGTTTAAGAGCACGAGGTGATGATGCATGTTCTTGTTGCTGATTTTGTTGTGCTGGGGCAATACGACGTGATCGTTTATTGCTACCACTTGTTGGTGATGACCTTGTAGATGATGTGGTTGACGAAGTTGTTGGCGGTGCACTACTGACAGGCATCAATGGTGGTGGTACAGCAGCGGGTGTTTGAGGAGTTGATACTGCTGGTGGTACCTGAACTGGCATTGATGGTTCATGTTGTTGCCCATTTGGATGCGACTTGATATTCATCAATGATGATGGTGTCACAGGTTCAATGCAAGGCGATCCTGCTGGTGACAAGGGTACTTTGGCCGATGATGATGATGGTGGTTGTCGTGGTTGTGGTGGACGTGTTGACAGCGGATGATGGTGTTGTTGAGCATGGTGAAATTGCTGCTGTTGTAAATGATGCGTTTGTAGCTGCTGCTGCTGTTGTTGTTGTTGAGCTTTTAAAGGAAAGATAAAGTACGTGTGAGATAAACTAAAGCATGCAACAAGTGTGTGTGTGAAATACTCACGAATAGCTTCCTCTCGAGGGCGCTTTCGCTGTAACTCGGACAAGCGGCGTGTGATCATCATTTTAGCACGTTCCAGTTGTTCGTATTGCTCGTAGATTTGACCAGGTGTCATGTCTCCAGAAGGCTGTGGCATGATGGCAGGTGACGTTAGTGGTGAAAAATCAACATCCTGTTGTTGATGCTGTTGTTGTTGATGATGCTGATATTGTTGGTGAGGATGATGAGGAGCATGAACGCTCTGGTGATGAGGTTGGTAACTCATTGACGGTGTCATGGCAGGTGATATCAGGGGAGTAAAAATATCCTATTGTATCGTTCGTGCAATGTGGATTTGTATATGTAAATTCAGGTTGTTCCAAAAATGCGTGTATGTTTCAAACGTACATCTTCAAGAAAATACTTTTGTTGATCGGGCGGAAGCGATGCCATCAAACTATCCAGGCCTTCTGCAGTGGATGTAGATAGTAAAGTGGTATCCAAGCTGCCGTCATTCATTGAGCGAAGCATCGTATCAAGGGATGATAGATCCATGATTCCCAATCCAACATAAGCAACTATAGCTTAATGCGGTATATGATGCGAGTAGAAAAAGGACGACGTGTCGACCACGAAAAGGAGGGGATGAGAGAAGAAAAAGAGAGAAAGCAAGAAGAAACGATTTAAGAAGTACGAGCTCAACCAGACCGGAAAGGGAGCAGATGGTAGCGAGAAAATGAGTGAGTGGTTGGTTTGTATGATGGGGGGTGAGGATGATGATGATAGTGATGGAGGGGTAATAAAAGAAGATCCTCATCGCCATCCATAGCAAGGGCCCCCAAGTGCACCAATGTGGCTGCCCTGACACACTGCTTGCAGTCAAATCAGTTGCCACAGGCTCACAACGTGGGCATTATATCCTGCAATGAGCGGTTATCCTTTGGGGGTTGCACAAGAGGAATGCCGCATCCCCCATTTTAAAGTCACGGCTCGGTTCACCATCACCTCTTCAAACCTTTGCCAATGACAACACCTGCCCTGTGCTTTTAGCCTTTTTCATTGGTTGTCGTGCTTCGTTTCTCCTGCTAGCCCTCTCCCCTTTCCCCTTTTGACACACACACACACACACTCACACACAGTGCTTCCTTGGACCCTTTTACATACACAAACAATCATCTCGTCGCCGCGTTAATTCCTACATCTTGGCCCGTGACGCAAACCCACATCCCCATCGTTCATATTCTGAGAACATGAGTTGCTCGATATTACATAGTTATCATCTACAAGCTATCAACCCACCCACACACCTTTCATCAGCCAACCAATGCTATGTTAAATGAACATCATTGACAAGAAGACATGCATACATAGATTGTGGATGCAGCACAAAAATGATCCTATTCGCCGACACGATCGCTGCTCACGTGGGAGCCTTGAACACAAGGCACATGAAAAAGACACTTTTAGCCGGAGTGATCGGTATCAACAACACGTTCTTAATGAGACAAATGGTCTTGAAACATTAACTATCCTGATTCCTCCTCCACGTCTATGATGACAATGACAGCTGCCAAAAATGCCAATATGGACAAATAAGTACATGACGGAGAGAGCGATGTTGTCATATATCGACGTATGTAGCACATAGATTTGACAGTGCAATTTCCATCTCCACGTTTACCAAAACCAATCATTGGGGAACGTTTGACATGCTGCATACTCAAAAGGTCGTTTTTTCTTTTCGTCAGCCCTTATCATGCTGTGGATCGTTTTCGTATACAGCATCGTGCATATGATAGCCTTAAAACCGCATGATTGTAGTGCGCATAATGCATGATAATATGGTTATCCTTAATGACCCTCACGTCAGTAGTCATAGTACTACTCACTACTCATGGCAATCCTATTCTCATCGGCACTTTGTTCCGTAAATCCAATCTCAACTTTTCTTTGTGTACCAATACAAGCATCGAAAACCAGTGAGCGCATCCGCCATATGATGGTACCAGAAGAAAATGATGCTCCTGTTATATAATATTGGGTGACTTGGCGGTGTTTCTCACTTTTATGTTTGAATCAAAACGTGCTACAAAAGAGAAAGAAGACCGGACGTATGCTAAATGGCTTACCCCGAGTTGGGGCAACCAGCATGCGGGATCAAGTGCGTGCACAGGACAAGTAAGAGTGATTGGATCACATGCAATATGTCATGCATAAACGACCAAAAGCGTGTCAAGGGTATTCAACCATGATTTCAAAACATGGGTTTTATTATCGCTCGCCATCACAAGAATTTACAATTTCCTAGAATGAAACACCTCTTTTCAAGTATTCAACCGTAACCATGGCAACCGGTACAATTCATGGATGGATTGCTTCAGCTAAAGGTATGAGAGGCGTAGTGATGGCAACATGCATCTCTAATACACCATCCAACAACCTTCCTTGTTATAGACAAGCCCTTGGAATGGGGTGAGCAACCACGAAAAACCTTTGATGACGATACAGTCGAAATGGATATCACGCATTGTGGCATTTGTGCTTCTGATTTATTCACTCTCGATTCTGGATGGGGGAAAACCGATTATCCAACCATCGTAGGACATGAGGTATGTGCGTGTAAGGCATTGGGTGTATGGAATTTGACCTCGATTTAGATTGCTGGCATAGTCACCAAAGTGGGCAACAATGTCAAGAACGTAAAGGTCGGTGATAGAGCTGGTGTTGGGGCCCAGTGCATGTCATGTCTTCAATGCTATGCTTGTCAACATCATGAAGAAAACATTTGCGAGAATGGTGTGATAGGAACATACAATGGCCGTTGGCCTAAAACCAATGAAAGGACATATGGTGGCTATGCAGATGTTTGGAGTGGACATTATAACTTTGTATTCAAGATCCCAGACAGCCTTCCCAACGAAGTTGCTGCCACGTTCTTTTGTGCAGGAATTACTACATACGCACCCATGAAACGCCACGGCATCAATTCAGATTCCACCGTTGGTGTCATCGGTATTGGTAGGTGTTGTTGTCGATCACATACATATGCAAGCCCATGCTAAACATTGATGCATTGATATAGGTGGTTTGGGTCATTATGCGGCAAGTAGAAATGGCATCAATAATATCAATTCATTGTTGTTGTTGCTCATAGTTGAACTTTTTATAGACACAATGGGGCAATGCTATGGGTGCCAAAGTAATCGCATTATCGCACTCAGACCGTAAACGAGGTGATGCCGAAAAACTTGGATGCCATGATTATGTCGTAACCGAGGATGAGACCTCCATGTCAAAAATCAAGAACAAGCTCACGCACATTATTTGTACAAGCTTTGGAACCGAAAATTTCGATTGGGGCAAATACCTTGGATTGCTTAAACCTGGTGGTGTATTCATTATGGTGGCTGTTCCTGATAAGCCCTTCACAAACATTCCACCTGGTGCTTTGGTGGGTCGTCAAATTACGCTTGCCGGGTCAGTGGTTGGTAGCCCTGATACGATCCGGGAAATGCTTGCCTTTGCAGCAGAAAAAGGTGTAAAGCCTTGGATCGAAAAACGCCCCATGAAGCAGTGCCCAGAAACTGTGCAAGCCATGCGCGATGGAAAAGCTCGCTACCGCTTTGTGCTTGAAAATTGAATGGATCGAGATGTCCTTTAAGTATACAAATCATTTGTTTACATAGCACTTTGTAAAGTAAAACGCATTGAGACCTTTTCATTCTTCAAGGATATTGAGTGGTGGTTTATAATTGTTGGTATTCAATGGGAAAAGCTAGCCAAAGTGTCACTCTTGTCTATCTCTAAGCTGATGTCAAAGGCTTGATGTACTTTTCATGGTATGAAGGGACGCCAGTGCTATTGGGCGCCATCAACAAGGTATCAAAGTAGGCTATGTAAAACGAAACATCTCATTAGAGCAATGAAAAGGTGAGGTATAGCAGTACTTACGCTCATAAATGTTGCCGTCATATTTTCCAATTGGGGCCTTAATAATGAAGTCTGGATAACCCCACGCATCCGTCAACCCGATCACTTGTTTTCTTAAGCTCTTGCATTCTTGAAGATAAAGGCGTTCCAATGACTTGAGCTGTGATGCAGTCAAATAGTTTTCCTTGAATGCTTGGTCGCTGTAGGTGATCAGGGTATGGAATCCCCACAGGGCTGTGAGACGACGAAGGATGGCAAGGGGATCATCATTGCGCTTGTTGGCATACTTTGTCACGGCATCCGAGTAAAGGAAAGTAGCACCATGCAATTCTGCTGCTCGCACAGATTCCAATAAAAGATCATTTGAAGACATGTTCTTCTCATCCAAACGAATGCTGTTGAGCTATGTATAAAGAGAACCCAATTAATTGCCATTCATGGATTCCGCATTCAAATACTTACTCGCTTGACCAAAATGGTATGTAAAGCGTCCTCAATCAATCCAAGATCCTCAAAGCACTTTGATACATCTTGCACACCCCATGTCTTACTTTCAAGATACTCCTTGGCATTCTGGATGTAATGAGTGGATGCTTTGAACAAGAGCTGTGGGTGCTTATCATGCTCCAACTTTTGTTGTAATTGCTGAATCAAGATCTTAGCGGTTTGCTGCATCAAGACGACATTATCACCTCCACCCGTAGTTGTCACTCCCCAGTCATCAATGATTTGTCCAATGTTGTTATAAGCCGAGTATGCGTGACCACCACAAGCACGACGACATGTCTCCAAAATATCGGATCCGTACCAACCGGAAATGCCTTTGAGTGCTGCCGATATGGCGTGCATTTCGGACATGTGTTGCATATACACCTTGGGATTCATTTCACCATCAGCTGTGAGCACCTTGAAACGTTCGTCCAAAGTACGTGTAGCTGACTTGACCATGTACATGAATGAAATGGCTGGCACAAGTTTGGCATAATGTGATTGATAATCCATGATTTGTTGATTGTTTTGCTGACGACGTACAACACCATAACGTGTAGCGATAATCACGGCTTGTGTGAGCATCATGACATTGTTGCTGACCAAATAAATACGTTCAGGAATCAAGGTTGCGTACATGATGGCGGGTGAAGGTGCAGGAGTGTAAGTGCCAGTAGCTGGATCGAGATTGACAAAGCGAGACAACATGCGATCACGTGGAATTCGCACGTGAGAAAACTAAATCCATCTAGGTTAGGATACTCCTTGGTGCCTGGCAACTCTCTTTAAGCCTACCTGGATGAAGCCGTTATCCAAGCCTGGACGACCCACTTTATGTCCAATATCACCAGCTCGTACGTTGGGCATCAATTCACCAGTAGTCGTATCACGAAGTTGAACAATAAACCAATTGTGTCCCACGTTCTTGCCACCAACATATGTTTGTGCAATCACCATCGTGTGCGTAGCTGTTTGACCTGCCATGCCAATCCACCATTTTGTTGACGTGATCGTAGGTGAATTAAGAACAAAGGTATCAGTCGCTTGATCATATGTTGAAGTTGTCTCGATATCTCGCAAAGCCGAACTATGTCCAAGCTCAGTCTGTATATAAAAAAATAGAGTTTAGAGTAGCGTTAAGGGGGAATATTAGCACACCCTTACCATGGCAAAGCATCCCAAGATACGATAACTTTCAACAAGCGGCAACCACGTCTTTTGTTGTTCATCGGTTGCAAGCATCAATAACACATTTCGGAAGAGTGTTCTGTGCACTGCGATCCTCATGCCAAAGTTCTCCGAGTACAACAAAAGAGCATTCACCACAGCATCCACGAGGTTGGGGTCCATCTTTGGATCTTGCATGATTTTGACAAGGCGGTATATCTGGCCCATGGTGCTAGTAGATATCTCTCGGTTAAGACATTACCAAATACTATCCACATCACCGAATCACTTACAATTCTCGAGCTTCCGGACGTGTCATTTCCAAATAGTTGCGAGGTGGTTGGACAACAAGTTCGGGATCATTCTTGATTAGCTCGTAAGCTTGTTGCTTTTTTCGATAGATTAGTTGATGATGATGATGATGATGATGATCGATCAATACATTACCATCAATCGGTATTGTTGTTCATCGCCCGCCCAATAATAGGCCAAGTTGTCAATATTGAAATCAGCGGCTGCACGTTCACCGGCCATGTCTTTGGGTGCTTGCAATGACATGGATGATGGTGTCATAGTAAGTTGTTGCTTCAACTGGGCAAGCCTTTCGGCAGCTGCTCGAGCATTGGGTGCCTTGGATTGGTCGATAGGTATCGTCATGAGAACAACAGCGTCAAGAAAAGAGCGTGAACCATCCTCGCTGCATTATAATAGCGGTTTTAGTTTGAACATTATGTCAGCTTGGAAAACTCTATTAAGGTAGGCACGTACCCTTTGTCAAGTAGTAGACTACCCCAAACTTTTGCTTCGACACGTGTTTACAAGAGGGTTGTCACTTTTGAAGCTTGTACATCCTTCGATGGTTGCATAAATGGTCGAACAAGGCGATGGACTTCGCATTGTGCAGGTCGTGTTGGGAGAGCATGTCAACGTCAACAGAATTATCGCGTGATTGGTTGTCAAGATTACAGGGAATCCAGAAGGGACATGGAGACACGAGGAATAGATACGAAAGAGGAAGAGTGAATTGAAAAATGTATCGGGCAGATCGGGTACCATAAATGTGTGTGTGTGCGCCCTCTCTTTGAAATGTGATGATCGCCCGAGTCATACATAAAGGAACAAACCGATAAGAACGATATGGGGAAGTGTGTGAAAGAGTTGTATAGAGTAATTAAAAGGAATGCATGAACACGAGCAATAGTGGTAATAGAATGGATGTGGGGTTGAGTGTTCTTTATTCTCTCTATTACAAATACCAAGCTTGACCAAACCAATGCAACTTCTCCTGATCAACATCTATACACAAGCATGCAGTCGATCTATACCTTTCGCCCCAGCCCCTTATGAAATGAACAAACACACACAAGTGCCGCCAACGTAGTACCACGATGTATGTGGGCGTAATCAGACTGCTGGTGCAGGTGATGGATATGCTTTTGAAGGCTGTATCACCCTGAATGAAAAACGTGGCCTTAAGAGTGTTATTACTCCTATGTTTGATCCATTACAATCCCTCGCAATATATTACAAGTGAGGAATGAGCAAGGTCAATAACGAGAATTCCCGGGACCAATGGATGCAATAAAGGAAAAGTGTATACTTTCGCGTGGTGATACAAGTAGAGAAGGTCGCGACAATCTGGTCTGGGTTCACCCCGATTGGAAAATAATGGTGGGTATGTTTCTCTACATTGATGCTTTTTTCTTTGTTTGCTTCCCTTTCCTTTCCTTTCTCTTTTACTTTCTTTTCTTTGCCGTAATGGGGTTATTGAAATTAAGCAGCATATACAAGTCGCGTAAAAATACTAAAGAATCTACCACCACTACTTCGCCTTCAGTCCCACTGGATCGCTCGGCACCACCAACCAAATTAGAGCCATTGAAGCTATCATTGGACTTTGAATCATCTTCTACTCCTGTGTTCAATACCACTACAACTGCTACTACTACTTCTACTTCCACTTTTGATGCTCCTGCTGTATCATCATCCATTCAACAGCAACCTGCCACAACAACAACCAACATCACCACGACAACAAATGTATCCACGGCAACAGTCCCCGCTGGTACGGGTGGCACATTGTTTGACGACATCCTATCCGAATTGAATAGCCCCAAACCTGCTGCAAACCAGCAATCAGGTAAAGCAAAAATAGCGTTATTATTGTATTTCGTATCGAGAGATTAATTAAACAATGATGGCTGGTAGATGACTTGGGCGGTGACTTATCATTGTATCTTGCCCTGTCACAGCAATTGGAGCAGCCAACATCATCTTCCGCTACGCCATCGTTACCTACGAGCACAAGCACTCCCAAATTAGGCAATGGACCGACCACTACCGCTGCACAAAATGGCAGAAGTAAACCATCGGATCTCTTTGGCTCGGATAGCATTTACAGCAATTATTTAGCCAATTTGCGGCTTGACGATGAATCTCCCTCCATGTTTGCATCCATGATGAATGGTAACAAGTCAACAACAACGTCATCCATGATCAAGTCTCCTTCTGCACCTGTCATTGCACACCACAACGATAAGCCCACTCCTCCTATTGCAGCTCCTGTTACCACCCAAGTGGTGTTGGATTCAGATGTATCCGATTCAGAAGAATCTAACAAAAAAGAATCGAGCGATGAAGAGGATAATGGCAACCCTGTGAATGCAAGAAAAGGAATGCAACCCATTATGGAACGACGTGGTAATGATCATCGATTAATGGTGAAACGTAAAGTGGACAATTGGGCAAATCGAGTGGATCCAGAAGCTGAGCTTGTAGAGCTGAATGAAACGATGATTGAACGCATGAAAGACCGCCATAGACAACAATACAAGGTGGCAGCCATGCGCCAACAACAGCAACAACAGCAACAGCAAATGATGAATGGTTACACAACAATGGCTCCAACACCACCCATAATGCAATCACCCACAGCAGCACCAACTATGATGCCACCAATGATGCCAACTCCTCCTGGCATGGCTCAACTTCCAATGTCACCACCCATGGTTCATCCTGTGCCATCCATGTCGACACCTTTATCTCCTCCAATGATGCCTACTCAATTACCACCACCGGCACCTATGACCCCACCAGTGATGCCTCAACAACCTCAACATTCTACTTGGTCATCAGCTTCATCCGTTACTGAAAAGCCAAATAGCAACCGCCAATCTCGTCGCTCTGAGCCATCTTCTCCAACACTCTCTGCAGCCAACAGCAGCACATCTTCCATAAGCGCTGCACCAGCAAAGCAACCATCATCATCAGTATCATCTTCTGTTTCCATTGCTGCCGAAGATCATAAATCGAAAAAGGGCAAAAAGAAAGCATCTTCATCCAGTAAACGATCACGTGGTGCTGCTGTTAACAACAACAGCAATAACGTTACCAGCACAAGTGACACTGAAAATGAACCTGAGGCTGAGCCAGCACCAGCACCAGCTATTCAAGATGAAGATTTGGATGGTGATGATGAAGACAGTGACCATAGCAGCAGCAAACCCGATCCATCGCTTATGCGGCGTAAGGAGTCTGCCAAAAAGAAAGATCGCCAAATGCGTCATTCTCGTTCAGTGCCAAGTCTCAAAAAGAAAAAGAACAAGGGACGTAGTGCACCCACTTCTCGTCGTGGTAGTCAAGATGGCAGCCCTTCGGTAACCTATCAACAGCAACAGCAACAATACCCACAACAAGGGCTTAAGCATTCTCGAAGCAACCCTGATTTCCAACAACAACAACAGCATTACCAGCACATGTACACGTATTATCAACACCATCCTGAATACCAACAAGAATGGGATAGAATGCAAGCTTATCAACGTGAGCAACAACTCAAGCAGCAATACGCCATGCACTTTTACAATAGCAACAACAACAACAGCCGCCATTCACAGCAGCAACTTCCTTATCATCATCAACAACAACAACAACCACTTGCAGCACCAATCAATCCTCGATCTACCATGATGTCAATGCAAGGTTATCCGATGTTCCCTCCACCTCAAAATACATCTCCTCATCAAACTCCACCCCTCGGCCCTTATTATTATCAACAACAACAACCTCATCCATCCTATTATCCCATGCGCTAATTAACCCGTTTTACCATAAATGGCATTCATTGTAATATCAAACGCATTCCACCCGCATGCTTTACATCAATAAACTTGTTGAATTTCATTATCACATACGCCATGCTATGTAGGCAACTCCGCCTTTTCTCGTTGCCATCCATTTCGCTTAAGAGAGGTTACTTTAGGGTTCATAGCTACAATGATAGGTTAGGCAGGAGAGGGATGACGTGATCATTATTCTGTACGTCGCTGCTGATAAAGAGAAAAATGAGGCGACATGAAGTCATTGGTTGCTCTTTGGAAGTACGTAACAATCAATACATCCTACATACCAATCATCATATAGATTAATATGTTGCTTGTCATGCGCTAGAGCAAGAACGATTCTAGACACCAAAAGTGCCAGGCGTTCTCAACGAGCCAAAACCTGTACAACTTCCCTTTTTGGAGCACCATCAGCTATTTCATTGTCTTTGCGATCAACGAGACACCCCAGCAGAGGTCATATCAACCAAAAGCTACTTTCGACCGAAATGCGCGATTTCTTTCAAGGTTCAAGGTTCAGGATCATTTTTATTCAAGGTATCCTATTGCAAAGAACATGGCTGTTGTGGGTGGTGAACTATCTTGTTGATCATGTCGATAAGGTGTGTTGTATACTATATCTCCTCCCATGGCACCACTATCGCCATTCCATTTTAGATGACACATGTCGATATGCTAGAGGTATTGATTCCATAGGGGATTGACACTCCTATCAACAACTTCAATTATTAGAGCTGCAACCTAGTGGTAGTAGCAAATGCATGTAGCTATGTCACCAATTATAGTGCAGTGGATCTTTGATTGTCTTTGTCAAATAGACGATCATTGTGTAAAGAAAGGGGGGGGGTTAACCATGCTGATAACAACATTGAAATGAGCGTGTAGAGTGGGTAGGTAGCAGTGAGATGGATCAAATAAGAAATGTGCTGCATAAAGAGACGCCTCATTCAGATGACGCTTAAGTACTAGTGTATCTAGGATAAGAATGGAGATCCAATTATCATCCTTCTTCTTCATGCACCTTTAAGTTCACGCTTTACGGCTCACTATCACTCACGACCTATTTGAATATACCTTTGTCTCTACTCTACTTGCTTTGTTTCTGTCATGAATACCAAATCACAATCCACCATGGTTGACATTGCTCTTCGAAAACCCCAACGTTCAAAATCCCTTCAGTTGCATCGCACACCACCACCCCCACCACCTCCTTCACGCTCTAAGAAAAGCCGACCATCATCGGTGCAAGCCAAACCAACCAAGAAAAAGGGCAATGATATGAAACATTCATCATCACCACCACCACCATCAGCATCATCGCAGTATCAACCATCCAAGAAACCTATGATGGTGACAGAAGAGATAAGCAGACAAAGGTAAAAAAAGGGGGATAGATTGGTGGATGAGTGCAATGGGTTTGGGGAGGGACAACGACACCGATTGTGCACTTTGTTATGTTGTATAGACCTGGTATCCAAAGACGACGTCGATCGAATAGTGCTCAACCCAATTATGCTGGGCCAATGTTCAACAACGCGCCCGAACCAAGTTCGCTCCCTTTGCCAGGTTTCATTCGTCCTCGTACAACTTCTTTTAACGACAACTGGCGTCGTCCTTCACCACAACAACAATTCCCATCCAAAATGGTCACTTCACACGATAACGTCGAAACAGATCCAATATTGGCAGAGATCCAACAACGATTGCGCTCGGTACTCAAGCTAGGTGCATCACAATAATAGCTTTCATTCTTATGATCTGGAGTGCTATTATATGCCTTTGTATATACCCCCTTCCTCTCATTATTCCTCTATATGGTACATTAGGAAGCTATACAAGTATATCCCACACCTCCCTGTTTCTTCTCCTTTTTTCCCCTTTTCCCCTTCTTCTTCTTCTTCACGTTGTCCCTTGACATTTATCATCGCCCCCCTTTTCCATATGTCAATACCTTTTCCCGTTTCCTCTCTGAAAGCAGTATCGTTGCATCATTCTACAATGCAATTACTTTGTCTGGTTGTAATGAAAAAAGAGAAACTTATTTTGGAACGACTTGTTGGTCTTGGTTACTACTATATTCCCACAACTTTTTATTCCTTGGCATGTGGGACGCGGCTATCTCGTGATTACATATTGTGTTTCATACGCGTGTCTATAGCTGTTTCGAATAGTACATGTTGTAATAACAGCCTGGCAACGTGATGGCATGGCAACAGAAATACGAGCTCTCTTGTTGGCTGAGCATTCATTCTCGACAATGTACCTGACACACGTGATCATTGCATTTGAGCAGCCATTAGATCGCCTTTTAAATACTATAAGCTAATCCTTGGTTGCTATGATCCAATTTCCTTTGTCATGAATGCAAGAACAGGTGGGTTGGAAACATGCGTGGGATAGGCCATTCATTATCGATTGATCTTGTAAGTCTTTATTGGCACGTTACTACTGGTATCCGAAAAAGTCATGTAGAGAGCCTGTGGACGTCGCCAAAGCGCGAACCTAAAAGAGCCATTAATGATAAGAGCAATGTTGTCAGGGCAAAGGTCATGATGCGTTCACCAATAACTCAATAATAAAGGGTCGTGTTTAGTTGCTTTAACGGATCTTCGGAGGGATGTAAAGAATACATGTCAAGTCTTTCAAGCGTAAATGAGCTCCACACCATTATCCTATAAAAGCTCTTGGCTTTTATTGTTATCTGTGAATATGGATCATATGAATGTAGCCGTAGTGGTAGATGGTGATGATGGTGAGGAAAGTCGTCATTATCAGGGTTGTCGTCATCAGCATCAAATGATGCATCCAATTGTGTTATTACAATGGATCCTCGTATCACTCAATCAGGGTCAAAAAGAGGTGGATGATGGGTGTACTTTTGTTGCATAGCAACATGGATCGTATGAAGACGTTATCTCTTATTGAGTCATTATCAGCAAAAAGTAGATCTTCTCAACTCCGGCAAAAGATTTGTGTGATAGACACACGGTTAACAGCAGGGCGTTTCTTTCCTTCCCATAAACGGCTTGACTCTCCCCCCTTTTACTACCTTGTGCACTACTTTCACCGCACACACCTCTTTCTCACTTGTCCCCCAACATTTTACAACCCCAATCGCTCAACGTGATGCATTCTGTTCGATCCGCTGCTGCACGTCTTCGTATGGGTTCACGCATGGCTGTCACTGCTGCCACAGTCGCGAACAATGTCAAACCCGCTGCTCCTCTTCGAACCGTGGTGGGTCAACCCCTTTTCAACACTGCACGCCTTTACGCCACCAAGTCCGTTCCATACACCGTAGACAAGTTCCCTGGCTACAATCGCAACGAGAACTTTAAAAAGGTAGGGTCCCAATAAAGACATTGGCTGGAGGAGGTATGGGGGTGGTGAAACCCTTCGTTGTATTGACCATGCTCTTTATATATAGTTGACCGAAGAGGATGTCCACTATTTCAAGTCCATTGTTGGCGATAACGGCTTAATCTACAATAACGATGATGACTTGTTTGCCTTCAATACCGATTGGATGAACAAGTTCCGTGGCAAATCACAGCTTGTCTTGAAGCCAAAGAACACACAGCAAGTCTCTGATATCCTAAAGTACTGCAATGAGCAAAAGTAAGTGGTGATGATAACCCCCCCCTTTTTCGGCTTCAAGGATGCATAGTGGAAGAGTTGTTGATGATGCGTGGGAAGACTTGCTGTAGTACCACAAGGTGGCAACACTGGCCTGGTCGGTGGCTCGGTCCCTGTATTCGATGAGATTGTGTTGAGTCTTCAGGGCATGAATCGCATTCGTGGTTTCGATAGCGTGTCGGGTATGTTAGCCATTTGAAATGTGTTGCTATGAAGGGTCTACTCATGGGTGAAATATAGGTATTCTCACTTGTGATGCTGGTTGTGTCCTTGAAGTCTTGGATAATTGGTTGGCCGAAAAGGGTTACATGATGCCTTTGGATTTAGGTGCAAAGGGAAGGTATGGAATTAGGTTTTCCCAACATCGTGTATACCAATGACTAAGTTATGGTTGCATAGTTGTCATATCGGTGGAAATATCGCTACCAACGCTGGTGGTCTCCGTTTGCTTCGTTATGGTTCGTTGCATGGCACTGTGCTTGGTTTGGAGGTGGTAAGTGAGCTGCATTTCAAAAGTGGCCGAATCAGCATTAGATAATCATATTTCCATGGTCCATAGGTCCTTCCTGATGGCACTATCTTGGACAACATGTCAACCTTGCGCAAGGACAACACTGGTATGAGCGATCAATTTACAAGTGGATGGTGTACTTATTATGGATACAATTAGGCTATGATTTGAAGCAGCTGTTTATTGGCTCTGAAGGTACCATTGGTGTCGTTACCGGTGTTTCTATTCTTACTCCCCACCGTTCCAAGGTAAGAGGAGAGGGAAGGACGAGTGATTCAATATCAGTGATGGTAACTTGTAATGAATGGGTAGGCTGTCAACGTGGCATTACTTGGATTGGAGTCCTTTGAGGATGTGCAAAAAGCATTCAAGCAATCCCGTACCGAGTTGTCGGAAATTCTTTCAGGTACGTCTGCTGACGATGGATACTTATGCAAAAGGATAAGCGTGACTAAAGCTGTACATGATGTAGCTTTTGAGTTTTGGGATAACAATGCATTGCAAATGTTTAAGAAGCACGCTACTCCAAAGGCAGTCATGGAAAACGAGTTCCCCTTCTATGTATTGATTGAGACCAGCGGATCTAACAAGGACCACGACGACGAGGTATGCATACATTATTCAAAGACATCATCATGGGATTAATGTATATTGTGTTAATAGAAATTGACTACATACCTCGAGAACATGATGACTGATGGCGTTGCTCAAGATGGTGTGGTTGCCCAAGATGAGACACAAATTCGTAGCTTGTGGAGCTTGCGTGAAGGTTTCACTGAAGCATTGGGCAAGGAACCTGCAGTGTACAAGTATGATATTTCGATGCCTGTTCCAAAGATCTATGAATGTGTGGAGGATATGCGTCAGCATTTGCGAGATGGTGGTGTGTTTGGTCAAGAAGACTCGCCTGTGACGGATGTGGTCGCCTATGGTCACGTGGGTGATGGCAACTTGCATTTGAACATCGCTGCCAAGCGTCTCGATCCAAAGACGGCAAGCTTAATTGAGCCATATCTCTTTGAGTGGGTTTGTAAGTATCAATGTGAAATGGGATGTCGGCGTGAATTACACAGGAGAGGTTTTCATTTATTCACATGATCGTGTTTTTAGCCAAGCACCAAGGCTCCATTAGTGCTGAACATGGTTTGGGCGTTGCCAAGAACGAGTTTTTGGGCTATTCCAAATCACCCGTCATGATTAAGCTTATGAAGACCATGAAGAACATGCTTGATCCTAATGGTATTCTCAATCCTTACAAGGTATGTAAAGATGCTCCATCCTCCGCTATTACCGATACTAACCCTATCCATCCTATAGTACTTGCCTTCTTCATAGATAGATCCTTATTACGTTTCTTTCCCATATCCCCCTTCATCGTTATGGATTCTGTATACATTCACAAAAGAAACGACAATGGATAAACACGTACCATGCATCAGCATTTGTTTTGATTGGATTGTTTGTAACACACAAAGCTCATTGACAAGTCAACAGTAACATGGTATGCTTGTCGAATGCACCACGTGTACCTTTGGACTGGTTTACAAGAAAGGCCCATGTTCACTAGCACGTAAGCTATCGACGCACTATTAAGTTTAGTCATTAATAGGATGATAATCCGATGGGCTTGCAGAAAAGAATCGTACCTGAATTTACCAACATGACCCCCCTGTGGTGATGCTCACACCCATTTCTCTATTACGTATGTGATGATGTTGTAACCAAGCTATATCATGATTTGTGATGCATAGTATGGCGAGCCAATCGAGCCATGAGGAGAATTTGGTCATACTTCATATTAGATCCTGGTAGATTAATTGCATACCTACACACAAAAGGAACATCGCGTGAGATTCAGGATTGTCTCCAGTCTCAGACACTCTCAGTGCAGATGGAGATCAAAGTAAGGGGGTTGTTGATCGGGAGGGAGGGAGGGATCCTTTTGTGTATATGCATGGTAATGTAGTAGCGATGGTGGCGTAAAAGATTCTAGTGTATACAAGTCGTCTATGCGTATGCATAAGCATAGGTGATATAGCAGTGATATATAAAAGGCACACAAGGCATTAACCCGGGTTGGACAGCATTTTATTGTTTGATCTGCGTACAACCAACTCTGTGAAACTTGCCATAGATTTTGTGCACACAGAGTGAAATGATTCTGATAAAAATAGCGTTCCCCATCCCTTACTCATTTTCCATCTTCCCTTTCCAATCCTTTGTTAATATACGAGATACGCTGAGAACAAAAGACGTGATTGAGCACTCTTTTATGTATTGATTACGGTTCCAGCATTAAACAATCGACGACGACAACAACAACAACAAAACAATAACGCACCCTTTTTGCTTTGTCGGTATGTGTATGTGCTCAATGATTCGAGACATTCCACTACCCCCTTTCCTTTATTTACTTACAATACATGATTTATGCTTCCCCTGCTGTTCTTGATATAGATTCCCCGGTGTGTAGCCCCTTCTTACTACCCAACAAGTACTCTCAAAGGTCGCTTGTCTCCCGTCGATCCAATTTTTTATTTCCTTTTCCCAATCTTAACTACGGCAACGGAAGCGACAAGCTAAAGAGAGCGAGTGCAGTTGCTTGTTTAGTTTTCTCTCTTCTTTCACTCAACATTCATCGCTCATAGATCGGTTGACAGCAGCCGTCCATCCACTCTTTTTTCTTCTTGTTCCTATTACTGTATTCTTTTCTTTTACTATTATTACTACAGTGTTATGCCTACAGGCATCCATTATAATCAAGCCATTGGCGGTGGTGGTGGTGGTGGCGGTACCGAATACGGCTATACGACATCAGCAAATATTCCACAGCAACAGCAACAGCAACAACAACCACACTCACAGCCGCAATACTACTATCAACACAATGTTCCAGGGGGAGTAACAACAACACCACCACAACAAACAGGAGTGGGTCGACGCCCTACAGTTCTTGGACGTGCTCCGACTCGTCGTATGGCACCGGGTGCTAATAGTATCGCCAATGCTGGACACAACATACAACGAGGACGTACATTGATTCGGCCTGATCGATACCAGGAACCACCACCATTGTTGACAGGGAAACCTACTTCTGGAGGAGGATGGTTTGATCCCTGGGTATTGTTTTCGCGTATTGTTACCTTTTGGGCGTTTGCTCCCATGTTGGCAGCAATGGGTAAATCCGATAAAGGGATGCAGCAAGCCTGGAGGGAGAAGATGGCCCTTTGTTTCATTATTGCATGCATGGGAGGCTTTGTAGCATTCATTACGATTGGTCTCAGCTCAGTCATGTGTCCACCAGATCAAGCTACCAACAGCGCCAATTATGCATCTTACAACGATACAATCAACAGTGGTAAATACATCATCATCATCATCATTGTTGTTGTAAAGGAGTGGTGGTGTGTGTGGTCATGCTGAATTTTGTACCACTGACAACTCCGTCTTTTATTCTTCAAAGGATCTCTTCTTGGTATTCTTGGTTGGCAATTCAACATTACAAACTCTGAAGTCACCCACAATGTCAACCTATACAACATTGCACGCGTCCCTGGAACAGACATTACCAACTACTTTGAACACGGCTCCAACGCACCCTCATGTCAAAACACAGGCAACCCAATCGCTTCACAATTCAAAGCAGTGACATTCGAACCTTGCAGCGACAACAATGGCAACAATGGATGTCCCTTAGGCAGCATATCAACATCGACTTTTCAAGACCTCAACATCGACAATACAACACGGCTGGTGGGCTATGATTGGGAGCAGCTTGCGAGTTCCAATTTGACCAACTTTTTCGTCCTTGATGGCGTCGTACTCAATATGGATCCATATATCAAAGCCAATCCTCATCCTGTTGCAGGCGATCTTCTTGATACGACGATACGCACCATTCTGAATTCATCGTTTGCCAAAGGAGGTCGTGATGGCACCAAGCAATTCTTCCGTAAAGCCGAATTACGAGCATCCATCAATTGCCTCGTTGACAAGTATCGAGCAGGCCACATTGACAAGACAACCCCTGGATGCTTTGCAGCTTCGCTTGTATTATTTTGTGCATTATCAGTCGTCTTGGCCATTGTCTTTGCTCGATTCTTTATGGCGTTGATCTTTGCATGGTGCTTATCATGGAAAATGTCACGTACACCACCACCCGTAGGCCGTAGTCATCATCAACATGGACCTTCCAAAGTGTTACCGAATCAAACCATGGAGATGTCAGATATCAAGCGAGCACCAAAACGAATGGATTCGAATGCCAGCACCGTTTCGAGTTTCACAAGTGAAGTCGGCAATGATTTGTATACAGTGCTTCTTATCACGTGCTATTCTGAAAACCTCGAAGGCATCAGGGCAACAGTGGAATCATTATCAGGCACCGATTATCCCGATAGACGCAAGTTGCTCTTCCTTATTGCTGACGGCATGATCACTGGCAGTGGCGAGAAAGTATCGACACCCGATGTCTGCTTATCACTCATCACGTTCGACAATCGATACCCTGAGATGCGTAATCCTGAGCCACAACCTTACATTGCTGTTGCGGATGGTGCAAAACAATACAACAGAGCCAAAGTGTATGCAGGCCATTATGGTAAGGATGTACATTGTTTGTTTTTTATCTCATCTGACACATAAACATTGGATGACAGTGTGCAAGGGACACAAGGTGCCGATGATTTTGGTTGTCAAATGTGGCAATCCTGATGAGGAGGGGAAACCCAAAGCTGGCAACAGAGGAAAACGCGATTCACAGCTTGTCTTGATGAACTTTTTCAGCCGTGTCACTTACAATGATCGCATGACGCCTCTCGATTATGATTTATTCCGCAAAGTACATTACTTGATGGGTGTTACGCCTGATTACTTTGAGCTGGTGCTCATGGTAAGTATGATGACAGTGGCAGAGGAGGAAAAGAGGGAAATCTCATCATCATCACGTGATGTATAGGTGGATGCTGATACAAAGGTATATCGATCATCATTGAGATTGCTGGTCAATTGCATGGTGAACGACAATCTTATCATGGGGCTTTGTGGTGAAACCAAGATTGCCAACAAACGAGCTAGCTGGACATCGGCCATCCAAGTTTATGAGTACTTCATCTCGCATCATTTGGCAAAAGGATTCGAATCAGTATTTGGTGGTGTGACATGTTTGCCTGGATGCTTTTGCATGTATCGTTTGAAGGCTCGTAAAGGAGATGGCGATTGGGTACCTATCATCACCAAACCTGAGATTGTCCAAGAATACTCGCAAAATACCGTCAACACGTTACATCAAAAGAACCTGCTTTTACTCGGTGAAGATCGTTTCTTGACAACACTGATGCTCCGCAATTTCCCTTATCGTAAAATGGTATTCACGCCACATGCTGTAAGTATCTATCCCCCCCCCAACAAGTACTTTCTAGAATGAGCTGACACATGTGGAATACATGTCTAGATTTGTAAAACAATCGTTCCCGACGAATTCAAGGTGTTGTTGTCACAACGGCGAAGATGGATCAATTCAACCATTCACAACCTCTTTGAGCTGGTATTGGTGCGAAATTTGTGTGGCACATTTTGCTTTTCAATGCAATTTGTTGTTATGATGGATTTGGTCGGCACGTTGACACTTCCGGTGGCTATCGTTCTCACGCTGGTGTTGATTATATCCATTGCAAGAACGAATATATCCAGTTTCACCACTGCTGTCCCATTGGTGCTACTTATCATCGTGCTCTTCTCTCCAGCATTCCTTATTTTGATCACCACCAAAAAGTGGGTATACCTGGGATGGATGATAGTATATTTATTTGCATTACCGATCTGGAACTTTGTGTTGCCGGTATACTCCTTTTGGCACTTTGACGACTTTTCGTGGGGAGAAACACGCAAGGTTACTGGTGAAGTCAAAGGTGAAGATCATGGCAAAAAAGATGGCGTGTTTGATCCAAGCAAGGTGCCATTGAGACGTTGGGAGGATTATGAACGGCGACGTTTACGTTCTGTGAAACGACGAGAAAAGAAGCTCAAGGAATTGGGACCAGTGCACATGACACATGGGATGATCGACAATGACGACCAACGGCAGCTATTACAACAAAGTGATGAAGAATTGGCATCCAATTACACTGGCTCTGATATGTCATCTATTCACAACAATCCAATGCATTATTTTGATCCATCCAAGGAAGCACCTGTGAAATCTGGAGCTGGGTATTATCCAATGTTTCGACCACAGCAACAAGGTCCGCCAACGCCGTTGCCTAAGCAACCACCTTTGCAACAAACAGCGCCACAACCTGTTGCTGCGCGCCACCCTCCACAGCCACGTCCACCACCCACATCACCAGGAATACCGCAACAGCATCCACAAATGATGCGTTCACCACCATCACATCATCCGCAGCATGCAACATCTCCTCGACCAACACCGCCACCTCATTTAGCGGGGTATCGACCACCACCACAATCGCCACAGCAACAAGCTCAATATAGGCCACCACCACCTCCGCAGCATCAAGGTGCACATCCCGTTCGATCACCACAACCACAACCGCATCCCACCCAATACCGCAGATATCAATAAACAAAAACATTGATTTGTTAAAGATCACTTGTATTCTATTGGTTTCGTTTCTACACTATTCGATTTGCTTGTTAGACATTTTAGAATCACAAGGCTATATGTTTCTCGGATAATGGGTTCTCCGCACATATGGAAAATAAAAAAAGGGCATTATCACCATGGCACATGTCGTCATTATAAGGATTACCAATCGTGTGGGGTGGGGTAAATGAAAAGATTGCGACTTTTATTGTGAAGCATGCGCGAGCCTATCACACTGCAGATAAAAGACGCCACGGAAAGCGCGTGAAAATAAAATGTGGGTTGTCCATTGTCATGATGACACGATTTGTAATATAATGTATACGTGTCCAGAACCCACAATGGATCATGTGGTACAAATCGGGAGGGGATTGTTGAGTCATCCGCAAATGCACATGCCTGTTTTATGCCGCTGTCGTTTTTGCTGCTGCTGCTGTTGAGCCAAGCATCTCTTGGGGTCACAATAACATATGCACACACACAGCCAAGAAGAATCAATTAAGGAACAACGACAAATGCATGAAGCGGGGTAGAAAAAAAAAGATCAGCGGAATGAAATGACGACGTTTGTGGATCGTCGTTAAACGGCATTGCTTGTACGGACCTTGAGTGAGAGGATGGTGGAGAATGCAAAAGAATGGACTCCGTAAAGCATAATGACAAATACAAAGAAAAAGTGGAGAGTGGATCATATGCAGCGGCATGACGAAGATACCCCGCTTTGGGATTAGTCAAGCAGCGGATTCTAGACATACCGCAGCACATCCACGGTCCGACATGGTCCGCAGCAACACAAAGAATGCTTGTTGATACACTTTGCTGCTCCACACCCGACAACACAAGAGATACAAATGCTTTCACCCCCCATTAAAAGCCAAGGCGGACCTGCAAACTGCCAAGGAGCAAAGGTGAAAACAAAACGGTATTGTGAAAAGGCGATGTAATTGTTTGTTTCGTAACCCTTCATTGACACAAATGTTGCCCACCGGATTACTCTTTAAAGTCTGGAAAACAAAAACATAAAGTCCAGATCCGAACAATACAATAACGAAAAGCAAACCCAACAAGTGATCAAAAGTAAAGGGTTGGCGGTGTTGGATTATTCAGCTTATATTTTGGGGGGAGAGAGATCTTGTGCCACCCGGTCAACCCCGACCTTAGACTTATATAAATACCCCTCAATATGCTTGCATAGTATTCCTTATTCTCAAGTCTTCTTTTCTATACCCATTACACATTTTGCTATGCGATCACTTTTTGTCTTTGTTACCAAGCACCAACACATTGATACCAGCAGCATGAAATCACCAAAGTGGCTAAATCGTATTCGTCGACGTTCTTCATCCTCTACAACTTCACACGTCGAACAACAAAACGCAACTACCGAACACACTATCTCTTTTGAAGAGGAAATCCAACAACTTGCACATGCATATGAATTTGCATTGGACGAATTGGCCTATGCCGTTGAATCCCAAGGATCGATTTATTATGACGGTGACCGTGAGACCGCACAAGAAGCATTTGATTCCTGTATCGACCGCTATCTTTACTTGATGGAGCGATTATCCGAAGCTGACTGCGTCAAACTTGATGCTCTTTATCGACGAGAACTTGAAAGCTTAAACACGCGTCTGGCTGAATTGCCACCGATCTCATCGTATTAAGTTTGTCCTCCGCCTTTTGCAAACATCTCTCGCTCCCCCCCTTTAAACATACCCCTTTTTGCTTTTCATTATCCGCCTTGCACATATACACATACACACACTCTCTCTCTTACATTCCTCACGATATCAACACCCCTTTTATGCCGTCATTGTATATATCGATCAAACAACTAGCATAGTCAAATCATTAGTACATATACCAAAAAGTCAACTATAATACAATCTCATCATCATGTATCTCACACACTGAAAAATTTTCTATTTGCCATGCCGTGTTTGATGATTTTGTGTCGCATAGAGAACAAAGAAGGCGGATCAATATTATGACAACCTGAATGTGTATGTTTTGAAAATAACGGTTTTCTAGTATTCCAACGCCACCAACAACTGGGGCCCATCTTGATGGGCAATCTGCACCTTGTGCATTACATACACCACCACCACTACCTGCAGCTGCAACTTTTTGCCCAACGATAGCATCTATCTAAATGATGCTATTTACGTGCATATATAAAGAGGGCTGTGAGAGAAAGAGCACGCTTTTTGGGGGGCTTGGCGACTTGGCGACTAGCCTTGGCTGTTGAAGCAGGTCAAACAAGAATCTGTATTGTAAAACAATGAATGGCGTCAAGGAAAGGAGCATGAGTCTCATGCGTTGGGGGGTTGCCGGAAATCCCCAATCGGAAAGTGTTATGAGTAAAACTCGCTCCATTTGCACCCACATGTGTCAACGTAAAAAAGTGCGGAATCACGGGGGATGACTTTCTTGTTTTGACCAAGTGATACTTGGTTTCCATTTTAGACATGCTTCGTCAGCCATAAGCATGAATAGGAAATAAATTGCCCGAATCTTTTATGGCCGGTCCTTTTTGTCCCCATTTGTGAAATGATGAGCCATCTTTTCCATATCCTTCTTTTTAGATACGTGGCAGTCTAAAAAAAGAGAGAGACTCGAGACTTGGCATCACTCAATAGTATCCGATGGTAAAACGCGGCATCCTTCCTTCTTCCGCCATGAAGGATAATATAGTAGCCGCCACCACATTACGTCCCATCCTGCGTTCATTGACATGTGACGCACAAAAGATCAGCAACATGAAAGAACATACACGTGAAAAAGAAAACAAGAGAACATAAGACAAAGCATGTGTGAATGGGGGAGCAGAAAGCAGATCGCATTATTGGATAGGACCCTGAAAGTAAAAAAGACATCCCGCTGTATACGATCATCCGCTCATCAGCAGTGGATCCACAATGTTTTTTCAAGGTGCTCTTTGCGATGCTTGTATATCAGCCGAGATGTCCATTGGATGAATGACTTACATGCACAAACAAATGATTCTTCCTTTTCAGTGGTAACGTAAACATCAAGAGCTGCTCACTTCTTGTTCACACACATTATGGGCCTATTCGGTGAATTCACTTCGCTCAATTTTTCGCTCTATGGACAATGGTGAGTATGCGTCAACTATAGCAGCATCATACGTAGCATCATAAACAGCTTACCATTGCATCCTATTAGGCTTGGCATTGTAGCCATCATATGTAAGGATCGTATACCAAGCGAGTGTTATCATTTATCTGATCATGGATCATGTGGCATGATAGTATTGATTGTTCTGGGCATCATTGGGTTTATGTCTCATATCGCATTTAGCATCGTTGGATGGTAAGATATCATCAATAAACCACGTACAGCCGTATTGATCCCAAATCATTGTAAGGGTGATTGCATTCATTCTCCTTTTTGTGGAAGTACCACTATGCCTAAAGGTAAGAGAGAGCACTATCATGTGGTGTGTGCAAAAGAACAACTGATTGCTGATACCATCATGTGCAGCTTTGCCCAACGAGCCCAAAGTTGTAAGTATGATAGCTGGTTGCATGCCACAATGATAGAAGAGCGTACTCAAGTCTTACTTTGATGATCCGATTTCATGCAAAAGTGACAGCTTCCTTACCTATTTTGAGAACACCTGGCTACGAGCGTTGATGTATCTCATGTAAGTGCATGTCGGGGAATAATATCGGCGTCATGGATACACTCTTAATGGCTCGCATGATAGCTTTGCGATCGTCATGTTCCTCAGCAACATCATCTCGTCATCAAGTTTGAATGCATGCGCAGTCGTGTTATTACTTGGCGCCATCTGTTATGGTAAGTGGTAGTAGCCGCTGCACTGATATGGAGGAATTCGTTCTTGAAAAGGCGACAAGTTTACTAACAACATATGATCAGCCATTGCTGCGGTCCGAGGACAATCATTTGCAAGCTCTAGGTAAGCCAACTAGGATAACGAATAACCAGTATATTGAATGGGATGATGGTGTTTGTTATTCTACAATTCAAATTTAGGCTGCTTGGGGGTACAGGTGTAAGCAATGTCGTATAATAGTGGAAGCGAGTAACGGTGTGGACAAAACATGATGCTCTATCTATATGAATCATTTCATTGGGATCTATAAACAAAGCTTGAATGGGACGAAGGGATCGCTGTTGTAGGTGTTGTTGTGTCGTCATTCGATCCTTGTTATGTTGTTGGATGTCATTTTACTGCTTCCATCCTCTGAATACATCCTCCCCTTTAGCTTTGAAATGCCGAAAAATGATAAACATGCATTGAAACGGAAGTTGAGCACCATTCTAATTACTCGTACTCGTGCTCAGGATACCTCAGGGGCAGTTGTAATATGATGGATAAATGTTTTATGTGCTTACTTTGATACGCAGATATTCACTATGACACCCCACAACGCTTGAATGTCGAGGGCAGGATCATTTAAAGAAGTATTACATCTTTCTTCTACCCGAACATCACCATGTAAACGCTTTTCAGCAAAGATGGGAATAGATAGCATCCAGCAACCTTTCGACAACCACGTGAGAATTCAAACACCGGATCACCCGCTTATAAAAAAGCTCAGTTGCAGGAACGACGTTTACGAGCTCCTTTTCATCAGCTTAAACGTCATGGAGAAATTCAAAGAGGTAAGATGGCCTTCAATGGTATGGCAATGACGACGATTGGCTGACACCAACACCCAACGATCGTGTTAGAAACTTGCAACCCTCCGAGGTGAGGTGGAGACTGCCAACGCACGCGCCCAAGAGCTCGAGCAAAAGGTGGAACAACTCGAAAGCGAGCATAGCAAAAAGGATGAGAATCTTGAAGAGCTCCAGTCGCGTGCCAAGTTGCTCGAAGAACAGCTTGAGAAAGCAGAAGCAGACCTTAAGGAAGCTAGCGATAAGCAAGTATTGGTATCATTTCATCATGCGGACATTATGCTAACAATCCTTTGACATGATTTTAGTTTCCGCGAAGCTGATTTACGTGCAGAGCAATTGGAAAAGAAGGAAATCAAGCTGAAGCAAGAGGTGAAGGAATGGGAAAAGAAAAACGCTGAGATCGAAGCCAAACACAAGGAAGTCAGAGATGAGCTTGATGAAATGGAAAGCCAACTCGAAGGCGTTTAACGTAATACCGATACCCTGTTCACTTCTTTCTTTCTCTCCATTTACTCCTCTTTTTACCCTTTCGACTACCTGTTAAACCCCCTTTTCGATAAAAAGGAACATGTCCAATCTCAGAAACATTGTTTGAATATCATCGGATGTGATAGGCGCAGTTAACACGGCTTGGCATTGATACATTGTTGTTACATTTTGGAGCTGAAGATGTCACGTTACTTGCACATGTCGTTTCCTATTTGTAGCTGATCATTGATGTATATCATACTTCAGCTCGTAAACCGTATGTCCTGGTTCATACATAACCTCTGCTAGATTTACACTCTCCTATTCAGAATTCGCATAATGAAGCGTGGGATCTTTATGAGAACAAAGTTGATCAGCGTGCACGAGAGCACCCTTGTGTGAGAATTTTAACTGTGAGATGAGCGATCTCAAGCTCATGGGGCGCCTACACTACTTAAATGTTCCCGTACGATTATCATCGGACGCCCCCATTTAATGTTTTCATGATGAAGAATGGAGTCTTTATTAGAACAAGGTTGATCAGCATCTTGTGTGAAAGTTTCACGACCGAAGTGTGCAGTCGCATAATCAAGATTTAACTTACAAAAGTGTTCATGGATTTGTAGGGCAGAGTCTCACCTTTTGATTTCCACTTCTTCCACCTCCACTTTATTTTCCTTCCTCCCATTCTCCACTGTGGGTGCATTCAAGTATACAACTACCGCCTGCAAACGATTGTCCTGCTTCAACCCATCATGTCAACCCTACGATCGTCTTGACCCGATGGCCTTTAGCTGAATGGCAAGTCCATGGCGTGTACACCCCACTACAACACCCGCGTTTCTTGACACTACGCCTTCTCTTGTACACTTCTCTACCACGACCAAACGTAACAACATTCATTGCAGCAATTGCTATTAGCAAGGGTCTTTACTCCATTGTCTCCAACAGCGTTCTTTACTTGCAGCAACCTCCCTTACAGCCTTTGTTACGTGCGACAGCTGATAGCCATTGCATGGAAGCCGCTTTATTTACGTGTAGCAACGTGCTTCAATACAAACGAATTCTTATGGATGTGGATCTGAATGTTGCATCGTTTTGGTACATGGGATGGAAGAATATGGATACACTGACTGGTTTGGTTCCCTTGGCCCATTAACAACGTGATGTCTAGTTTGGATGACACCATATCAGCCGTCAACCATGCCGCAATACAAGCAACCTTTATCTGGATGAGCTGTGATGGAAAGTGACCCACAAAGTGAAGGACCAAGGGCCCATGGGCAAGGAAGCGTATCAGCAGCGATCTCTGGGGCTTCTATCTACCAACATGTTGGATGTAGAATGGTCATGGTGGATAGGTTGAATCTATGCGGTGATGAGAATCATGGTGATTACTTGTCATGTTGTCAGCAGGGACGAAGGATCATATCACTTGGATACGGCTGAGGATGGCGATGGATGGGATGGAATTGACAAACGAAGGTGTTTACAGCCACGCATGATATTGGGATACTTGAGTCAATGTACGCAGCAATCATGGATGAGGGATGTTTATGGCGGCAACAACCAAGAATACAAGACACATTTCCCCCCTATTGCCTCTATGTATGTGATTCACCGCCCTTAGTATCTTATTCAATTTGCAATGCTCTCCCTTTATCATAAACATCCACCCAACAATATGCTATTCTTCGACTTCCATTGAGTGAAAAGTGGGTTCAACACATTATTTAGAAGGGGATTGTATTATTAGCTTGTATTGTGCAAGATGTTGATCACTTGGTAGATGTCTGGATTGAGGGAGTGAGGAGAGACAATTGATGGGCGAAAAGGCCGATCGAGCCATATGTATCATCGTACAAAGATTTCTAGTTCACATGCGGGTAGACGAAAGTATGGTAAATCTTCGAATGCTTGTGCCGAGAGCGATAATGGCCAACGATGATACTGCTTGTCATCTCAAAGAAAGCTTGATTCATTGTAAGTTTGGTTCATTGTGACGTTCAAGAATGAGTGAGTTGTAATAAAATGTAGCACAAAGACATGAACACATTATGATTACCTACGCTATCTTATGCAACCTTATATGTGAATGAACCATTCCATACGGGCTACCATAATAGGCGGACCTCACTATACGCAGGCCAGGGCAAAGGTCAATTATGCATTCTCCACCAATAGGAGGATTGACCTGTTGTGCTGACTTCTTTGCTTTGTTACACAAACACGCCCCTCTACCAGGGTCTAGCTACGTGACAATGAACAAAGGTCTCTTTTCATATACCATCACCCTTACAACATAAAGACATCCATATCTCAAAATCTTACAATCAACCCTGGGGTCTTTAAGAGAACAATGTCGCCACCAGCGAAGGAGTCGTCGTTGAGAAAAATTCAAGAGGTGGTGGCCCCGATCCAATTTGGCTGGTGGCAACATTTGCGAAATCTGGGATTGGCAACAACGATCGTGTAACTTGCACACATGTTTCCTTTGACCCCGACGAGCAACATTGTTCTCATAAAGACCCCAGGGTTGATTGTAAAGTTTTGAGATACAAGTGACTTTAAGTTTAATATATGCTGTATGCGTGATGCTATATGACAAGTGGTCTTTTACAAAAGCGATACATGCTAGGCTCTTTACTATTATTACAAATGACTTTATTTCGCTAGAAGCAATCATTTAACCTTGTACGCAGCTCGCCAATTTCTTGAAGCAGTGCTTTGCATATATCCAAAATATGAGGGTGTTCAGTGGTGTGGAGCCGCTCAATATCGAAAAGAATGCTTCGAATCAACGAGTTGCTTGTTTCACTCGTTTCCGCCTTGTCATAGGGTCGATTCCCTCGTTTCTTCATTGAATGCAGATCCGTCGCTTTCAATCTCTGTAATGCAGTGGTCACTTTTGCGGTCCATACATTGACAGGTTGAATGTTTTTGAAAACGAACATTTTACTGCGCTTCATCATTGGCCTTGAAGATGGTGCGGAATGGTAACCATCATTCGTTTTCGAGTGATTGGGTGGTTGGTGATGTTGCCACGTTGTCATGGTGGGTTTTGTTGCATGATCCTTGTTGTCATTGTTAGATGATCCAGCGGCAAGTGCAGGTCCCAAGGATGTGATTTTGGACGACGATGGTTGTTGTTGTATTACGGTGGAAGAAGGCTGCGGTTGTGTTGGTTGAGGTAGGTTTGTGTGGGATGATAACCCGATCGGCTTCGAATCCATGAAGAATGGTGCACCTATTCCAAAAAAAGAGACAAAAGATCAACAAAGGAAAGTGCAAGGACGTGCACACTGCATATAGTTTACCCTGATTTTCATTGGTTTGCTTGTCTTCAGCGATGGTCCTCTCTGCAGCCTTCAACTTGTGTTCAGCAACTATTAGTTTGCCTTCAGCGGCTTTGAGCTACACATACAAGAACATCAGGATTGCATATTCTCGATATCATCAAATCCACCGGCTCACCTTTCCACGCAATATCGCCTCTCGAGTACGAGCCTCGCATATGGTGTCTTGCACAAAGAGCTGCATATCCCTGACTTGGACTGATTTGGCTTTCAACTCATGCTTCAAATTCTTGTACTTGGCGTAGACACGTTCAAAGCGAGCTTCAACCTGTACATGTGACCACATTTAATGCGCTGTTACCCTCTCGAAAGTAATACAATGAATACCTGTTGTAATTGTTTGGTTTTTTCAGATAATTGTTGATCAAGACGCTGATTTTCTTTGAGAAGCTCTTGCGCAATATCTATTATGTTGTCATGCATGCATTAAGAAGAGGGCAAGTATGTAATCGGGTACATTTATGGATGACTTACCAGCAAATCTACGTGCATCATTTTTCAATTCATGCATGTCATGTTGCCACCTTGTACGAGCATGACAATCGTCTCGACCGCAACAACAGCTGCTATGCGACGAGGGTGAGAGGCGAGTAGGTGTAGATGATTGGTTCATTGTATTTGCGTTTACACGATTGAGATGGTTTGGAACTTGATGAAGTGAGTCGAGTGGGAAGAAGCGTGAAAAAGAAAAGAGACATTTGCAGTATAATAAATAATGATGCGAAACCCGTGATTCGCAAGTAATATTAGGGGAAGCAGCGAGGAGGGGTTACATGACAACATTGACATGGTGATGGGACATTTCAGTGTTCATTGTGGTTCAGCTTCTTCATTGTGGTCAAGGTTCTGATTTCACATTACGCTACTTCTTTGCTGTTCTTGGGCTGATGCATTCCTATATACGCGTATTCCTGTCATTACGCTATACCTGTAACGTATCAACTCATGGAGATCGTTTATCATGTACATTTGATGTTCCTTCAGACAAGGATCACTTTTATCAGGTACTCAGCGGATTTTTGTTTAAAGCCATTTACCTTACGACAAAATCGGTTTACTTTCATTATCCTATGTCTACAAAAGATCAAGCGGATTCATATCCACAGGCACGTTTGGGTTGACACTCGCTTATGATTGTCGCTGAAAGCTGTGTTCCAATTTATCAATGATCAAGTTGTCACCTTCATCAGACGACTCGTGAACGCTAGAAACGGTGATGCATAGTGTGAATCAGATGATGGTTGTTTCAAAAACCGGTATACTCGCACCATTACAACCGTACCAGAAATGATGAATTGCTATTCACCTTGCTCATAGCGAAGTGACCAGGCCTATCTTCAAAAAGGGGTATTGGATTTGCGATGCGTTGTTCATAGAAGTCGAACTCTTTATCCTTTTAAAAGTGATGGTTTTGAGCTCTACATTGTGTAACGTGGCCAATGCGGATGGTCCTACTATGTTTGATGCTTTTGGATTCGCTGGCCATTTCCGGAATACTGATCACACCATGTTTGCTGGCGCAATCTTGAGTTATTAGTAAGAGTGATCTTCTTATCGGAGGGAGCGCGATTGGTACATGTAGTGTGCAAAGTGAAGGATTTTTTGTTGTTAAGGACAACATCGAGCATAGCAGGAAAGAGGATGCATCGGATTGGATTGAGGCGAAAACAGGCTGATGCTTGTTGAGGGCCTTGTACTAAGGCAATGGTTGTTGTTGGATCATCATTATCATGTAAAGTGTACAATGACACACGCTTTTGCTATACGTGAGAACCATTCGCTTTATTTACATGTACCTATTGTCTATAGTGAGGGTGATGATCATGGTGGGTGGATGGTGTGTATAGGGTAATTGAGTGGCCTCAGTGTAATAGCAGTAGGGGATTTAAACTTGGGGGACGGTAGTTCCACGCCTTGAGACAACGCTTCTCTTCTCTTTCTCCCTCCTCTACTTTTACCCCATTCACGACATCACGATCAAGGTAATGTTCTATAAAAAAGTGCTCTTGTTAGCTGTGAGGTATTAATGTAGTTCTGAACATGCATTGTCAGGGAGTGAGTGTGTTCAAGTGCTGAGGAATGAGCGTGCTGGGTGGTTGGTGGTTGCCATGGCGATATCGTTGCTTGCTCTTGTTCGTTGCTGTACCCGCCCTATGCTTGGTGTCAACAGGTACATTCAGAGTCCAATGTTGCAGCCGAACTGGTTCCATTGACGTGTTAGCTTGTATAGAGGGCAAGTTTGGTGTCAAGGCGTTGGCTGGTTTTGTTTGACGTTTTGTTTCGGCTCAACTACACTACTACACCATGGTTTTCGGTTTCCAGTAACCAACAACAAAGAGGTTCTTTGTGTATATGGAAAAGGCAAGTGCAATGAAACAAACAATGAAAAGGGTGTTTATTGTGTGTGTGCTTATAATGAATTGAATAGGTTTCTTTGGTCAGGCAATGCAACTTGGGGCACCATCATCATCTCTTTGGGTTCAAGTCCCAGCCTGTATCAAGTGGCCGCTGCGTCGCTCTCTGCACCAGCCAAGTGTGCTGAGAAAGCTTCTTGGAACGCGCCCAGGGCTCTATAGGCCTGCGTTTGAGTTGATGGGTCGATGACGATGGGTTTTTGGGAGAGCATGGTCACCGTGTTGAGGTAAAAGGGGATTTGCAACAGCTTGTGAATGTGTTTAACCAACACGCGCTCCCTCGTGATAGGCTCGTTCTTTCCCTTGAGGATTTCTTTTCATGGGGTGGGAAATGATTGGAAGGATTGGGGATCATTCTTTCTTTGGAGAGGATGAATGAGAACAACTATGAGCCTGGACGCTACGTAAGTGATGTCCTTCCTCGCCATGGATCGAACTGGCCTTGCGTGATTCGTGCAGTGCTTTCTCAAGAACAAGGAATCGCCCGACGTTTCTCGTATGGCGGTGATTTGGTTTGTGAGTTCCTTCTGATTTGCTTTCTTCCTTAGAGAGGATCGCCTAGCGATATACCAAATCATCATCATTCCCGGCATCAGATGGTCTAACTTGCCTGCTTTCTTATTTGTAGAGACGACGATTACGATGATCACCCCATCTACAACAATGACAATGATGACGACAACGAGATTCAAAAGGAAGCCTGCAAGATCCCATTCTTTTCAACTTGTGTATTTTTGGATGTTTGGTGTGACGGATGAGATTGACGACTGGTGACGAGTACGAGTACGAATATGAATGATGACGGAGGACGACTATGATGATGGTGGTGGCAATGTACAGTACCAAGATACAGTAGCTAGATGAAATAAAGCATTGTTTATTTATTACACGCTTGTTGGAGGTTGCTAGCTTGTGGATTACATACTATTGCTTCGAAGATGGAATAATAAAGGTGGTCCGGTTATCGGTCAAGCAAGAAGTACATGGCTTTTGTTATACAATAAGGAGGAGTGGGAAGTGGGATGAGCTTCAGAAGAGAAAAAGTGAAGCGGTCCCTCCATTGAGTTTCAGGATGAGTGACTCATTCAATATGTATATGTATCTTTTTACATATACAAATTGGTTTATGCAGCTCGACTTTCTTCTACATGCAAATGTGATGCATACCTTGACACACCCTCATTATTGGATACTGTTTACTTACGTACCTTCACAAAAGGCAATCATCATCATCATCATTTGTGTAGCAACCTGTCAAGGACAAGTCTGTGTAACCACCCCACGTGCCGTTTCACTCAGCTCTTCATCTTTCCGTTAATGCAGCCGACACCATCCACTAGGAAAAAGCAACTCCATCACGCTTACAGCATAGGTAAAACATAAAGGCGCCTGTATCTCCAAACTTTACAATGAAACATGTGGTTTTTATTAGAGCAATGGGCTCGGCTTGGCCAACAGCACCTTGTGTGAAAGTTTCACGTTCAATGTCGCAACCAGCCCAAAAAATATTTTTTGGTCGTCGTCGTCGAAGAGGTCGACCCCCAGATCCAGTTTGGCTGGTGGCGACATTGCGAAATCTGGGATCGCCCACGATGAACTTCATACTTTGACACAAGATTCCTTCGACCCCGACGAGCAGGTTGATCTATTAAAGAGCCCACGTTTGATTGTAAAGTTTGGAGATACAGGTACCTTTATGTTTTACATATGCTGTAAGCGTGATGGTATATGAAAGATGGTCTTTGTTCATTGTAAAGTAGTATCACTACAATAGAGCCAAAGATGCAGAAGGCGTGTTTGTGTAACTTGAGTCATTCAGCACAGGCGATGCATGATTCTTGTACACTATTTAGGAAGAGTTCAAAATGCCAGCTAATAACCTAGTCCTCCCATTCTCCATTGTTGCCCAATCCAATGCATACGAACGATTGTCCTGCTCCAGCCCGGCATGCCCATCATTGAACTTTCTTGATCCGATGAGATTTGACTGAAAAATGCTTAAACACAGAAACATCATCTAATATCAGAAGAATCAAATTGGTAAGTTATTTGTAAACTGCCGGCTCATAGCCCATTCCTTCCATTCATCTTTGTTGCCCAATCCAATGCATGTGAACGATTCTTCTGCTCCTGCTCATCCTTCCCATCATTCAAGTTTCTTGATCCGAGACGTTTTGACCGAGTTACACTCAAACAAAGAATTATCATTCTACATCAGCTCAACTCATTTTAATTTCCCCACTTCTTCCACTTTTAGCTTCTTCCCTCTTCCTCCCATTCTCAACTGTTGCCCCATTCAAGTACAATTACCACCTGTGAACGATTGTCCTGCTTCAACCCATCAATGTCGATCCCACAGCTATATTGATCCGAAAGTCTTTGACGAATGGCAAACCCATGGCGTGTGCACCCCACTACAACACACGAGCCTACTCTTGACAATCCACGTTCTCTTGTACACTCCTCTACCACGACCAATCGTAACAGCATTCATTGCAGCAGTTGCTATTAGCAAGGTCCTCACTCCATTCTCAAACAACGCTCACAACCTTGTCACTCTGCTACTCTTGTACACGACTCTGCCACGACCAAACGTAACAGCAATCGCTATTAGTAAAGTCTCTACTGCATTGTGTCAAGCTACTTGCAGCAACATGCCTTACAGCCTTGTTTACGTGCGACAGCATCAAGCCTTTGTATAGAAGCAGCTTTATTTACGTGTAGCGTGGATTATCGTCATCTCTTCATGTCACCACTGACAAAGTTTCTGCATTTGCATGCTAACCAAGGTATAAAGATGATGGGATGTCACAGTGGCAATCTTCTCACGTGTTTATCATGTAGCACAATGTCTCAAGCCATGGATGTTCAGCCTGAATACCGCAATGTTTATTTTGGGTATCAAGGTAACAAGAGGATGGTGTAATGTGTTGTCGAGGAATGGAAGAGGATTCATACTATGTTCATCGCGTAGTGAAGAAGGTGCACTTTGAATGATGCGACCTTATTCAGCGGGTGTTTGGAATGCACGAGGAGGCCATAGCATTGGATCACAGAGTACTCGACAAGATATTGGATGGCAAATGGAATGCTGCTTCGACATTCGATATTTCTACAACGTGTCGCATCACTGTTATGACATGTCGAAGATCATTCATACCGTTGACATCGAGACAAGTGTCACCTTTATTGCCTTTTCAAAATGAGCGCATGGAGATACGACAATTTGGTGGTGTTTATGGATGGTGATGGCAACTACGGTGATTCATTGTCTGATGGCTGCCATGGGTCCATTCAGGAGAACAAGAATGAGGACGACAAGAATGAACATCAGGAACCAATGCGAGACGAGTTTGGAAAAATGGGTTCACAGCAGCAACAATGAACACACAGTGATCAGCAATGGCCTTCAAGCTATCACCTGAAGATATGGATCATATACACCTCATCATTAGACAACACTCGGTGTCATTTCATTCCACTACCCAGCTTTTTATCATTCTCACCAGCAAGACACCAACACCTGCAAAGGAGCAAGCCTGTACTCATGACTTCCTTCCTGCTAACACATGAGATGCAACAAAATCCAGTACCATGGGGTGACTTTAGCAGCTAGCAACGGTACGATTGAAGCATGGCTTGTCAACGAAGTGAGGATCCATTGTTTACAATTTGTCTTCATCACTTGGCGGCGCAGTTACCCATTTTTGGATACGCCCTTATGCAACAGTATGCTTGGATGGATACAGCTACAAGGGATTCGGTTATGGTACTTCCATTCGCCAAGGTAAAAGGATGATTGTGTGGTTTATTGGAAAGAAGAAGTAACACATAACTAAACCATACATTTTTAGCATGGCTGATGTATTTGCACTGATGATGGGATGCAAGGATTATCCACGATTCATACGATGAACGACAGAGATGACTAAGGAAGCACTGCAGGATTGGGCGAGAAGGATATTTGGTGTGCCGCCTAGTAATGCTTGACAACCACTGATATGGAATATCGTTGTGGAAGGCACCTACAAGGAACATGGTTACAGTGTGCGCCAATATTATCAATGGGCGACAACAAGAAGCGACACCGGATGATCCTAGTATTGGATGACACTATTAGAAATAGATGATTCATTAGATAGCATTCAATGTTTTCTTCAATGAATGTTTTTGTGGGATGGAACTTGGAAACTTTACTGCATAGCTTCATTAGCAGTTATCGAATGATGTGAATCAATGGTTGCGTTTAGGATGGTAGTCATGATTTTGCTGTACGATGTTTATTACATGGAAAATGGAACCTATAGGTCATGTCAGTGTATGATTAGCATTTATACCATTGTTACCAACATGTTTGTCATGGGGGTTATGATTATGTCATACAGGACCGTTTATCTGCTGATGTTCATTATAGATGAACATGGTGAAGATTACTCATCAGTCAGTGGCACTTCACGTTAATCTATGAAAGTAATAAAGAAATGTGAATTGTATTGAAGCCTTATCTCGTGTGTCACCTAGTTGTGATACGCCAGATGATAAAATCGGAAGACAGCGGGCATCTCTTCCGAGATTTGATATGCGAGAACCCTTGCCATATAATCGTGCCAATACAATAAATTCGGGTCCTTCATAAATCAATCAGCTAATTGCATCAATATACAGTATATTTCTTGTTGGGTTCATGACAATCGAGATCACTCCTCGGTGTTCACACATAACATAGTAATTTTTTTGGGCTCAGGGGCCTTTATTGACACCTGAGTGTAGCACAACATGCTCTACAAAGACTGAAAATCGCCGCACGCTGCTTTTGAAGATGTGCATCCTTCCTTTTCACTTTTCGGTATGACATACGACACCGATGAATACACCAACCCCTACAAAGTATACACAGCCATAAGATACCCATAGGCTAAAATGATATTCACAAGTTTTATTTTAGATCAATATACAATTAGAGGAGGAGGAGGATGACAGCAACCGTAAAGAGGTTTTCGAAAAAGGACTGGATGCACTCTTAGACGATGAGCATTTTTTGCTGCTCTATGTGCCTAAAGAAGAAGGAGTCAAGATGCAAATCATACGACCGGCCACTAATCTATTCCATCGAAAATGCATGGTCAAAAGGATTAATGAAGCCAAACACATTCCTTCTTTTTACTACGCGCTATCACACCTTTGGGGCCTCTCTGAAGACAACCGGTACCACTGGAATGACATTAAGGAATACGTGGATGATGAAGATGGACAACCTGTCAAACCTGTTTCCATGCGACCTGAAAAACGAGATACATTACTAAGATTACTCAGGGATCATCCTGATAGCTATTGGTGGATTGACGTTTTGTGCGCACGCACCGATACACCCTTGGACATTATGGGCGACATCTATGCTTGTTGTCTTGAATGTATCGCCATGATTGATTGTGAACCGACACTGATACCACAACTTCGTGTCTTGAGGAGTGTCACAAAAAAGGTTGAGGAATTGTATCGCACAGCAGGAGGAAATCCCGTAACACGCAAGCAGATTTATGAAACCAAAGGACCCCAACTACTTGACCTCTTGGACACATTCTTTCAAAGACGATGGTGGCAACGTGTATGGACTTGGCAGGAGATGGCCCTACCTATGGGAGATGTGCGCTTTATGGCTGAGGCAGACACTCACCACCAGCCTCAAACCAACAGCACAATCACTTTGAATGAATTACTTGGGTTCAGTACAATGGTGTGCCTTATGAGGAGTCATGTTGTACACGGTACGTCGTATGGGGTGTAGTTGAATTATTATTAACACACAATGCTAACCAGTGGGTTAGGAGACGTGAGTGCAATGAAATCAGTAGCCCGTACAGTTGACTCAAGTCTCTACGAGATATCCCATGCGAGATCGTCAAACTTACTCCGTATCTCTGGAAGCAAGGATAGATTTGACAGCCTCATTTTCTCATTAATGTCATCCAGCCGACGCTGTTACGATCCTGCTGATTATGTTTATGGTGTGTTAGGGATGATGCAAATCAAGATCCCAAGGAAAACTGATGCGAATGAAGTTTGGATGCATTTGTTGCATGAGCTGGGTAATCATGGTGAGCTTTATATGCTTGGCTTCCGATGCATTGGCCGTGAACACGAAATCGATTTACGTAAAGCTAAAACTATCGGTGAAGTTTATTCCAAATTGTTTCAAGTCTATCATGCTTTTTAAGGTTACTATCTGAAGCAAAAAATACCCTTTATTAAATGACTGTGATCCACCACTGTTACAACTTTTGAAGGTAGCTCCCGTATCATCCTATCCATGACCAAATCCAAGTACTGCCCCTTCTTGCTCATCTTTGTATATGGAATGAGTCGGCTACTTCTTGATCCACATGTCCCTGAGTGCTTGTCCTTTGCCATCATCCCATCCATCTGTTGCCTATCACCATTCTTAAAAGTCATACCTGGTCGCCCTGATAAGATTGGAAAAGACCTTGTCTGCTGTCTGTAAAGGTGTACAATCCAAAAAGTATTCGCCTGCATCTTTTGTTGCCATGTTTTAGCACACGCTCTCAATAAACATATTTGCTGCCTTGCTCATGGGTTACCTTCCACCTTGGCCAATGACGGGTGTTGTTAGTGTTTTGAAGAATGAGGACGACAGTCGACGGTCTTCTTTTACGCCATAAAGGTCGTGTTGCCATCGTCAATTGTAGTGTATGCCCAACTCGATTCGTCGTAAGAGTGGTTGGAAGTGGTGACATGTTGGAATGGAGGGAGTGGAAAGAAGATAAGGCGGTGCCACTCTGCTCTGAACCACCCGCATTAATAGCATCATGCAAACCATCATTGTTGCCACAAGTCCGCTGTCCACCACCTTTCTTCTTTCCCTCCCACTCACTTTCACAATCAACCTCACGAAGCTCCATTTCCTCCCACCTTTGGCAATGAACCCCTCCTCAAGTGACGAATTGGTGCGTGATTGCGACACTATACTGGAGCATGGTGGTAAAGAAATACTTTGATATGTAGAGTGAAAGATCACGTGCTTATTGATATGTCTATTCTATAAGACGATGCATCAACGACCTTTGCTGATATCACCAACGAGATTCGTTCTACTGCCAATCACCTATTGCAGCTCTACAAGAAGCGTTCCCAGATGCACACCTTGCATGCCAAGTTCCAAGCAGCTTTACGTGATGCTCGTACCATGTGCCACCTTGACCCTCAATCTCCACTTGGCTATCTTGCTGTGGGCCATGTTTACCGAGAACAAGGGAAACAGCTAAAGGCTATTGACATTTACACCATTGGAATCAATGCAGCATCCACCGATGATCCTTTGTATCCATCACTCATTCAACAAAAGGATGCAGCCACCTTGCAACTAGAGCAATGCGTTGATTTCATCACCCAACTGCCATTTGAGGTTGTGAGTCGTTACATTGTGCCGATAATAATGCAGCATCAGCCATCATCCACATACAATCAATGGCCTTATCTTCATGTTTCCATGGCTTGGCGAGAACGATTGCTCCGGTCAGCACCGTTGCACTATGAATTGGATCAACCTTTGAACATGTACATGAGAGCAGCAGCTGAGAACCAGTTGGAGCAATTCAAGGATTATGTTGGTACCGTTACATTGTGTCGCTTTCCTGGTGGCAGTAGCAACAATGAAAATGCACAAGTATTTCCATGGGAGGCTGCGACATCACTCACACGATTGAATTTGTATGGTATGTAAGCGTGTACTTGATATGGCCAAAAAGAAAAGATGACTCACTGCACATACACATACTATAGTCGACATTGAGGATCCTCCTGAGGAGCCCAGCAATGTGCTACCCATACTGATGGCTGTTGGTGACAGGTTGACGCACTTGGAATTGAGTATCGGATATCAGCATGATATGGATTCACATACACTGCCTGTTCATCTCGAGTGGATCTTGGAACATGTGCCCCACCTTCGAATGCTATCCATGACTCGCTTCACTGCCAATGAGTGGACTTTAAGCAACACATACCCCAACTTGGTCTCCTTGTGCATTCATGATCCGCCTCATACAATGACGCATGCAGCGGTGATGCATGTCTTGGAACATTGTCCTTCCTTACGAGCTCTCACCTTGTTTCGATGTGAGCAAAGTCAATCATTGCGAGCCATCCATGAACATTGTCCGTTGATCAACTACCTTCGCTATGCCCCTTCACGTGGTCAATATGAAGACGATTATGAGGATTTTGATTCAATCAACATGGACTCCAGCACCACACCAGGATTATCCAAATTGGACCTTGTAGTCGATTATTCAATGTATGAGTTATCAGATGTGGTATCATTATTGCAGCAGCATCACACCACTTTGGAAAACATCAGCATGACGGTGGGTTTGGACATAGCAACAGCCTATGATGGAAGAGAGGATTTGGATATTCCTTTTTCAAACCTCAAATCATTGAGCTTCAATCACTGTGAACAATCATCATCCATGTATCATTGGATCATACATAATGCTCCCAATATCACAACTCTCGACCTTGCCGTGTCCAGCTTTGCCATTCCCTCCACTACCATGTTCAATCCGGCAACCTATCATCACCTCACCACATTCAGTATGTTTGTTGCCAAGGATGCCCATGTTCAATTCTTGGATCGCCTCATTTCACATCATATCGATCTTGATCACCAATCATCTCTCAAGCACCTTTCCCTTTTCTTTTCATCCGTCAACACAACATCACCAGCATCCATTCAGAAAATTGGAGACTTGACACAGCTCGATGCACTTTCAATCAGAGTATTCGACGACAGCTGGATCAACAGCAAGGATGCTTTCAATATCATGCTCGACAAGCTTGCATCACGCGACCATCCATTCTCATCTTTCTCATGGGAGGCACATGCAGACATGTTGACCTATGTATTATACCATCTACAGAGCATGAATCAAATCAGGGACTTGAAGCTGGGCCATGGATTGAATGAATTGAACGTACTGCAAGTTTTAAACTGCAAGCCGACAAAGTCACTCACAATGGAATACATGGATGACATTTCACAACACACCCTCGATATGCTCGATGAACGCTTCAAAAATATCACTCTCAACCTGACAGTAGTCGTAAATTAGCATTTCTCCTCCTTATCAGCTCATTTTGTCAAAAATAAAACTTGTATGCGTGGATGTTCTTTCTAAGCTATAGCTCGATAGCAGTAGTCATTGAAATAAATTACCCCGTGCCCATTGACATTGCTTGAGTATTGTGTTTATTGAAACCTCTGTCGAACGTCTCAAGTGCCAATAGCCATCTCCACAGCGACTCCACTACCCATTATCCAAGAGGTTACCAAGCAACGTCTTCTCAACAACACAATGATGAATCAGCTCGAGGATGATGAGGTTGATGTAGAAGAAACCTATGCTTCGTTCACTGACGGTATACCTTTTCGGTTTGATATGATTTCCAGGACAGTGACGAACGACTATAGATCGCTAGATTACCATCAGAGGTTCCAGTTATGCATTATGGTATATGCTTTAGTAGGTCGCAGCCTAAGATTTCGTGTTCTCTCTCCCATCTTTATTATCCCGTTCCATTCTTTTCATATCCAATACAAAAATCTCATGGATTAAGATCACCCTTGACTATCACCTACTGCTTCTATCCTTCCTTTTGCTTTGAAATGACGAAAAGTGATAAAAATGCATCGAAGCCAAAGTCGAACACCATTTCTAATCATTCCTACACATGCTCAGAATATCTCCAGGGTTGATAGGATATGCTTTGTGTGCTTCAATTAGCCCACAGAACTAGCAATTGAACAAGTATTACACATCTTCCATTTGGTTTGGAGCATGAGAGTCACGCTACTTGCACATATCATTTCCTTACTTGTAATGTGAAAAGGATTTATGTATAACAATGTAATATGGGAAATATATATACAAGGGTTGTTCATTCTACGTCAAAGAACTATAAAAGAACATCTTAGCCCAAGTTGCAATGTCCCCTATCACCCTCTGTTTTACCTCTGTTTGTTCGGTACGCAACCGCTCTTCCTCCATGGCTCTTTCCACACTACGTTCTAACATGGTATCGTCGTAAAGTGCATTTTGTTCCAGAACCTTGCGACATCCTGTCATTGGACACTCGACACGCCCGCGGCTTCTTCTTAATAATCCCATGATTGCATCCCTGCTGAAACTATGTCCACATAATTTGCTGTTTTTGATGTAAGTAAACCAGCAATATGAACCCCTCCCCCTCATGTACAAGTAAAACTCACCTTGTCACAGGATCATCAAGCCAGGTACCGGTCAAAGGACATTTCATAGAGCGTCGGCCCTGAGACACCAGTAAATCGTCATCATCATCAGCAGTTTCAACTTCGCCAGGTGCAACATAGGGAGGCATTGGTTCATCCGTTCCATGGTTTACATCCTGTATTTCGACAACCATTAGTAGTCCAACCCATGATGAATGCCAATAATAAACTTACCCAAATAGCTTGACGGAAGTCCTCGAACTTTCTGTTAGTGTAATACTTCTTTTTGGCAGACATGGCACGATATTTGGCTTGTTCACGTTGTAGGGATTGATTGTAGGCAGCCACTGGATCATTCTATTCCACCCCCCATCCTTATTAGACACACATTCATCATATCGTATGATCCACTTACAATCGCCTCGCCTCGATGAATACGGTTGGCTAATTGTTGAAAGATCATCTTTTGTGTCGCAAGCTCATGCTCGGCGTCAATGCAAACAGTAACACTCTCTAACAGCTTTTGTGCCTATCAAAGTTGCAATAGTCCAACATGAGCCACGTTTCTTGATAGCCCTCAATCCCTCCACGAGTGTCACCTCTTCAGATTCACCAAGTTGTTCCAAGTCGATGGCGATATCTGCTGCTTGTTGATAGCCTTTTTGGACGTGGTTGAGCACTGAGTCATTGTCGTTCGTGAAACCAGCAAATCGAGCAGCGTCAAATGTTGTCAACTTGTATTGTTGGAGCTGATCTTGTATAGATTGAGCTGTCTGGTCGACATCGAGATCGTCGTCTTCAGCGTTATTGAGATTCCTTGAAGCAACTGCCATTGTGGGAAGGGGACAAAGTAGTGGTGGAACGAGTGATCGCGCGCTTCTCTCCGCGTCCCAAAAATTCGCGTCCTTACCCAGCAACACGTACCCAGCGGATTCAGGATGTCAACTTTTAACTTTTGATCATGCATAGTTGTGGAACTGAAGAGACGACGTTCTTTATTGCACTACATTTGATAAATGAAATGATAGGAGGTAGCCACTGTATGCATTGTATTCATTACATAAAGAACAACAACATACAAAGAGGCAACGTGATTCGGTCAAATGGAAACAGGAGAGCATAGCACTTCACTGTCCCAAAGTTTTTCTTTTCGCTGCTTGGTAGTAAATAAGAACGATTGCTTTCTATAATCGTGCATGTCATTCACAAATCTCTCTCGGTGAGCCAACTTTAGATAGTGCTTCGATGGTTGTCGTTGTTCGTTTGGGTCTTCAGCTGCAGTCGGGATGAGCTCAATAAAGGGTGATAGTAAGGTTTGCAAAGGTGAATCATTGGCATCCATCTTATGATTCGACAACGTCGACTTTGATTCCACAAAGGTGAATCGGCTATAGATGATGCACCCCTCGATGTAGTAATTTGAATCGATGTATACATGGTATATCACAAGGGGTACTTAACACATGTCACCGAGAAAAGAGTCGCTGCTCAAAGGAATATCAATGGGTAAAGACCATGGAGAATGACAAGCAGCATACGTATATACCACATTGGATCCATTGAGGAGTGTGGCCATGTACAGTATCACAAAGACAACAATGAGCATGCTTGTAATAAGACAATGAAATAAGCCCACATAGATGATGACAAAGATCAATGCATGAGCATTCTTTATGCATGGAAGCCCACATTATCATCAACAATGAGACTTTAGATTGTGTATGCGGTAGACGAACAAGGGATGGGGCGATAATGTTGGGTGACAAGATGCTTTGCTTTTATGTGCTTGGGTGTGGGAATCGTTGTCCACGCAAGAAAAGGAGGTCATGAATGATTGAAACTGATAAAGTGATCAAGTATCTTACTTAAGTCGGAGGAGAAGCTGCAGCATAAACAGCTTATGTATGTACATACAACATTTGCCGCACAAAAAGGAGGCCACTACTTTAACGATAACGTCATTCAAGGTTTCCACCCGGCAATGCTTGCCATCACACCTCCGCATATACAACACGACTATTCCTTGCTTTCCATCTGCAAAGCTTTCTTGCTGATCGATGATTTCTGATAATGATTGCAATCGCATGTGATTTTTAATTGTCAAAAATGAACGCTCGGACCATCCAAATATAGTTTATTGGCAGCTGCAGATGCTCTGCAATAGCAGTAACAAGTGCGCCGTGTTGCGCATCATCTTTCAAGTAGTACATCATCTCATGTTTGTTTTATTCAAGCAGCTTCTCTTTTATTTGATAATGTGGAATGACTAAGGAGATGGAAGCATGAATGATGATATTACAATAGCGTGTTGAATTAATGACCGTGGGATGCATCATGAAGGTGAACAAGTCCATTGCTAATTGCATTATCTGCTGACATGTGATTTTTTTGAAGCGGCAGGTCAAAATGACATCTGCGAGTTGTAGGTGACACACATTCAATCAAACACGCTTCTTTCTTCTCCTCCCTTTCTCTCTCTCTCTCACACACACTCACACACAGACAAAGGCACACTTGACGCCAACCTTCACCAATGACGCAGCGTACCTTTTCCATCAATGTCACTTCCGACAATGTTCCTGGCGAGACACCTGTGCGTCGGTCCATTCTCGCTCCATCAGAGCTCATGAAGATCCCTGCTCAAGGTGTTGAAACTCTTTATGACGTCCTCGACTATGCTGCAACAACCTACAAGGAACGACATGGTTTTGGATATCGTATCCTTGAAAAGACATTCAATGAAGAGAAGGAGATCAAACGTAGCAACGGCAAAGTGGATATCAAGCAATGGACATACTATCAGTTGAGTGGATATCACTATTACAGCTACAACGAGGCTCGAGAGATGACCAAGATACTCGGTGCTGGATTATACAAATTGGGCATGAAAAAGGGTGATCGATTGCATTTGTTTGCTTCTACAAGGTAAGGATGGGATGATGGAATGTCCAAAGGATATGCGACTAACATTGACGACAGTGTCGAGTGGATGATGATGGCACATGGTAAGGAGTGAATATGGATGTTAAGGAGAAGGGAATAGTAGTAATGGGACTAACAGGATGATGTAGCTGCATTTTCCCAGGCAATTTCCATTGTTACAGCTTATGATACACTTGGCGCTGAAGGTCTTCAACATTCAATCAATGAAACAAAGAGCTCTGTGTGTTTCATTAATGGCGATCAGCTGAATGTCTTGGAGGAAATCTTACCTTCTTGTCCTACCATCACGCATATCATTTACCGTGGCGACGGCGACGCTTCCGTGGTGGAGCGTTTACTCTCCAACAAACAAGTTCAACATGTCCTTCCTTTCCAAGAATTGTTGGTTGTCGGCAAGGCCAATCTTGTGGATCCTGTCAAGCCAGCCAGCGAAGATATCTGTTGCATTATGTATACCAGTGGCAGTACCGGCAACCCTAAAGGTGTTGTCTTGACCCATGGCAATGTGGTAGCTGCAAGTAAAGTAACAAAAGGAGGATGGTAAAAACATGATATGGGATGGCTTACCTTTGTTTTATTCAAGTTGCCGGTGTTTGTCGTATGTTGCAGCATCTTGTTGAAGACAATGATACCATGATGGCTTACCTCCCTTTGGCACATGTCCTTGAATTCCTTGTGGAGAATCTTTGTATCTTTTTGGGTCTTACTCTTGGCTATGGCACTATCAAGACATTGACAGATGCTTCGGTGCGAAACTGCAACGGTGATTTGATGGAGTTTGGTCCCACTATTATGACAGGCGTACCTCAAGTGTGGGAAACCATTCGCAAGACCATTCTTGGCAAAGTGGCTCAGCGAGGTCCACGTATTGAATCCGTATTCCAAGGTGCTTTGAACCTTAAGGAGTATCTTCAGAGCATGGGTTTACCTACCGGCTTTTTGGATCGCATTATCTTCAAGAATGTCAAACAACAACTCGGCGGTCGACTACGTTATGGCTTATCAGGTGGTGCACCACTCTCTTCTGAAACACAACAATTCTTATCCTTATCTTTGGCACCTATCATCTGTGGATACGGCATGACTGAAAGGTACGTTTTCATTGATTTCCTTTTTGGATAGATCAATTAGCTCACTCTCATTTTATTTATAGCTGCGGGTATGTGGAACTTGAGAAGAGGAAAACAGCGGGAAAAGGAGACTAATGGTCGATGGTAATAGTATGTGTGCTGTGATGGCTCCGGAGCAATTTGCTTTAGGCGAAGTGGGTGCACCTGTACCATGCGTTGAGGTGAAGCTGGTTGATGTGCCTGAGCTTGGTTACCTAAGCAGCAACAAGGATCGTCCACAAGGTGAAATTTGGATTCGTGGCCCATCTGTCACTTCCGGTTACTACAACCAAGAGGAACTTACAAAGGAAACCATTACGTCTGATGGCTGGCTCAAGACGGGTGATATCGGTGAATGGAATGCTACTGGTACCATTACTATCATTGATCGCAAAAAGAACCTCGTAAAGTTGAGCAATGGCGAATACATTGCCTTGGAAAAAGCCGAAAGTATCTACAAGACTTGCGTTATTGTGGAGAACATGTGCATGTACGTGGATCCCTTATACCCCAAACCCGTGGGTCTCGTCGTGCCTGTGGAAAAGTCCCTTCGATCGTTGGCAGCCAACAATGGTATCCATGTTGAGGATTGGGAGCAATTATGTGCCGATCGTCGAGTACGTAAACTCGTTCTGGATATGCTGCATACCCAAGCAAAACAATCAGGACTCAAGGGTGCCGAACTTATGCACGACATTTGGCTTTGCAAGGATCTTTGGACAACAGAGATGGTAATGATAAGGGAGATTGGCTTTTGGGATTAGTAGGATACTAACCTTCAGCAACCAGGGCTTGTTGACTCCAGCACAAAAGATCAAGCGAAAGGAAATCAGCGAGACCTATGCCAAAGAATTGAAGGACATGTAAGTGATTCAACTACGCATTGATGGACAAGAGATTTACAGTAATCACATCATAGGATTTCATCACAAAAGCAATGAGCTAGATGCCCTGCATGATCATTTCCCCCTTTAATATCAATTGCGTCGAACTCAATGTATAAGCATTCTCCAATCTACCATTTTAAGTGCATTCATGACTCTTGTGCAGTGATACGATGATAAGGAGGGAATAACTGGGTTTGGGGTATGGTTTATAGGCTCATGGACGAAAGCCAAGTAGAAAGGGATGATGCCTCTTTTTCATTCAACATTGCTTTCATGGGTCACAATAAAGACAACAACGACAACATACAGCTGAATTGCAATCATAAACAACTCTGCCCTGACAAACTTTTATGTTCAACACTTGAGCGACACGTTCATATGAAATCACCTCAATGTGCTTTATGTTAGGCTTTTATTACAATACATAGGAATCTCGTATGTATATGTATAGCTATTGAGAGATCGACAAAAAAGTAGGTTATATGTTAATTGCACGTGGCTGATGACATTTGGTCCGTGCAGCTGGGATCGGAAAAAGGGGTTGATGGAAGATGTGTCGGTGGTGAAAGGGCAAGCAGTGACAAGTGACGTCTGTCAGCTCAGCCGCCCCCGCCGTAACAAAAATTTTCGCGCTGTTGGCAACCGCTTGATCCTTCTTTTTCGCTTTAACAAACATGTCTGCCGCTGCCGCTACTGTGAGTGTCCACTTTTATCATAACTTGAATCGACAAACGCTAACATGTTCTTGTTGATAATCAATAGACTAAGCCCGGATTGGAGGAACAGCCCCAGGTCAAGTAAGTAGCTCTTGTCATGTCGACTCATCAAGTGCCCATTGGGAACAAGCTTTGCTCATGTCATTTGCGCGTTAATAGGATCCACCGCATTCGTATCACCTTGACCTCCCGCAACGTCAAGAACCTCGAGAAGGGTATGTGTTGATTGGATTGGTCTACCTAGGGTTGCCATGGCTTCAAGAAGCGTGTGTGTGTGTGTGTGTGTGTGTCACGATCACCAGATTTGGTATTAACCATGTACCTCGATACAATAGTCTCTGCTGATCTCATCCAACGTGCTAAGGACAAGCAGCTCAAGGTCAAGGGTCCCGTTCGTCTCCCTACCAAGGTCCTCCGCATCACCACCCGTAAGTCTCCCTGTGGTAACGGTTCCGAAACCTTCGACAAGTTCGAGATGAGAATCCACAAGCGTTTGATCGACTTGCACTCCCCCTCTGAGATCGTCAAGCAAATCACTTCCATCTCCATTGAGCCTGGTGTCGAGGTAAGGATATCATTAAACAAGTTGTGAATGTAAAATGATGGGATGGCTGACATGAATCAAAAATTTTTTCTCTTTCAGGTCGAAGTTACCATTGCTTAAATGTCCCCATTCCCCATTCATCATCCGCCTTTAAACGGACAGGGAGAATAAATTGACCTTAAAAGTATTCACTTCATTTTCTTTTACAACGTTGTGTTTCATCTTTGGTTGGGTGATCTAGTTGAATCATTTGGACATGTAATGTTGGATACACAAAAGGATGCTGCAATCGATCCAGGTTTGACACGTATCCATGGAAACCGATATTATAGTCGCCCTAGTGCACTTGATAATGTAGCAGCCACACAACATCAGAAGGAATAAACCTTGTTACTACCTTTGATATCCCTTGGATCTTTTGAAGCTCGCGCACATGCTAGAGGATGTATGCTTGATGTGCATATGATGGTGACTCTTTGTTTTTGTAACAGCTTTTATTATTGTACACGATTTTGATAAGCTTGTATATGTTGTTTGGGGGGGTGAAGACATCATCGCATCCAGTACGATCAAGTTGTATGTAACATAATAAGGTATTAATAAAACGGCGGGTGGAAGAAAAAGGAAGATGGATGGTATGTGTGTGTGAATAGATGGAGTATAAAGGATGGTTTAGGCCTTCTCGTCAAAGTTGGCTTCGATCTTGGTAGATTTACCGCCGGCGGCTGCTTCGACTTCGGCACGCTTTTGTTCGATATCTTCCTTGTGAGCAGCCAAATAAGCATCATAGTCGAGGTTGGTGACAATGATAGGACCATGGAAGATGACTTCCATTTCCTCCAAACTAAGTCCCTTAGGCTCTGGAGCAAAGAGAATGATCCATGCCAACATGATCAAGCCGATAACGCCATAGAGGATATAGGTGCCATATGTGATCTTATCCATGAGAATGGGTGTTACTTGACCAACAAGGATATTGGCACACCACAAAAGAGCTGAGGCAAAGGCAAAACCCTTGGAACGGATACGTAATGGGAAGATTTCGGCAATATAGATCCATGCAACAGGTGCCCAGGTTGTACCATAGAACGCAACGAAGATGAAAATGAAGGCTATAACCGCATTGGCCGCTTCTGGGTGTTCAGACATATTAATCACATGAGAGAGGTCTGCCTCGGACCATTCGACATAGCCACATCCACCATACAAGCCAGCCATGATAAAGAAGCCACAGCACATGCCAACCGAACCAATAATCATGAGTTTGACACGACCAAGCTTGTCGACCAACCACATGCCAGGAATACAAAAGATGACCATGACAATGTAATCGATACCGTTGGCAAGTAAAGATAAGTCACCCTTGAGACCTGCTTGCTTGAACATCAAAGGAGCATAATACTATATCAATTGTGAATGAGAACATGGCATTTTACAAGGGCTGTTATAATCATCGCATCATACCATAATCACGTTGGCACCAGTGAGTTGTTGAAATACTGCAATGGAACATCCAACCCAGAGAACACGACTATTCTTGCGATCCTTGAGCATTTGCCAGTAGTTGTCCACTGCCACGTTGTTTTCAAGCTCAACGTTATCCTTGATTTCTTGTAATTCATGCAACACGTAGGGATGGTTGAGATCGCCTTTGCCATGGATTCTTGCAAGGACTCGGTGTGCTTCATCAATACGGCCTTTTTCTACCAACCAACGTGGTGATCGAGGCAAAATGAAAGGTGCAAGAGCGAGAACAATGGCGGGAGCAATTTGTACAAGGTAAGGAGTACGCCATGACCAATCGCTCAAGAGGTAATTGGTACCAAAGCCTAGCCAACCGGAAACAAGCATACCGGTATCGATCATGAATTGTTGGAAGCCGACCAAACGACCACGAATTTCTTTGGGTGCCAATTCAGCATTATACATAGGTGCTGCAAACATTCGTGTGAGTAAAAAAAATAGGTACGTAGCACTTTGTATTACTTACAAAGGAAAGAGCAGGCACCAACAGAGAGACCCGAAATGAAACGACCCACCAATTGCATGGCAATATGGACTGATGCTGTTTGAAGGACACCACCCACAATAAACAATAATGCAGAAAGTGTAATGCTATCACGACGACCCCATCGATCAGACATCCAACCAGCAATTAAGCATCCAAAAACGGCACCACAGGCCATGAGAGAGTTAAGAGCGCCCTGTGCAACAAGTCGTATTAGATGATGTGGATCTGCATATCTTATTTCGCATTCCGATATAGATGTATACCTTGATGCCGGGAGTCAAGGGTGCAAAGTATTGTTGAAAAGGTTCCATTTCAATCACACTGCTGGTGACACCAAAGTCATCTATGTATGTTGGAAGTTGAGTGAGCCCCATTGTACGTTATGATAATCATCATCAAGATTCGCTTACAGCCGAAAAGGAAACCACCAAGAGCAGCAAAAGCAGTGTTTCTGGAAAAGGAGAAAAAAGTGTGCGTGTGAGCATGTAACGATGACAAGGTGATGAGAAATGGAGAGAAAAGGAAAAATGTGGCCAAGAGAGGCAACAAGGGGTATTTACATGTAAATGATGGCACCTGCTTCCGATTTTATGTTAGGGTCACTAGGCCCTTGTTTGACAGCGATGACTGGAGCCATTGATGGATTTACAAGACAATGTGGAGAAGAGCTTAACCCCAGGTCGCCCGCTTTTTATATTTATGGGATCTTCGGTTTTTCCATTGCTCCGTCCATGAATGATCTTGCCAGAAACAATCATAAATTGTGTTGCATTGCGGGGTGGGATGACGCGCGGGGGTGGTGGTGGAGATGGATACACACACACACCCACACATCGTGATCTTGCCTTGATGGGCGTGTGTATTTTCTTCACACAAGCCGCGGGTTCACATGTGCGCTTCAACGCTCGGATTATTTGACCTCTTTTGGTTTTGCTTTTCCCCATTTGTAGACTCTCAAAGGAATCAGGAAAATATAACCATTTGCTGCTTATAGCGAAAGGAAAAGGGACAAGGCCTTGTCACCACACACACAGAATGTCAACGAGCATGTCTCCTTCCCCCACACAATCAAGTTCATTGGGTTTAATGTGGGGCCCCTCATATCCTTGGAGTCGACGAATGAATGATGAGCGGTGATATATACCAAAGTGGATGATGAGCCTTTGGAACAAGTGGAAAAATTATCGATTGGCTGGTTATTCGCCGTCAACTTTGATTTCGGGAGGCACCCGCTATTGGTGAACGCCAAGAGGGTTACCTATATGACGTCGAAAGTAATTCACTTTCGATTTACACCTTTGCAATGAAAACGTCAAAGCATCCATAAGAGATCATCCTAATACAATGCTACATTGGTTGTTAATGCTACTACATACGCTAAATTCAAAAACACATGCTGACAGATTTAACTTTTTCCCAGTCATTGCTTTGTGCTTGTGCTTTGTGGTCGCACATACATCATCAGATTTGGTTTGTTTTCAGAAACATTCAAATGGAGTAAGGTCAACGCATTACAAGTTGTATTATGTAACCATGTTTCGTGCAACGGTTCTCTCTGTTCCTTGTTAACCAAGCTCACTTTGGGTCACCATGATTGATACGAGGGAAAATTTACCCAATTCGACCTTTGTGCGTTTGACCCGATATATAACATCACCCTTGTGTACAAGGAGCATGGTATTTAATTGGGCACACAAGTGACAAGCATAGCAATGATCGGTAGAAATGAGTGAGCATCAAGCTGAGCGCCATCTTCATTCGTGTGAAAATCCATCATACCATGTCCTTTTTAGAGTTAATGCGCCGGTCGAATCATAGATCAGTGCTCTTTCCATAATACCAACGCGAGAAGGGGCGTATAGATCACAATCGATTCTTTTGCTGAGTGATTTATCCGCTAGGGCCAACGCACGTATGTATTGTCATTCATGGGTAAGGCACTATTGGTATCCTGGATACGAACATGTCGACCTGGCAACCTGCCTGAAAATAGTATGCCATTCTTCTTATCTATGAACCTATGAAAACTCGGCTTGGCTTCACTTTCTGCATAAGGGGATATGTACTGGACGACGAAACATTCGGTATCCAAGGACAGCACCTGTTCCTGAAAATCAAGCAACGGTAGCGATGTTCCATTGAGAGCATTCGATGTTTCCAAAACAAGCGCTTTGTAATCTAAAGGCGTGGCTATGTTCATTCGTTCATCAAGTTTCAGAGAAGGATCATTCGATGACGATGATTGATAAGGTGTGTGTGCTACGCCTAATACGCATGAGCCATGTTGACAAATACAATACACATCCCACTAATCGGATCATCACATCACATTGCCCATGCCTATTAAGTAAAGAGAATTCATCTGCTCAACTTTATATATACAAAAATGATAGAGGGATAGAGAAACAGAGATGAATAACAAAGCGATGGAAAGGATGAAGAGAGGAGATTAGTACGTGAAGGAAGGAAGGAGAGAGAGAGAGAGAGAGAGAGAGGTAGGGTATAGCTTATTCTAATTTATCAAGATGGTCAAGTCGAGTAAGCACAATGTTCTTGCTAGTCTCTTCAATCTCGCCTGCCAAAAATACTTCATCCAGGATGGCATACACCTATCAAATCCTCCAATCAATATCCCATCCTTTGTCCACCACCTGTGCAACCTATTCAAACAGCCTACTTACCTTGTAGAAATTAAAGACCAAATCCAATTCGCAAACGTTACCAAAGAATGCATCCAAAACCTCGACGAAAAAGTGGATTGCTTCGAGATAGGCCAATTCGTTGTCATTGGTATCCACGCATACGCAAAAGAACAAGCCAGCATAACGACGATACACGATCTTGTAGTTACGATACTATCCACCATACCATCTTAGCATGAATATCAATACCATGCCCTCTTTTATCTTTACCTCGATAAAGTTGCTTTGGTGCTTCTGATCTCTCGGTGCAATTAAGCGGTGGACTTCGCCCTTGAGCTTGACCTTCTCGTCATCTTCAAATGGCACATACCACTTTGCTAGTCTTGTTTTGCCCTGACGATTCTGTACGAGGATGAAGCGAATCTATTACCGTGTGCTGATTAGATACTGTATGTGAACCCGTTGTATTCAATGCTGTACCATTGTGGTCGATTGAGAGGAGCGTCAAACGTTGGATGATGGAAATGAGTGGATGGGTGGGTTTTGAGGTGTGTAGGTGGTGGGGTTGTAGAGAGGTTATGTGTATGTTTTAATCAGCGCGGTTCGCCATTTCCTGCGATCCTCGTGGCACCTGACCTTAAACAGTGGATGATCATCAAAGATGTTTGCATAGCATAGATACGAACACCCAACCACCCATTCTTCCATTATAAAAGTATGATTGTTTTTCTGAAAAGTGCTTCATCACATTTATTCATCGTCATTCTCAACTACTACTACTGCTACTAGCTAACAACATGAAGAATAAAAAGGAAAAAAAGTAACACTTACTCAGTTTTTTTAGAGTGGGTTGCCTGCAACCACCGAATATAAAGGAAAAGAAAGGGTTAAAATAGAATGTGTGTGATGTGCACTTACTCAGTTTTTTTGTGTGGGTTATCTGCAACCACGACGCAAGGCGTTGATGTTTAAACAATGGGCCATTTGGGTTGACCACGGAAGCCGGCACGGTTATACAAGGCATCGGCATGGCGTCTTGCTTCGCTTCGAATTTCTTCTTCATTCATCGTCAAGAGCTCGCCCTTTTCGACCACCACACGACCATCGATAACGACCGTTTCAACGTTTTGTCCAATGGCAGCATACACAAGCGTCGAAATTGGGTTGGGGTTGGGGTTGGTGTGAAGTTTGCTTTCAAAATCAAGGACAACAAAGTCAGCCTTCTTGCCAGGTTCCAAGGAGCCAATCTCATGTTCCAAGCCAAGAGCCTTGGCGCCATTGATAGTAGCCATCTCGAGAACGGTTTCGGCAGGCATGGTCACGGGATCACAAGACACGGCCTTGTGGATAAGTGCAGCCAACTTCATTTCTTGAATCAAATCATAGCAATTGTTGCTTGGACCACCATCACAACCAAGACCCACATTGACACCAGCTTCAATCATACGTGGGATGGGAGCCACACCCGAAGCAAGCTTGCTGTTGGAGGAAGGGTTGTGCGACACATGAGTGCCCGTTTCAGCCAACATCTTGATATCGACATCGTCAAGCCAAACCATGTGCACAAGAACGGATTGATCACCAAGTAAACCAACATGTTGAGCGAATTCACAAGGGCGCATGTTATGGTTCTCGCGATAATGGACTTGATCAGCTTGCACTTCGGCACAATGCATGGTGATACGGATACCACGTTCACGCGACAATTGGGTCATTTCCTTGAGCAAATCCACGCTGATACCTGGAGGCGTGCGTGCACCAAACCAAACATCTAATAATCACAAGCCAATATCAGTAAAAGGAGTAGCGAAGGAAGGGATGCATCATGATAATACACTTACGAATACGATCATTGGCCTTGCCATGCCATTTCTCATGCATCTTGAGGACGCCCAACAAGCTCTGTTCACGTGTTTCGATCAAGCCAGGGTGCATGGTAAGTGCATTTTGGGAAGCGTATTTGCCAACGTCCATGACGATCTTGCCGATGCAGCCACGAATTCCGGATTCTTCAACGGCTTTGGCAATGCCATCGAACCCATACCGGTCCGCGCACATTGCTTCAAGGAAGGCTGTCGTACCAGACTTGAGCATTTCTGCAATACAAAGACGAGCGCTTGCATAGGTTTCCTCGTGAGTCATTTGGCCTTGCAACACCCAAATGGTTTCGCACAGCCACTGGATAAGCTCACAGTCATCACCAGAGCCACGGATCAAGCATTGGGCCAAATGCACATGCGTATCCACGAGGCCGGGGATCACCAACTTGTTCTCCAAATCATAGGTAGGTTCATCAGGGAAGGCCTTCTTGAGATCAACGGTCTTGCCCACTTGCTTGATACGGTTGCCTTCCACCATGATAGCACCATCCTTGATGATCTCACGGCGAGCATTCACCGTAGCAATTGTTCCATTGATATAAAGCATCTTGTTGTTGTTTTTTCCAAACGTGTGAAAGAAAAAAAGAAAGGATAATTTTCTTCGAGTGGACTGGTTGGGGGGTTCTTTATATTCTTTCTTGACAACAAGCTCAGCTGCTCCGACTGGGAAAAAGTGATCGGTAATGGGGAAAGCTTATCAGTAAGCTAACAATGTTTGGTTTGGTATGATAAGCTGAGATTGTATGTCGAAACATCCCATCATCATCATGCAATGGGGCCCGTGAATATCCACTTTGAAAGTGTCAACGAAGGTATTTAGCTCTAAAGATGACGCATAAAAGTCAAGTATAGCTGTTAGGATGCGTATCGTCTTGGGAAAGCATGATCCTGCTGATGGGTCAGCGTTAATATCAACGTCTATATGATGGGAAAGATAGCTCCTTGGCAGGAAGAATAGTCTTTAGCACCTCGAGAACGTGTAGTACTAGTACCTTGCCCCATGTCAAATGTACCGTCATTAGGGTGGGAAAGTCATGAGCATATTAGGCTGATCCCACTTTTGTTCAAGGGGGGATACGTTACTCGTCTATGTATTGGTGGATGAGAACAATTCCCATCTCCCTTAAAATGTTGTTGGATATAGACATTGTTGAAAAGATACACACATCCACTTGACGGATCTGGTGACTTTGAGCCAAAAGGGGATACACCCATGATGAAGTAGTACATTTATCGAATGATAGAACCACAAAGAAAGGGAACAATGAAAAAAGGGGTCAAGGAATTGGTATCGTAGTAGCTCAAAGACAATGACTTCTTGGATTACTACCATGCATCAGAAACAAACGACATGAATTTTTATTGGATGTCCATTTTCTCTACTGTGATTCCTATTCGTCTTTTTCTTTTTCGAGAATCTTTGTGCCTGCCCCTCGCTCGTCCCGTTCTTGTTTGCTCATGGAAAGCACTGATCCATGCCGACAGTCGACTGATCCCACAACCCACTCTTCAACAGCAATGTCAACCTCTCATGCCGCCGCCCAGGATCTGTTTGACGTCCCTAGCGAATTCCTAAACGATACCCTGCAGACCGACCCCTTCCCCATTTACCGCATTTCAAGTGATCAGTATGCCTCGCTTTATCAACAATATATCACGACACCCTTGCCGAATGCTTCACAGCTCTTTCCATGGTTGCATGGCGTGGATGGCCATTCATATCAACAAAACTTGTATTTTGGTGTACGACGATGTCTTCCTCCTCGGTATCGAGGCCTGATGGTGGTGCATAGTCAACAACAGCAAGAGGATCATGAGGTTGATATGGATGGTGCTATTGGTGACGAGAATGATAGTGGCATATTCCAAGTACGACGATCACGATTATTACGAGATGCTATCTCAGTCAAGGAATTGGTGGATAGTAGTACAGACACCTTTTATGATTACAAGGACTCCACTGTCAATCTACGCAATTTTCAGATCCAGGCGTTGAGATTTGCAAGTATCAGCGACCTTGTTGTCTATGGACGGGATGCCTTGGAGACGGCAAAGTCATTGGCGAAAGCACAGCTTCATTTGAGGAAAGAACGCATGGCCGACATTGAAAAGGTCAAGAAGAATGCTGGTAAACGAGCCATCAAGGATGCCAATGATCTCATCTACCGGGTACTTGTGATACAAGGTTTGTATTTAGAATGACATCAGGGAGGGGATGTTTCGCATCTATGTTGCTGACATTTATTTGTGATTTAGATCCTGTGGAAGACATTGCACAGAAATACCCATACCTATTCAGTCATCCTTTGAGATTCTGGGAACAAGAGCAGAATGAGATTCGTGCCATGAGTGCAGCATCAGAGATCACAGACCACATTTGGGTAAGTGGGTACTTCCTATACACACACACATACATATGGATATTAACATTACCAATAGGTGGGTCATACACAAGATGCACCTTCCGATGATGGTGATTTGGATGACATGGATGGCAGCAGCAGCACCAATTTTTCGATTTGTATCGAAGCACATGATCTAGCAGACATGCCATCACCCTCCACACTTACTTTGGCACGTGAGACATTGAATGAAGAATATCCCCCTTCGGTCGGAACGATCTTTCTCGATGTATATTCGACATTTATGCCTTCATCGGTGGCATCCTTTGATAAGTTTTACGACAAGCTTATCCACTTGCTTCGATTCATGGATGATCAGGCCGCACGAGAACGGGATATCCTTATTCATTGCTCGGATGGATACAGTGAAACGAGCTTATTGGTACTCTCTTGGATCATGTACAAGCAAAAGCTGCGACTACCAGAGGCATTCTTGTACCTCCAAGAGAAACGAAGCTTTTTCGTTTATGCCGCTGACATGTTGACATTGAAACGAATCGATTCTTATCTCCAATCGGGTGCTGCAACACGTGTCATTCTCACTTCTGATGCTGCGCGTAACAACGGAGTCGACGATGAAGAATACGATGATGATGACGATGATGAAGATGAAGATATGGAGACACCACGCGCTGGTAATCGAACCCTCTTCGATGACACCTATCTCAACGAGGTATCCAACAACAACAACAACAACAACGACAGCGACAAGAGTATGACCATGCTGGACACTGAAAATGTATACGGCACCAATATCATGGAAAATCCATTGATGCCTGTGATCGATCCTCAATCCAAAAGTCGCTTTGATTGGTTCTATTCGCCTCGTTTTGAAGGATCTTTCCCATCACGTATTCTCCCATTCCTGTATCTCGGCAATCTCAATCATGCAACCAACCCAGGTATGCTCAAGGTGCTAGGGATCACACACATTGTCAGCGTTGGTGAACATGCTGGTCTCGATGCATCCGAATTCAAGGTTCATTTTCTCGATAATCTCTATGATGATGGCATTGATTCCATTGAGAGCAGACTCGAAGAAGCTGTCAAGTTTATTGGTAAGTGGATTGTGTGTGGGTGTCTATGTGTAGTAGAAGGGGCCTCTTTGTTGAACATGATTTATATATAGACGAGGCGCGATTACAAAACAGCCATTGTATGATCCATTGTCGAGTTGGCGTGAGCCGTAGTGCAGCAATTACGATTTGCTATATCATGCAGCATCTCAAGTATACCCTTGCACAGGCGTATTTGTTGGTGCGTGCAAGGCGATTGAACGTGATCATCCAACCCAATCTCAAGTTCATGTATGAAATGCTACAATTGGAACAGCGTATGTTTGGTCACAAATCCATTGCTTGGCCTGTGCTCTGTCGAGAGATCCATCTTTTGAATATGGCGTACCATGACAATGACGAGTTTTCATAATAGCGTATCTACTACTCCTCCTCTACTAGTGCATTATCCTCCTACCTTTCATTCTTCATTTATCCTCCTTGGCATCATTCTTTTATTCATCCATTTGCATTGATTGTATTAACTCATAATGAAAACAAAGCTTAAAAAAAAGGAAAAGCATATTTGGTGTATGACAACAATGATCCCGATTATCATGCAAGCATGTCTTTACCATGTGATTCTTTTCAAGCTTTTGGTGTCACACAAAATGTGGATACAAAAACTCCGAGCGGGATAGAAGAGTCAGCTCAAGTCAAATGGCAGCTTTCTGCTTAGCAGCAGTAGGAGAGACACACAGACATTAGCTTTGCTCTCTTGCTCTCTCTTTCTCTCTTTCTCTTTTTCTCTTTTTTATATATAATACACACATGACCTCCTTGGCAGAACTACGCCAACGTCTCCTCCATCGCTACTATGTACTCCACCTAATGTACGGCTGCGGCTACCTCTACGTGTCATTTAAGCGTTTACGGGATCCCAATGTCGAGTTTACAGTAAGTAGCGTCATGGCGCGCGCGCTCTCTCTTTCTCTTCACGCGCTTGACAATGATAACACCATATTCACGTGCCATGATACTAACTCGATTCGCATTAGGATGCTGAACGCAATGCTCACTTGGCACTCTTTGGTTTCTCGGTGTGGAAGGCGCTTATGGCTAATACAGCTGAAGAATTGGCAAGCGTCTTGATACTGTATACCAAGTTCTTTTCATTTTGCATGATTTATTGGAAACATGGCATGGGATACTCGGTACTTTACCTCATTGGTTGGTTCAGTAAGTTGATAAAGTCAAGGGAAAGCACGTTTTAGATACTTACTATGATGAAACAGCATTGTCAACACTCTTTCCTCAGCCATGGTATCAAGGTCCTACCAAGATTACCGAGCTGTCACAAGATGAACTTGTTAACAAGGTCAAAGGCTCCAAGGATAAGAAACCAGCATCCAAGTATTGGGTTGTTATGCTTTATGCAAATTGGTCCCTGGCTTGTCTCAACTTTGAAGCGGTCCTCGCCAAACTTTCTCTAAAGTACTCTGCCGATCATATCAAGTTTGGTAAATCACAACTCACCATCACTACAAAGGCTACCCTACTCACCTACGCCCATTTACCTTAGGCAAATTGGATATCGATGTGTATGGTGATGTCGCAGAGGAATATGGTATCAGCCGTGATCCAGCATCTTTTGATCTCCCAGCATTACTTCTCTTTCGAGATGGCGCTCTCATTCGACGTCTACCAGAGTTGACTGTACCCAACGAATCATCTTCTGCAGCAAGAACAGCCAAAGATACGATTACACGCATTGGATGGAGCAAAAAAGCGGTAAATGCCAAGGATGAAAAGAGAGGATGGAGGTGGAGAAAAACTCATTGTATATGAATGTATCGTAGGCAACGGTGGTTCAAGCATTTCATTTGGATAAGATCCTAGTTGAGAAATAAGACAAGCTTAAATAGAGATAAAGAGCATCTTTTGCATTTCATTGATGATGAATGATGGTTGAAAACGAAACTGAAATAGGAAATGAGGAAAAAAAAGGAGGAGGAGAAGGGAAAAAAGAGAGAGGGGATGATGAAGAAGAGGAAAAGAAAACTGTGTACACGGGCTCTTGTGGCCCTTATGCCACGACGACAGCAACTAGTGGGAAACTCTAGGTACAGCAAGGGAGGAAGGATTACTCGAGATGTTAAAAGGTAAAGATGAAAATAGAGACGCTAGTGCAACGAAAATGAGGATGTATGTGGAGGAAGCGAATGATTGGAGTAGGATGTCTCTGTGTGCGTGTGTGTGTGTATATGTGTGATGACTGCTGGGATATGTACCTAGAAGGTGTACATCTTTTCCATTGCTTGTCGTTGAAGCACATTGTGCTGGAACCTATAAAATGATTGGTGTTAATAGGGATGTGGTCATCAATGAGGGATGATAAAGGGAGTTGTGTATGGGAGGAGGATGACCATGACAAGGGAGGGGATGAGAGAGAAATTTACTTTTTCAAATTGTCGTTCTCCTGTACAAGACGCTCCACCTCCGCCAAGAGCTCAGATTGCATGTTCTTCAAGTGCTGGATTTGCTGAACAGCTATAATAAAACGAATCCAATTAATCATGCATAATAGAGGATGAGGAGGAGGAAATCAATTTTTAGGTTACCCTACTACGACCACTACTTACTTCGAGTGAGCAAAGCTGCCTTGCTCATCTTTTTATTGTTGCAACCAGGCAAATGCTTTCGTAATTCATCAAAGCCATCCTTGATTTGGGCTCGTCGCTTTTGTTCAGATTGGATATGGATTTGTCGACGCAATTCGGCTGATGTAGCACCACCATGGTTTCGCCTAATAATAATACGCCATAGGTGTTGGATCATCATCAATCATCATCATCCCATACATAATAGCTTGCATATTCCGACGATGTCCCTTTCCCCTTATGAACCCAAAATACACACACACACACACACACACACACACACACACTTACTCGTCCAAATCATCATCATCAACATCATCTTCTTCAGAATCTGCTGCTTCATCTCGCTTCTTCTTGCTAACAAGATCCTCTGAAGAGCTATTGTTGGAATGAAGACCAGCTGAACGTTTGCGCTTGTTACGCTTAGCATCCATTTTACGCTCGTATGTCTCTTTTGAGTACTCAAGAAACTCTGTGTGATAAAACTCCATAGGAACAGAGTTGGCTCTGGCAATGGTCTCCTTCACACGTTCAGTCGTCGAATTCGAAAATGTGGTTGTCGATGATGAGGATGATATCAATGGCGTGGCTGTTGGTGGTTGAGGTTGAGGAGGAGGAATGGGCGTATCCAAAGGTTGGACAGAGAGTTGTGAAAAGTTGATCGCAGCTGCAGCAGCCGCTGCTGCTGCTGCTGTGGAACATGTAGAAACTGAGTTATCCATAACAGCTGGTGTTGTTGTGGTTGCTGTAGTGGTAGTGGTGGTTGTAGCAGTAATACCCATATTACTGTTATTGTTGTTGTTGCCAGCTGCGGCTGCAGCAGGTGGCGTTTGAGGCGAAGAGTTGGATGATATCGAATCATCTGGGCTTGTAGGATGATATCCATTCAATCGCATCTGATAGGCCGCAGCAGCTGCCATTGTTGGCATCGGCTGGTAATTCATTTGCATTTGCTGAAAGCCGTAGCCTATATAACAACATGATGAGTTTTTTGCTGCTTGATCATTATTGTATAGGGAGTAGGTGGTAATAGTAGTAGCGCAAAATCAAAATGTGAATGACAAGGATATAACCCACTAGGAGCGGGGATGGATAAATGGATGGGAGAGGAGTCGAGAATAAGAAAGAAGGGATGATGGTAATTATGATGATGCGACAGCTACAACAGCCATTTGCTTTTTGTATGATAGCTTACCCTGATAGAAAGGCTGCTGTTGCTGCTGTTGTTGTTGTTGTTGCTGGGTACCATCATCGAATGCAGCAGTAGCCGAAGGTGAATCCATCTTTTGCTGTTCAACCATTGAATCGAAAGCACCAGTAGACATGATGGGGTCTGGATTTGAATACTCGGCAGGGATGTATTGGTTGGAGCATGAGGTGGTGTTGGATAGAACAATCTCACTCATAGTTGCGTGTATTGTGTGATTTGTCGTGAGAGAAGTAATTTTAGGGTGTTGAAAAAGATGTGCGAGTATTGAAGTCGTGCTTCTTGTTGAGCCGAAAAATATACAAAAACGAGCGTATTGAGTATTGTCAACGAGTGTAGTGGGTGTTTAAGAGCGTTTGCAAGTTGCAACGGCCTTTGAAAGAAAGGAAAGGAGAGGGCTGACTAAAAGTAGTGGTGATGTGTAAGCGACGAGTGAGACGTCGTTGATAATTGTGTTGCGGAGAGAAAGAGTGAGGAAAAGAGAAAGAAAGAAAAGATGGGAAAAGGGGAGGGCGTAAAAGGACACCGAGAAAAGGGCCTAAGCCTATCGTACACATACACACACACTCACACACTTGTGAAAAGGAGGGCAAAAAGATGGGTCTTGTGCAACGGCAGTGTGAATAGTAGTGTTCCAGCAGCATGATCGTGATTGCCACCCCCAAATAACCAAGCCAGTAACTCTCCTTGCAATGTCTCCTTCCCCGCATAACATCATTGAGCCAATCGTGCTGCTGCGGATCATAGCCACGTTGAAGATGCATCATTATCATTGCTGTATGTGGAGTCGACATGTGCCTTTTGCGCAATACAAGATACATTTATATAAAGTGATATTATAAGTTGCATGTATGCGAGTGTATGTGATTGAAGGCGCGTGCGTGCGTGTTTGTGCTCTTGGCTCGACCCCCTTATTGTTGTGGTATTTGGATTTAATCACTCACATTCTGTGTGCCTCTTTCTTTCTCTCTTTCTCTTTCACTTTTCCTTCCCCTTTTCTACACACTTACGCACGTACACGCACACACATGGCAATCAAAAAGCTCTTTAGCAAGATCAACAACCATCGTTCCTCTAAAACGGGTATCACCACCACCCATCATCGCGACAATGAAAAATGCGAAATAGTCCCCAGCCATCCATCTTCACTTACGGATGCTGCATCGACACCGGATATGCGAAACAAGAAAAAAAAGTCATCATCAACCAAGAAATGGCGTAAAAAGTTCTCACTTCCAAGTGGGTCATCATGGACAACATACGCCAATAACAACAACAGCAGCAACACCCCACGACGTAGAAATAGCCTAGTGGCCTTTACTCCATCCGGCTCATTACCCTGTTTCAGAGCAGGATCAACCACTGATCCTACCACAGTGACAACTTCATCAGCTTCGTTTGCTGATCATGACTACAATGACGTTGACGAGTTGCCACTTCCCCAACGGCCTTTTTCATGCTCGACGGTGATCATGCCTGATATCCTGCACGCTTTACGCAGTAACGATAAGGACCCACATGAAGATAATTACAATGAGCATGAAGAACAGCTTATGACAGTGGATGAATCGAGCTCTTTTGCATCACGTTATTGCATTGCGTCGTCAAGCAAGTTTCAGCAGTCATCCATTTGTTCGGCTGTCGGGCAACATGTTGTGTCACCGTCAATGCATGCAGCCCCTTCTTGCTCATCCGCTCCCGCCAGTAGCATCGATAGCAAAACAGCGGCACCAACCACTACTACTAGTACTCCTCCTGAAACTTGCTACAAATCAGTCACCCACAATGAAAAGATCGAATTGACGCCACCTTTCTTACCATCCTCACCACCACCTTCCACCACCGATTTGGCTGCTATCGCCTCTGTGGATCATCATTCATCATCACAACAAGGTAATTGTTTGTTTTATGTACTCAATGTGTGGGAAGCCGTGTGTGAGCCGCCCAAATGCACATCACCTGTTATTCTAACAAAAATTAATACCCGTGTTTCCCACGTATCATAGATGTCTTGGCACCTGGTGGTAGTAAATCATCAGCGATGATTGCAAAGTTGCAAGTAGACAAGACCGTCGCAGAGATGCGATTAGCACAATCAACACGATCGTTACAAGGCGCCATGCAAGAAATCAAGTTCCTAAAGAACCGAATCAAGTACCTCGAGACGCAGGACGTTGAGGCTGAAGATTTATTGCGAATGCATACGCGTGCACAGCTTGGATTGATTGAGTATTTGGAAGGAGAGGATGATTTGGCTATTGCGCTTGAACGATTTAAGCGGCAATTGATGGAAAGCGATGAGGAGCAGAGCAGCCAGCATCAACAACAACAACAACAACAACAAAAGGATAACGGCCCTGTTCCACCATCATCATCATCATCAGCTTCAGCACAACAACAATCTTCTCTCCCCACCAGTAAAGAGGCTGATAGGGATAACCCATATTGACTCTCATCCATTCTCATCACCTTGTAACTTTTTGTGTGTCTTACTATTAATATGCCCATTCATCACCAATTTGTATTCATGCAGCATCATCATCCCACCATATATCATTCACATTCCTTCCTCTCTCATTCCTTCATTTGACTTGTTTCTATGACAACTTGCATACACTATCATAAAAATAACAACTTTTATTTACAGCTTGGTTTGACTTCCGAGATGTTGCCGTATGATGGGAAATTAGCTGCATTGTCGTGGCTTTGGTGTTGTGGTCAGGACGCCAACAAAGATGCATGCATACTTGTAGATAGTACAGGATGATGGAAAAACCAAGACAACGCCTACTTGTAATGCATCCACACAAACATTTACTTTCACCTTCAACACCGACACCCTTATGTATGTACGCCAATCACTTTTCCAGAAGAATGATACTGTTGAAGAAGAGTAGCCGAGTCATCTTACAAACAAGACTTTATTCTCAAACGGTTGTAGTCTTTGGAGTGGTCATTGTCTCTTGGATACATGTATGGGGAATGTAAAAACAAGGAGTGGAGCAAGAAAATGTCACGGATTTGGTATTATTGGCTCTTTCAAGTATTCATTGTCTACATCCAATGCTCGTATGGGGTGACAGATGGTTCGTGTGCCGGATGCCTTATATAGCTCAAAGGAGAATTGGGTGTTGCTGATGAGCTGATGTTGCTGGTGTAAAGAAACGTGGCAAAATACATGCGTTGCTATGGCGTTGTTGCTGACATCCTTGCTCCTCCACAACATCCTTGGATGATAAATGTTAGAATCCTGACCATCTTTCATCTACTAGTATACACCTACCTTTGAACTTGAAGTTGTAGTAAAAAGTGGATCGTTCGCAGTGGTACCAAAAGGGTGATGGATGTCTAATAAATTGGGTCAGGATCCAAGACCTCTTGGTTGATTGGTTGGCGTGTACCTCTATACCAAAGTGATTGTTTCGCCACCTTCAATATGCTTGCAATAGAATGATTCTTGCCTACTGCAGTGCGCTTCGCTTGCTGATCATTGCCTAAATAACCCATATGTATGACAAGGATCAGAATACATACTGCTTCATTATCCTGAACAATGAAGCCCTCACCCTTGTGACGCTGTTTACCTTTGTTTCACTCGTGTCTTCAAGCTGATACCCGTATTATAGTAGCTGTAAAGTTATGATGATTGTGTAAAAGGCTGGCGTGTGTATGTGTGTTTGGGCTGGGTGTGGGTGCTTGAAATCAAAGCCTTGTGTCCAAAAAAGAGCACCGACCTTGGACGCGTCCATTCGAAGGTGAATGAGTCAATCGTGCTGGGAAGCAACATGTCAATGGGCAATGAAAGAAGGAATGCGAGTGATGGAGGAATAACGAATGAGGAAAAGGAAGCAAACGAAAGAAGGGCAAGTGTAACCAGCGCTGCATTAAAGTGCGTGAATCAATTTAGGCTCAGTGATCTCTTATACATACACGCTTTCTTTATGAGACTGATGCCATGCCTATTTACAGGATTCGTATACACAAGATCTTTTCTTCATGTAATAGCAATGACAAATCATGCTTAAAAGAATCATCCTACGAAGTAAAAGTGTGCTTTTTGTAGAGGACCAAAATCTTTCCCAATGTTGTCGACGACACGACGATCCTCGTTCAAAACAATCATCGCGTGGAACCACTAAATAAAAGACCATGATCGCAATAATGATATGTAATGCACGTGTTTTCGATGGGTTGGTGTTATCCAATTCGAATGTAGCATGATTACTTATCAAAGTTGTATCGATTTATCTTCCATGAGATACTACAACAAGGCATGGCATTCAAAGTTACCAGTCGGGTGGGATCGGATATGGATTGCAAGACGATCACAACACGTGGCTATAAGTAATGGAGATATGAAGATGGTGTGTGTATGGAAAGATCCAAGCTTGTTCCAAAAGGAAAGATGGTCTTGATGCACGACGAGTGAATGTTTGAAAATTTTCTATTGCGAAATATCCATAATATGCATAAACAACAAACCTTGGCTATTTTTGTCTAGCAAAGAATTGGATGCGTTTTTAGTTGTAGCGATCGCGTAATACTGTATGCGGCACATCCAAAACAGAAGAGCTGGATAGAGAATGAAATTAAAGCTTAGTCCGCATAACTTTTGTAATAAACAAAGGAATACCTTACATACCTCATCATGCAACTCGCCCTTCAAATCCTCGGATGGCGATCTTATAAGTGGACCCCTTAGCCCCTTGCTCGGCAATTCCATAAATGGCTTGATCCAAAACCCCTATCTCGGATCATCCGATTGGCAACTTACATTTACATCCGCCAAAGCTGTGGTCAATGCCGCCAATCCACCTATCCAACGCATCACTTTTATCCATCAAAGCTTATCGAGTTACCCACGATATTAGAAGGTGGGATAAGAGCGTTATGATAACATCCATGATAGCTGAACACCAATGTGTAACTGGTGGCTGACACCATGATAACATTTGTTTGCATCAATGACTCGCCACGTTTGCGTAAACAATGGCCAAATGGTCTCAGGTCCGAGTAACTTCTTTTCCAACGAGAACACCGTTATCATCGATTATCTATCTCTTTCATTCTTCTTTCTATGGCTATCTTTTACAATCCTATCAAAAAGGTTAACATGGCCCCCTCCTTCTTGTTTCCTTTATGCTCCCTTGCATGATAATGATCAGCCATTAGAAAGAAAAAGCTGTCAGTGTTGATAGTGAAAGATGATGGCGGACCTAGAGAAGTTTAAGAGTGGAGTTGAATGAGCATGCCCACGTGTATCAAACTTGTGGTCATTCCTAATGACAGCTCGTTACCCAACTACAACGTGTGCTCTCCTCCTATGTTTACCTTTTCCTGGCCACATGCATCTTGTTTCTTTGTGTCAGTCTGCATGTAAAGCGAGAGAAATTTACAGTTTTCTACCTCGTGTTCCGACGAGCAAATTCATTCTTTGCTTCTTTGTGTCTCTTTCTCAAAATTGACAGCGTGTGAGCATTATCACCTCATTTTCCCCTTTGTTGTCGTCGTCGTCTCGTCCCTGAATATGTACGCCGCTCACTTGTCATACACAATGAGAATCCTGTTTGTCAAAATTTACGTTTCGGCACTGCCAGAATTGGTTGGCAACACCAAACCACTATATAAACCCACGTATATTTCCCTTTCCCCCACCTCCTCATTAATTTTCATCCGCTTCATTTAATACCTTCATACATCATCCTTTGCATATTACAACAACGCCATGTCACCAAACAACAACACCAAGACGCCAGCTGCCATCTGCTCCGCTCGCCATCACAAGGCCAATGGTACCTGCGCCGTTTGTGGATCGCGTTACCATATGACAAGTGAGTAATATTGCTTGCTATTCGAGTTGTTGTTGACATCGCTGACACATTCAACTTGCAGAGCACTGCCCTGTTCATCCTTGACGAGCAAAAAAGCGCTGCATCGTTACCATTGTCAATGACAAAGCATATCCGACATATACCCCCCACCTCTTTTCAATAGAAAATCCTGCATTCATTCATACACGACGCGATCGATCGGTCAATCAAAAGCATCAGCATCCTCCCCATTCTTTTCTTTCTATAGTATCTCCACCATTATTGTGTCATCCTTCATATCTACTAAACTTGCACTCCATATCATTGTCGTTTTAAAGAGGCGGTTGATGAAACTTGTGATGTTTGTGTCATCTTGGGACCAACCTTCTCCGATGACTCATTGCTATCCTTCCCAATTACACAACAACAACTGCTGGCACGTGGAGCAAAGAGGCTTTCAAAACTACCCTGTCATCATGATGTGGCTGGTTTTCCACCCCTGTTGCCTTTTAGTGTGGTCAATCATGATGATGGATATGTAATCACAAACGTGTGTGTGCCACAATCTAGCTGTAAACGCCAAATATGAATTGTTTATAAGCGCATGCAAATCTTTGCAAACCCAATGTTTTGTTGCTTATCAGATCGGATATCTGATATAGCCTTGACCCGTACAAAAAGTACTGCATGTATCCCTTTGTGCTGGTTCTTTGCTGCCCGATGTGCGTTGGTGCGATACACATACGCAGCACACGCATCGGATTTCATTCCGACCTCCTTTTGATGATCCCGAGCTCATTTGACATTTCGTGTCACCATCGATTTTTACCTTACCTAAAAGTTGCCAACGACATACCTGGCACTAATATCATGCATTCATCATGACCACGAAAAAAGCATACTATCGAGCAAAAGTCAAGTCATTCAACGCATTTTATTTCGGACTAGCTGCTGTGTGGGTATACTAAATGTGGCGACGCAGGGTTTTGTTTGACTTGTGCATGATCCAGCGACAGGTGGTTATGAAACACAATGGATGATTGGCTATGTAGTACTTTGATTCATCATGACAAGTGTGTGCAACATGGTGTGGATGGTTGCACTGCCAAGCCTGCAATACACAATGCCTTATACAGATGACGCTGTTGAAAAGTTGCTCACGTCGCGTAAGCGCTTACTAGATACCCTCCTTGGATGAGAACAATCATTTTCATTGAAAGCACCTCTTGAAAGAGTCACTTGATCCATCTAAGCTTGTCATTTTCATCCTTGGAATACATGATGATGCTCTACGTGTGTAACATCGATCGTTCGCATTCGTTAATATACGTCAATGTTTTACGTGTTCCTTATGGCCAAGACACATGAGCCATAGGCTGTTGAATGTAACGGCGTTTACAAAGATGGAGTACTGATGAGCGTTACACGCATGATTTAATGCATCATCCAGGTACGATGCGTGGCCAACATGTACAGCGTTTTAATATGGGTGTCAAATAGGGCCCTGTAATCATCACCAAGATGCTCTCTCAATCGATTTCTTATGCAAGAAATAGGCATATTGATATGATGGCGATACAAGGGATATATATGTTTTTTGCGTCAGACTCCGGTTGAGGAGGTTAAATGGCCGCATTAGATTGTTGGCGTGACAGCTAGGTTTATGCAGGCAATACATATACATACAATCAAAGTGGATTCATGTGACACCAAGAGATGTATGACATTTATTCTTACTGTACAATGAATGAATGAATGAATGGTCACAATGAAGCTAATAGTATTACTGCGACCCTCCAGTTATACAAAAAGGGGAGAGCTCAAAAGTACGAGGATGATAAAGTGGCCCCGTTTTCAAATCTAAAAGACTAAAACGATAGCGATAATGATGGTGGATGATTGGTAGTAATGGATATACTAGGATGCTTATAGATAAGGCTCCATGCCAAGGCATTCGGCAACGGTGACGAATTTGACCTTGCCCTTGAGTTCATTGATGACCCAGGGAACAAGCTCGTTCACGGTTTGCTCATAGACCTGTGAACAATGAAACATGAGCAATCATTGACGGATGCAACAACAAGCACAATTTACCTCATGCTGCAAAGAAATATGGCCGGTTGCTCCATTCTTCAAGACCTCGTTGTATTCTTTCTTTTCTTCCACCAAATTGTGAGTGGCCCAATCTTGCGAATCGATATCCCACATGATGACACCCCTGGTTGAATACAGGTTAGCTCAAAAGCAAATGATTTTGTGCATAATGAATCCGATGCAAATGGATTTTTTTTTCACTTACCGATAACCAAGGTCTCCAAGGACCTCAAGCGCATTATCATCGTAAGCACCTTCAGGAGGGCGCATGACTAAAAGACGATACAAGGTTAAGAATCCATATTGCCATTTTGAGGTTGTTGTTCCATTCAAACTTACAAGCAGGTCTAAAACAGTAAAGGATGAGGTGAGATGACAAATTTCAATGATGGCATCATTACACGTGTGTATAACATACCTCTTGCCAATAGCATTATAGATCACGTCAGAATTTTTGTTCATTTGTTCCTCAATCTGGCTGCGGCCAAGGCCTTTAATATTCTTGTGCTGATAGGTGTGGCTTCCAATTTGGTGGCCAGCATCGCTCGCTTGCTTAAGAATGTCTTCATATGATTGGCCATTGACCTCATCCGTTTCGACGTTGCTACGTTTAAAGCAAAGTCAGTTTACAGGAAAGGTATGTAAAGAAGTTGCTATTACTTACGCGTAGTTATTGCCGTTGATGAAGAAGGTAGCCTTGACATCGTTATCATCAAGGAGCTTCAGTAATTGTGGCGTGAATTTGTATGGGCCATCATCAAATGTAAGGGCAAAGGTGCCAGATTCCTTGCACTTTGAGTAGACGTTGGCAGGTGCACGCTTAGCAAGCGGCATTGCAGATACGTATGAAGCCAAAGCAGCCAAGGAAACCAATGTCTTGAAGACCAATTGCATTGTGTTGTATGTGTGGTGGATAATAAAAGAAGATGTAAAAAGGTAAAGTGGGAATTAAAGAGAAACCCGGCTGCCTATTTATATTATTTCTTGGAAGCGTCATGTTGCCACCGCTGATGAGAAAGAAAAACAACCGGGCGCAAGCGGCGAGACGATATGGGGGGAGGGAGAAAAGTAAACTCGAGAGGATGATGCTTCTAACCGGAGTTGTGTGTTTTGCCTTTTACAAATCTCGTAAGCCCCTATCACTATATATCCATCTTATTACTACGATGATGAAGAAGCAACACCACCACCCTTTCTTTTCGCACACACCAACTACCCTTATACCAATATTACTTTTCCTTGCTACGCTCACCCCCTTTTCTTTGTACTACAAATGTAAATGCGCGCGTAAAGCAACCTCCTTTTCCCCTTGGAAGTCGACTCCCTGTTTTCCTTTAGAGGAGAACGAGATGACCCCCTTGAAATTGATCAAGCACATTATTGGGCGTCGTGTGTATCATCAACACTTTCATTGAGCTTGTGGCAACACAAAAACTTGTTTACGATTTGAGAACTCCATTTTGCATCAACCGATGTGTGTGTGTGACATGCCACCAAAGCCCAGCAACACATTTCCCAAAAACCAACATGACATGTCTTGATTTGGTTAAACCTGTGTTTTTGGAACATCGTTGTACAGAGTGAGGCGGCATGAACTTGGATCGCCCTTTGAGCTCGGGTTTTCCTGGGATGTGTGTGTGTGGGTGCGTTCCGTTTTGTGCAACCGCTATCGCCTTTTTGCTTTTTCACCATATCGGTAACGCCCCCCTTCATTGCCACAAACAGTCAAAAGTATATCGAAGAGTAGTGGTAGATGGCTAGACCAGGCCATTTTAAATGATCAGCATGTATGCTTTTCCCCTTCATGACCCCTGGTTACTTAAAGAGAGCTCGTGTCGTTCAATTGATGAGACGATGCAGGGCAAAAAATATATCCCGGGTCAAAGATGGTCGCTTCCGAATAGGAAAACTGTATTGTTGTCGGCTGCTGTTATGCCGTGTTGTTTCTGGAATGATAAGAAATTACGGCAAACGAAGACGCATTGTTGCGGCGATATGTCTCACTGAGTACATATAATTAACATTTGCGAATGTGTGTATGTTTAGCGATGGATAAAGCATGGGTGATGGGGTAACCTCTATTTTTGGCGTTTTTGTTTGGATTCCTCTTTACATAGACTTTAACGCATGTCATCTCATGCATCTGTTTCTGATTTTAGTTCTTGCCAAGATGTCATAATATTAGGTTGCACAACGCTATATGCATCTACCACCCAAGTATGAATCTCCAAGGAAATTCAAAGCCCCAACTCATGACGAAAATCCCCGTGAGACGGTTCCCAGCATTGTCTTTTCAAGAGGAGCTTTACCCATTGCATTCTTGAATTGTTGTACTGTAAAGCAAAAAAGAAAGAGGATTGGCTTGGTTTCTCCGAGAAAGGCCGTATATGATGTTGTAGAACGGATTTGCCGTCTTGCCGATAACAGTGACTCGAAAAGCAAATATGCAAGATGTCCATCAACTTTCCAAAGCTCAAGCATGCAAACTTATGTAACATGTCTATAACTTGTTCATCTCCGGACCTTTAACATCAACTTTGTTGCCTAGTCCTTGTTTACCTCCTGAAGAGTATAACCGATAACAGCTGTTTCAATGCCAAATGGTAAACTTGTCATTGTTTATTTTGTAAGGATCTCAACACCATCTTCAGTAACTAGCAAGGTGTGCTCAAATTGTGCTGAAAGCTTGCCATCCTTGGTTGTTGCAGTCCATGCGTCGGGCCTAAGATGTCTCAGTGAATATCAAACACGATGTGCCTTTTGAAAATCAAAGCTTACCAAACCACTTCACGGTGATCACCCTCACAAATCATTGGCTCAATAGTAAAGCAATGGCCAGGCTTCAAAATTCCAACAGCCTTGTTGTCTATGAAGCATCATATGAGTATTGCTATGGCTAGTGGGGAGAGAGGGAACACTTACTGGCATAATGAGGAACATCAGGTGGAGGATGGAAAAGTTGATTGATGCCATGTCCAACAAATGCGCGCACCACAGAGAATCCATTATTGTGTGCATGGTCTTGAATGATCTTGCCAAAGTCTCGGTATCGCATACCAGGTTTGACTATATAAAAAAGTTATTATTTGCCTTTTCCAAATCCTTGTCCAATACTTGCCTGCAGCAATTGCCTTATCCAAACATTCACGAGTACAATCCACCAACTTGCGTGCCGTCTCGCTCACATTACCAACACAGTATGTCTCATTCATATCACCATGGAATCCACCATAGTAGCAGGAGATGTCGATGTTGATAATATCACCATCTTCCAAAGGACGCTGATCCGGAATACCATGACAAATCACTAGTGGGATATGTTATTAGTCCCCTCCCCTATGGTCACCATCCATTCACCATCTTCTTCTTACCCTCGTTGACAGAACTACATGGCTCGGCAATCAGTATACATAACAATCAATGATGATGTGCGTGTGATACTAACGTGCAACATGACTTGGGAAAGTAATAATAGTTCAATGGTGATGGATATGCGCCGCGCTCAATGGTAGCTTCGTGGGCAATGCGATCTAGATATCACGTGACATATCAGCTTACATGCATTTGTCCCAAGCGCACACACATCACACACACTCCCCTGAAAAGCCTACCGATTTCATCTGTGGTGATACCAGGGCGCACAGCTGCAGCTGCAATATCCAAGACCTCACGTGTGATCTAATAGGAGGAGCCTCAGCCACACTGCGTATAGGCCAATGTCATGCTGCGCCTCGCTACATACCTTACAGACTTTCCGCATGCCTTCAATTTCTTCAGCGTTCAATACTTTGATTTGGTTGCTGCGACGATTGGCAATTTCAGAAGTGGGAATACCACCCTCAGCATAATCAGGTCGAGGAATGTGATCTGGAACAGCACGTCGAGGTGATAATGGATATACTGCACGCAACTTTCCTGTATAAGGGAACGTGGTGTATGGATCATATTGTGTGCCTGAAATACATAAACTACATTAGCAAACATTCACTCTATGCAATGAAGAGACCCACCTTGATGCTTCTTGTGTGCTGCCTTGTGAACACCCTAAGATCGACAACATGAGTGGACGAGATCGAGAATGTTGGTTGCACATTGCATACCCAGCTCTTTTTGAAGCAATCCTGAGAACAGAAGGAAGATCCTTCAACAATGTCTTGCTTGACACAAGTGGGGCATCGTAAATGAGCGGGTCGATCGCAGCTGACGGCCGAGCAAGTGGGTTCGGTGGTATCAACCATAGTTAAAGAAGCTGCACCTCCTGAGAAAAATCCGCCATCAAATTTATGCGGCGATGTTGACGCTGCCTGTCATGTGGGACGACAATCAAAAGAAGAATGAATCACACAATGTTTCTTTATTCAATTAAGTTAAACTTTTATGTATGTGAATGATTGATTAGAACAAAGAGTTGAGAATGGCAAAGGATAGTGACACAATCGAGAGACCAGCTGTGATGCGAACAACGTTTGCATTGGAGGTGGAGTTGGAAGCATGAGATCCAGAGCCAGTGCTTGAAGACGACGAACCACCGCTAGCACTAGAAGCTGGTTGCATACGAAGAGTGTTGGAATGACCAAGAGACATGCTACCGCTGCTATGGCTACCTGCTGATCCGGATGCCATGGCTCCTGCACCAGAGGCACTAGGCATACCAGTAGCAGCTGTACCTGATGCTGTTGCTGAAGAAGAAGATTGTTCACTAGAAACAACGGCACGGTTGGCAGCATCCTTGTCCATATCATCCAAATCCTCCTCATCCTCTTCTTCTGTGTCAGCGTTTTTCTTCTTTTGATCGGCTTCGTCGTCCATGTTTTTGTTCTTTTTCTCACTGACTTTTTCCTCTTCTTCCTCTTCCTCCTCATCTTCGTCATCGACGTTCTTGTTCTTGGATGGGCTGGTCTCTTTGTCCTTGTCATCATTGTTCTCCTTGTTCTTGCCCAAAGTGTTATCAACATCGACATCTTCCTCATCTTCTTCCTCATCCTCAGCATCCTTCTTCTTATCCTTGATATCTTCAACGTCATCCTCATCCTCGGCATCCTTTTTCTTGTCCTTGACATCTTCAACTTCGTCGTCATCCTCAGCATCCTTTTTCTTGTCCTTGACATCTTCAACTTCATCCTCATCATCGTCTTCGGCAATAGCAGTGGGTCCAGGTCCATATGCCACCTCGATGTGGGTCACCAACTTGGTCACTGTAACATCATCATCACCACCCACAAGGTCATCATTGTCCTTATCTTCTTGTTCTTGATCCTCATCCTCGTTCATACCGCCTTGTTCTTCCTCTTCATCAACATCGGCATCTTTTTGATTCTTGGCTTTGTCGTCTTGTTCATTCAACTTGCCAGTACCACCAGAAAGGATATCCGAATCATCGTTGTCTTCATCATCGGCCATTGCCTTGACTTGCTGGTGAATGATGTCACGTGCGTGTACTTTGTTACCATGGACATTCAATCCTTTGTCACGGTTATGCAATTCAGCGGCATGGGCTATAAGATAGATTACCAATGTTAGTGACATTATCATCATCATTGTTCCCATTGATCATGCTTACCCATAGTCACTGCCATAGTGGCAGCCAAAAGAACATAAAACTTGGATGTATGCATGATGATTACAACAGAGCGAATAAACACAAATGATTAGGCAATCGGTAACATTTGCAAGGATGCATACCTATTTATATAAGAATGGCTTCCCTGTCTCCAACATAATTTGAATTACAACTCTACGATTGGTTGGCATTTAAAAGATGGATCAATGTAAACAATGGATGAGCCAAGGTAGACAATAGGCCTAGCATGTATCATGATCCGAAATACTAATAAAAGCCATGTCATGGTTTATACGACTTGAGTGAATGGCGGTAGAGGATAAGAAGCATGTAATCTCATACTATAGGAATGAGCATTGTAGCCTGATCCAAGATGTGTTGCTGGTTTACTGATAATCTGGTGGCGAACACGGAGGAATGTGTTGTCACCTTGTTGTGTCTCTCTCCACACGAGCGCTATGTGAATGCATTTTGAATCGTCCTGACAACACCTTGCAGATCGACTGTTGTGGCACATCATTATTCACGCTACAATGTGTAATGGATGACAAGCGACCTGAGTATCTCGCATCGCTCGTAAACTTTTGATTTCTCTTTGAATAGCTGTACTTATTGTCAATGATCATGGAATTCACTTTTGCTCTCAAGATAAACCCACTCTTAGTGTATCAGAATAGGCATACATTTCTTACAAGAACGATAACACTATCACTTTTATCATTGCACCATCTAAGCTTAATCCACAAGCAACAGAAAGAGTGGGATAACCTAGATAAGTCTATGTAGCTACTATATCATGGCCATATGGGACCTTGCATGCTTGCTCCTAATTCTCAACGAGACGAGGGAAATTCATCAAGTAATCATCATCTTGCCAAGAGAAAGATCTATGCCATTGTCGTTGCCGTAATGTTTGTCATCATCACCTTTATAAAAAGATGAAGCAAATATGCAAGAATGCAAAGCCAAATCACCATCGATATCTCACCTTCATAGCGCCTAGGAACCCATATCAGTTGCTACCATCCATCCTCTCCAAAGAATTATGAACAATCAATCCCCCGTCATCCCGATAGAATCACCCATCAAAATACATCACGAGAAGAGTGCGTATTATCGTGCATTGATGATGACCAAAAGGTACAGGCTGGGAGTTGAAACCAAGGAGAGATGATGCCCAAAGTTGCACTACCTGACCAAGAACCTATTCAATTCATTATTAGCACACACGCACAATAAACACACTTTTCATTGTTTGTTTCATTGTACTTGCCTTTTCCATATACACAAAGACCCGTTGTTGTTGGTTACTGGAAACCGAAAACCATGGTGTAGTAGTGTTGAGCCGAAACAAAACGCCAAACCAGCCAACGTCTTGAAACCAAACTTGCCCCCTATATAAGCTAACACGTCAATGGAACCAGTTCCGCTGCAACATTGGACTCTGAATGTACCTGTTGACACCAAGCATAGAGCGAGAATAGCAACGAACAAGAGGAAGCAACGACATTGCCATGGCAACAACCACCCACCCACCACGCTCATTCCTCAGCACTTGGACACGCTCACTCCCTGACAATGCATGTTCAGAACTATGTTAATACCTCACAACCAACAAGAGCACTCTTGTATAATACATTACCTTGATCGGGATGTTGTGAATGGGATAAAAGCAGAGGAGGGAGAAGCGTCGTGGCTCAAGTCGTGGAGCTGCCCTCCCATATTTATCTCCCCACCACTATTACACTGAGGCCACTCAATTACCCCCTCCACACACATACACCATCCACCCATCCTCCTCCTCATGATATACAATACGTACAAGTAAATAAACGAAGCGATCCTCACGTATAGAAAAAGGGTATGTCTCATTTTACACTTTACATGATGATAATGAAGATCCAACAACAACCATTGTTTTACTACCAGGTCAGCTCGAATCAAGAAAGTTCAATGATGAAAATGATGGGCTATAGAAGGACAGTCGTTCACATGCATTGGATTGGGCAACAATGGAGAATGGGAGGACTAGGTTATTAGCTAGCATTTTGAACTCTTCCTAAATAGTGTACAAGGATCATGCATCGCCTGTGCTGAATGACTCAAGTTACACAAACACGCCCTCAGCATCTTTGGCTCTATTGTAGTGATACTACTTTACAATGAACAAAGACCATCTTTCATATACCATCACGCTTACAGCATATGTAAAACATAAAGGCACCTGTATCTCCAAACTTTACAATCAAACGTGGGCTCTTTAATAGATCAACGTGCTCGTCGGGGTCAAAGGAACCTTGTGTCAAAGTATGAAGTTCATCGTGGGCAATCCCAGATTTCGCAATGTCGCTACCAGCCAAACTGGATCCAGGGGTCAACCTCTTCGACGATGACGACCAAAAAATATTTTTTGGGCTGTTTGTGACATTGAACGCGAAACTTTCACATAAGGTGCTGTTGGCCAAGCCGAGCCCATTGCTGTAATAAAAAGCCCACGTTTCATTGTAAAGTTTGGAGATACAGGCACCTTTATGTTTGTAAGCGTGATGCTATAAGAAGAGTGGTCTTTGTCCATTGTCAAGTAGGTGGACTCTGGCAGAGCAAAAGATGCAGAGGGTCGTGTTGTGTAACACAGCTACGTTTGCATGAATGGAAGGGTCAATGTATAATTACTTTATAGATCATCTAGGAACAGGCATGTATTGCTAGCTAACGGCCACTTTTATCCAATCATCATTGCTCCGAGATCCACTGCATGGGAACGATGCCCCTACTCCAGACATTCATTTCCATGATTAAAGTAGGTTGATCCGAGCTGATTTGACTGAGCTGCGGTCAAAGAGAGATTACATCACTCTGGACATAAAGCACGCTCGATGTAGCTCAACCGATGTAATCTTGTGTGAGCGTAACTCAACCAAATCAGCTCGGATCAGCCTACTTTAATCATGGAAATGAATGTCTAGAGCAGGAGCATCGTCCACCTACAATAGAATGCACAAAAGTTGGGAATGCACAAAAGTGGCTATTAGCTGCCAATGTATGACATCAAAGTGAGGGTTGCGTACCTTTCATGCATTGTCCCTGAAGTCCTGACTTTTTAGCTGAGTTACCCAAAGAGGTCCTTCTGCATCTTTGGCTCTGCCAGGGTCCACCTACTTGACAATGAACAAAGACCACTCTTCTTATAGCATCACGCTTACAAACATAAACGTGCCTGTATCTCCAAACTTTACAATGAAACGTGGGGTTTTGAATAGAGCAATGGGCTCGGCTTGGCGAACAGCACCTTGTGTGAAAGTTTCACGATCAAGCTTGCCAATCCCAGATTTCGCAATGTCGCTACCAGCCAAACTGGATCTGGGGGTCGACCTCTTGGACGACGGCGACCAAAAAATATTTTTTGGGCTGTTTGCGACATTGAACGCGAAACTTTCACACAAGGTGCTGTTGGCCAAGCCGAGCCCATTGCTCTAATAAAAACCACATGTTTCATTGTAAAGTTTGGAGATACAGGCGCCTTTATGTTTTAACTATGCTGTAAGCGTGATGGAGTTGCTTTTTCCTAGTGGATGGTGTCGGCTGCATTAACGGAAAGATGAAGAGCTGAGTGAAACGGCACGTGGGGTGGTTACACAGACTTGTCCTTGACAGGTTGCTACACAAATGATGATGATGATGATTGCCTTTTGTGAAGGTACGTAAGTAAACAGTATCCAATAATGAAGGTGTGTCAAGGTATGCATCACATTTGCATGTAGAAGAAAGTCGAGCTGCATAAACCAATTTGTATATGTAAAAAGATACATATACATATTGAATGAGTCACTCATCCTGAAACTCAATGGAGGGACCGCTTCAGTTTTTCTCTTCTGAAGCTCATCCCACTTCCCACTCCTCCTTATTGTATAACAAAAGCCATGTACTTCTTGCTTGACCGATAACCGGACCACCTTTATTATTCCATCTTCGAAGCAATAGTATGTAATCCACAAGCTAGCAACCTCCAACAAGCGTGTAATAAATAAATAATGCTTTATTTCATCTAGCTACTGTATCTTGCTACTGTACATTGCCACCACCATCATCATAGTCGTCCTCCGTCATCATTCATATTCGTACTCGTACTCGGTCACACCAAACATCCAAAAATACACAAGTTGAAAAGAATGGGATCTTGCAGGCTTCCTTTTGAATCTCGTTGTCGTCATCATTGTCATTGTTGTAGATTGTTGTAGATGGGGTGATCATCGTAATCGTCGTCTCTACAAATAAGAAAGCAGGCAAGTTAGACCATATGGTACCGGAATGATGACGATTTGGTATACCGTTAGGCGATCCTCTCCAAGGAAGAAAGCAAATCAGAAGGAATTCACAAACCAAATCACCACCATACGAGCAACGTCGGGCGATCCCTTGTTCTTGAGAAAGCACTGCACGAATCACGCAAGGCCAGTTCGATCCATGGCGAGGAAGGACATCACTTACGTAGCGTCCAGGCTCATAGTTGTTCTCATTCATCCTCTCCAAAGAAAGAATGATCCCCAATCCTTCCAATCATTTCCCACCCCATGAAAAGAAATCCTCAAGGGAAAGAACGAGCCTATCACGAGGGAGCGCGTGTTGGTTAAACACATTCACAAGCTGTTGCAAATCCCCTTTTACCTCAACACGGTGACCATGCTCTTCCAAAAACCCATCGTCATCGACCCATCAACTCAAACGCAGGCCTATAGAGCCCTGGGCGCGTTCCAAGAAGCTTTCTCAGCACACTTGGCTGGTGCAGAGAGTGACGCAGCGGCCACTTGATACAGGCTGGGACTTGAACCCAAAGAGATGATGATGATGCCCCAAGTTGCATTGCCTGACCAAAGAAACCTATTCAATTCATTATACATAAGCACACACACAATAAACACCCTTTTCATTGTTTGTTTCATTGCACTTGCCTTTTCCATATACACAAAGAACCTCTTTGTTGTTGGTTACTGGAAACCGAAAACCATGGTGTAGTAGTGTAGTTGAGCCGAAACAAAACGTCAAACAAAACCAGCCAACGCCTTGACACCAAACTTGCCCTCTATACAAGCTAACACGTCAATGGAACCAGTTCGGCTGCAACATTGGACTCTGAATGTACCTCTTGACACCAAGCATAGGGCGGGTACAGCAACGAACAAGAGCAAGCAACGATATCGCCATGGCAACCACCAACCACCCAGCACGCTCATTCCTCAGCACTTGAACACACTCACTCCCTGACAATGCATGTTCAGAACTACATTAATACCTCACAGCTAACAAGAGCACTTTTTTATAGAACATTACCTTGATCGTGATGTCGTGAATGGGGTAAAAGTAGAGGAGGGAGAAAGAGAAGAGAAGCGTTGTCTCAAGTCGTGGAACTACCGTCCCCCAAGTTTAAATCCCCTACTGCTATTACACTGAGGCCACCCAATTACCCTATACACACCATCCACCCACCATGATCATCACCCTCACTATAGACAATAGGTACATGTAAATAAAGCGAATGGTTCTCACGTATAGCAAAAGCGTGTGTCATTGTACACTTTACATGATAATGATGATCCAACAACAACCATTGCCTTAGTACAAGGCCCTCAACAAGCATCAGCCTGTTTTCGCCTCAATCCGATGCATCCTCTTTCCTGCTATGCTCGATGTTGTCCTTAACAACAAAAAATCCTTCACTTTGCACACTACATGTACCAATCGCGCTCCCTCCGATAAGAAGATCACTCTTACTAGTAACTCAATATTGCACAAGCAAACATGGTGTGGTCAATATTCCGGAAATGGTCAGCGGATCCAAAAGCATCGAACATCATAGTAGGACCATCCGCATTGGCCACGTTACACAATGTGGAGCTCAAAGCCATCACTTTTAAAAGAGTAAAAAGTTCGACTTTCATGAACAACGCATTGCAAATCCAATACCCCTTTTTTGAAATAGGCCTGGCCACATCACTATGAGCAAGATGAGTAGCAATTCATCATTTCTGGTACGGTTGTAATGGTGCGAGTATATCGGATTTGAAACAACCATCATCTGCTGATTCACATTATGCATCACTGTTTCCAGCGTTCACGTGTCGTCTGATGGAAGTGACAACTTGATCATTGATAAATTGGAAGACAGCTTTCAGCGAGTTTAGCTGGCAATCACAAGCGAGTGTCAACCCCAACGTGCCTGTGGATATGAATCCCTTGATCTTTTGTAGACGTAGGATAATGACATATAGGACTGCACAGCCGAAGAATAGCAAAGTAGTGTAAAGTGAGATCGGAACCTTGACTAGCTAGTTACTTTTAATCACATCGAAGAAGCTGAAGTATCCCATCACCACGTCAATGTTGTCATGTAATCACTTGTCGCCGCTTCCCTCAATATTACTTGCGAATCACTGATTTCACATCATGATTTATCATACTACAAATGCCTCTTTTCCTTTTTCTCACTCTTCTTCCCACTCGACTCAATTTATCAAGTTCCAAACCATGTCTCTCGTGTCAAACGCAAATACAATGAACCAATCATCCACACCTACTCCCCTCTCACCCCCATCGCACAGCAACTGTTGTTGCGGTCGAGACAATTGCCATACCCGTCAAAAGTGGCAAGAGGACATGCATGAATTGAAGAATGATGCCCGTACAGTTGCTGGTAAGTCATCCATAAATGTACCCGATTACTTGCCTTCTTGTTAATGCATGCATCACATAATAGACATCGCCCAAGAACTTCTCAAAGAAAATGAGCAACTTGAACAACAATTATCTGAAAGAACCAAACAAGTGCAACAGGTAACTCATTGTATTACTTTCGAGAGGGTAACAGCGCTTTAAACGTGGTCACATGTATAGCTTGAAGCTCGTTTGGAACGTGTCAACGCCATGTACAAGGATGTCAAGCATGATTTGAAAGCCAAATCAAACCAAGTCAGGGACATGCAGCTCTTTGTGCAAGACACCGTGTGCGAAGCTCGTACTCGAGAGGTGATCTTGCGCGGAAAGGTGAGTCGTGTGGATCTGGTGATATCGTGAATATGCGATCCTGATCCTCTTGTATGTGTAGCTCAAAGCGGCTGAAGGCAAGACAATCGTTGCTGAACACAAGTTGAAGGTTGCAGAGAAGATCATGGCTAAAGACAAGCCCACCAATGATAATCAGGGTAAGCAATATGCAGTGTGCACGTCCTTGCGCTTTCCTTTGTTGACTTTTGTTGTCTCTTTTTGGGATAGGTACACCACTCTTGCCGCCTCAACCATCCCACACAAAGCCGCCACAACCATCCCGCAAGAACCTTCCTCCATCAACACAACCGCAACCTTCTTCTTCCAACGTAACCCGACCACCACCACCATCACAACAACAACAACCATCATCATCATCTAAGCCCGCATCCTTGAAACCTACACTTGCCGCCCGACCATCTCCGTTCGTTTTCAAAAACGTCCAACCTGTCAATGTATGGACCACAAAAGTGACCACTACATTACAGAGATTGAAGGCGACGGATCTCCATTCCATGAAGCAACGAGCGGGCCGTCCCTATGACAAGGCGGACACAAGTGCAATAAGCAATTCGTTGATCCAAAGCATACTGTTTGATATTGAGCGGCTCCACACAACTGAACACGCCCCAATATTGGATATATGCAAAGCACTACTTTACGAAATCGGCGAGTTGCGTACAAGGTTGAACGATAGTTTGTAGTAAAATAGCACCATTTGTATTAATATTAAAGAGCCTAACATGGCTTTTGTATAATGATAAACATGCCCGATAGTGTTGCTTGCTTGCGTGTATGATACGTGACAACAATGAATTTTAAGGGGATGCTCATTGAAGTGGTAAATCGTAAGTCGTATCCTCCTATGCCACCATCTGCCTCGAGATTAAAATGATTGTGACCCATGGATACATCGTTGTGATAAGGTTGTTGGTACATAGTAAGATCACAGTTGTCAAGGGATACCAGCCACCCCTTTTCATAACAAAGCTTCAATCATCTGGAGCTGGGTATCTCATTGGCCGATCGTTGACCAAGTTGCTTTTTCTCGAGTATACATAATAGTATGCATTGGGATACTCCGTGTCAATCGCAACACCTTTGCCATTGTTGAGTGTTCAAGAGGAGCTCATACGTATGTGGTATCACTGATTTATGGTACAAAATCAAACTACGTGCATACATGTACATAATTCAGTGGTATAGCCTTTCTAGATACTTGGTGTATATAGCGAGAGAGATCCTTAACAGTGGTATGTCTGGTTTTTGGATAGTAGGCATATGCACGTGATGACGTGCTCAAAACAAAGGATGATTCCAGAGGGCGTAATGGGTACGTTGCAAATGAAAGCTGCTTCCTGATTAGGAGGGAAAAAGGAGGGCAGTGTCATACATTGATCCTTCCAATCCTGCAAATCAATTTTGTTACACAAACACGTCCCTGTTCATCGTTGGCTGTATCAGGGACTAGCTTGACAATGAACAAAGACCATTTGTCATATAGCATCACGCTCACATCATATGGAAAACACAAAGGTTCCTGTATCTCTAAATTTTACAATGAAACGCGAGGTCTTTATGAGAACAAAGTTGCTCGTCGCGGTCAAAGGAATCCTGTGTGTAAGTTTCAGGATACTGTTGACCCGCACAAGCAGCTCTGTTCTATTAAAGAGCCCACGTTTGATTGTAAAGTGTAGAGATACAAGTGCCTTTATGATTTACATAGCTATAAGCGTGATGCTATATGGAAAGTGGTCTTTGTTCATTGTCAAGTAGCTGGTCCCTGACAGAGCCGAAGATGCTGATGGGTGTGTGTAACACAGCTGAGTGGATAGAACTGGAGTGTCAATGCATGATAGAGACACAAACTTTAATTTCCTGTTCTACATGTATTGCCAGCTAATAGCCCATTCCTCCCATTCACCTTTGTTGCCCAAACCAATGCATACAAACGATTCTTCTGCTCCAGCTCATCATTTCCATCATTCAACTTTCTTGATTCGATGGGATTTGACTGAATAACGCTTAAACAAAGAAACGACATCCAAGGCCATCAGCTCAACTCCTTGCAATTCCCACTTCTTCCACTCACCGCTTCTTGCCTCTTGCTCCCATTTTCAACTGTTGGCCCCATTCAAGTATACAACTACCACCTGCGAACGATTGTCCTGCTTCAACCCATCATGTCAATCCTACGGTTGCCATGATCCGATTGTCTTTGACTGAATGGGCAAGTCCATGGCGTGTGCACTCTACTACAACACGCGAATCACTCTACTACAACACACGCTCTTGCACGCTCCTCTGCCACAACCAATCGCAACGGAATTCATTGCAGCAATTGCTATCAGCAAGGTCTTCACGCCGTTGTGTCAAGTTACTTGCAGCAAGTTGTCTTGCAGCCTTGTTTACGTGGACAGCAGATAGCCCATTGTATAGAACCATCTTTATTTACACGTAGCAGCTTGCTTCAATACATACGACTTCTTATGGATATGGATCTTGTTTTGGTACATGGATGGAAGGAATTGGGGTATATACAACGTGTGGAAAAAGAGGGTAACCATTGTCACCTGGATCATTATGGATGCTTGATACTATCATCCTGAACGATTGGTGCATCCAAGTATCGAACTTACACGCTATTCCATGGCAGCAACTATCATCATTCAACTCGCATGTTGTATAGGATAAGTCGTTACCACTTATAAGGACCACTTTACATCCATCCATCCACCTTTACACAATGCACACCCAAAGGATTAAACTTCCCACATCGATGTATCTCTTCCATTGGAGCAATTCATTGTACCCTTCTTCAATCTATCTCTTGTACATGATGTTGATTAAAGGATTGCGTTGCCAACCATTTATAAGTCTCAATAAGACCTTCCCTCTTCCTGAGATGGACCTCTTGTCGTGTGTGGGTACTTGGTTGATTATACTATAGATAGATGTATGGTATTGGCAAATGCAGGATTGTAGAAGTATACTGCGTCCATTTGTGAATGCCGTGATAAAGGAAGAGGAAGAGTTTGATTGATTCATTATGTCTCGATTGTACAACTAACATCCCTCTTTTCGTTGCAACGTAGCTATTTTATTACTATACGGCGGGAGAGGGTGTACGGGGACTGGGATGGTGATGATAACAAAGCAATGAAATACAACAATGGCCTCTCTTCTTATTCCGCCAACTTCTATTATTCTCACCATGGGGGAACATCACCACCGCCACAAGAAACGAAAGCATGAGGATCACCACTCGGAAAGGAAGCGCCATCGTCATTCTGAAAAGAAGCATAAGCGCCATCACTCTCGACACGAGTCCAAATCGTCCACTTCGTCAGCCAATGACCTGGAGGAACTTAAACGGCTTGCCAAGCTATACAACAAAAAAGAGGAAAAGAAACATGACGACGCTTCTACTACAGTATCCAAAACGCACAGTGGTGGAAAACAACGTGCACCTATGATACCACAAACCAAGGAGGATTATGAAAAGCAACGATCCGTTATCCGACATGAATACGATCCAGAGACTGGCAGAATGCGGTGGGATGGGGATAAGGGGATAGCTTATCTATGTATATGATGGTGATGAGCTGATCATGTAAACACCACCTCCCCTTTTATGTAGGTTGGTTCGTGGATCTGGTGAAATCCTTGAAAGTTTGGTTAGCCGTGATCAACATCGACAAATCAACAAGACTGCGACAATGACGGATGGAATGACATTTCAAAAACACGTGAATCGAGGTATGTAGTAAACTTTTTTCTTGGAGAGTGTTTAATCACTAAGCCAGTAATTATGCATATGCGTATATATATATATGTTGTGTGTTGTATGTGCGTGAATAACATAGAATAATTACGAAATGAGATTGCGAAATAAAGCTATAGGATTATGCAATATGTATAAATGAATGTGTTATGCAGAGGATTGGAAAGCAGGTGTCAATGAGAAGACGTAATGATAGTCAGGTTTAAAGGAATGTGTCATGCAACCATGGATCACCGTTGAAGAAGCTCCAATGCCCGATTTGCTGTATAAGATTCGCATATCCGCTCCTTCAAGAACTTGGATCAATTCGCTCTACAAACATCATAGAAATAAGCATTGTATTGCACCACTAGACTTCCTTTATACCACTTACTGTTTCCGCATGTCGTACTTCAATAAAGTTAGGATCAAATCCAATCACGTAAGGATAGCAGAATGCAACAGAACGTGGTGTGCCATGCCATTCGATTCTACATACAATTGATCCCCATTAGCTATACCATCCCTTTATCCATCATCATGTCATTACTGGCATCTTACCTTGGTTGACCATGAATATACCTGCCCTTCATATCAACGAGGAAAGCAAATTCATTGTAGCAGAGGAGATAATTGCTTTGACATCGGAACATGCCAAGGGGTATCAGTTGATCTTGACGCTTTTGCACAAATTGGAAATCCGGATCGTCTAATTCTGGCAGTGGATGGTTCCTCAGCGTATCCAAGCTAATGATCTCAAATCCTCGTTCGCATACAATGGCAAGTCGTTTGTTCAGGATGTGTATTGCCGATGATTCAGCGCCAATATAAAAGTCCTACATAGCGCAAATAAAGACGTCAGTGATCATTGTAACAACCACATAGCCGTGGTAGGACTTACCCTGTATGATTTGAACCAAGATGGCGCCCTGCTCAATAATCCCGTTTTGGTATTCAGGTATTTGCTATTGCGTGAATCTCTCAAATCACCGCATACAGGTTCCAATGCCGTAAACACGCTGTCGACACCCTTTTTCTTTTTGACCACCACAATGACTCGACGATCGCATACTCCAGCTTGGAAGAAAGAGACGCTTTTGGCTAGTTGATAGGATGGTAACTTTTGTCGAGATTTTAGTGATGACGTCGTTGAAGTTGGATCCAATGCATCAAGTGGGTATGCCATCAACACCTTGTCTATTGGGAAAAGTTTAGCATAAGATGATGATGGGAATTGCTGTGTGCACACACATACCTGCCAACACGAGAAAGATGTGATAATCTTGTAGGACTGCCAATTGAGTCACACTGGCAGTGTTCAATACTTTGGTCAAATTGGAGCTGCCCTCTGCACCCATCCATACTCCTTGTTCAGTGCCAATGGCCACCATTTGCTGTCCACGTGCTCCCACTAGAAACGCATAATGTCAATAAGATGGCTGCTATTTTTTCATACCATGCCATTTACTTACCGAATGCAGCGCTGCATGTCACCTTTCCATTGCTAGCAGGGCCACTTGCTGTTGTAAAGGTTGTATCGCTCAAAGTCTTGATATTGAACACCTTGCGCTCAGGGTGTGCCTCCTCAAATGCTGCCTTTGCATCCATGATCTTTGTCTTCCACTCATTTCGGGTTTGGGCATCTGGTACGTGGAATACATAATCGCCTTCCTTATTACCAAGGTGTCGAATGATGAGCGTGGATGATGTGGGTGGCGTTGTAACGGGTGGACTTAGAGGTGCGGTGGAATGGTAGGATGAAGACCATGTTGAGCGGTGACTTGTGTTGGATACACCATTGGCATTCTCACGTACGGTGAGCAGCTCGAGTGGGATAGGGCGTCTCCAAACATAGTGAATGTTGTCTCTTGGTTTGGTGATGAGTAACAAGTGATCAAACAGGTACAAGTGATGCTCTTTGTCTTCCATGTAGATACGACGCTTAACGACACCCGAGTGTAATAATTGACGGCCCTTTTCTCTTAACCTTAGATCCACAAAAGGTGTCCCCGATTTGAACTGCAAATTGTCATCGACTTCGTAAATTGCCAATTTCATGCGTGTCTCCTTTGTCAAATCATCCGTTCGTGTACAAACGCTCCTGATAATCTCGTCGCATCGAATGAGATCATGTCGATCGGGATGATTCTCAGGTGTCTTTTCAAGAATGGCCTTAATCAACAATGGATAACGCTGAAGGCGACTGAGAGGCGTGATCAAAAAGTGACGAAAGGGTAACTTGCGACACTCGGCCTGTTTCTCACGTTCGCGTACAAAGTTCTGAAATAGGATATTGTTGCTCGTCTCTCGTTTGATCAAATACTCAGCGACTGGAACATGCGGACCATAACGGGTATATGCTTTCATGAAACGGTCCACGTAGCGAAGCATGATGTTGCCAATTCGATCCACAAATCCACCTTTTGACCGCACTTGACACAGCGTTTGGTAGTCGTGTAATTCACGAAAGAGGTTCTTGTGCATCACCAATAGTTCTTGGTAATTGCTGAAGACATTATCACAAAAGGCGTCGCGACGTCCCTCATCAATACATTGGGCGGATCGAAGAGTGCGTGCATATATCTAATTTTTTCCATCATGTTAATAACAAGAAAACGACACCTTTGAAAATGGTATTGGATTATTACCTCGTCCAGCAAGCAAAGATCACGCACGTAATTGTCTTCGGTGTAAATCAACTCATAGATGGCTTCTTGTCGTTGAATCTCCTTCTTGGGAGTGTCTTTGATAATAGCTGCGGGGACACTTGCTTGCCATGCCTTTGAAAACGCCTATAATGATATATTGGGTTTAGCATAAATGATGTATACGTAAACATGTCGTACATACCGTATCATGTGAAGAGGCAACGGACGACGACGTAGCTGACTTGGTTCTTTGAACAGGTCGCTGTTTATTAAAAGAAAACGCCAAGAGCTTTGTTAGCTATAATTTGCATCCACCAGATAATAGAAAACTTACTTGTGTGTCAGATTCAATCGACGCTGTACGCTTTACGCGGTTGGGACAAGACAATGAATAACATCCAATAGACCCAGCAGTACACGTCTGAGAATAACACGAGGAAAACGGGGTATAGACGCCGTGTGGATATTGTCCTTCATCCTCATCCAATCCAATCACTGTGTAAATCTCGGATGCATCCGTATAGAGCTTGTTCTTCCTCAAAGACTTTTCAGCATAGCTTGTTGGTGTAATGAGTGGTGGTGAAGTGTGCATCAATGATCTCGCAACCTCCTTGTATTGACCATCCTTCAAGTCAAATGGGACAATTTCTTTCATGATCCGCTATTATTGCACAATGATGATTAGAGTGATGATCCCTTATACCCACAATACTACATTACCATTGCTTCCTCGCCTGTAAAGCAAAGAGGATATTCATCAGAGCAATAAAGGCGGCGGGTGTTGTTGAGTTCTTGGACATGACGCACAAACTCGTTGGCAAGAGTGGAAAAGAGTGCAAAGTTGTTGCTGGATTCGAGTCCTTGTATGGTGGGCACATCACTATTCGTGGATCGTTGACTCGGTAGTCGTTCAACAGGATCATGGTGTTCTTTTTCATGTGGAGGAGAAGGTGGTAGTCTTGTTGTGGCTGTGGTGTTGGTGGAGGTTGCATTCTGAAGAGAAGGTGTTGAACAAACCGCACGCACCGTGTCATTGTCATCGCTGCTTTCATTGTTGTCAGGACGTGCAGCTAAATGGTGAGAGTGCTTTGCTCCATTGTTAATGTCCAATGTTGAGAATCGGGTGGGGGGTGGGTGAAGAGAGCTTACTTCCTGCTGCGACTCGGGTGGGTAGAGGTAGAAGCCAGGGTCGTCGTCGGCGGCGGCACTGCTACTGCTGTTACTGAATTCATTGATCATCATATCCAAATCTTGATATAAAGAATGGACCAAGCTTGGTCGATGCTCATAGTTTTGAGTCATCAATGAAATGTGCTGTGTGCGTGGATGTGTGTGTGAGGAGAAAGAAGGAAACAAAAGAAAAGGGACCAACAAGGGCTTGCTATCATGGAGTTTTTTGGGTTACCAAATAGAGTTGTGTGACCCTGCGGCGCCACACATATAACACACACTTTTCACAGACAGTGCATCAACCGCCAAGGGTTACACGTCCCACCAACACCATCAACTTTTGGGAAACATCCAAGGAGTCGATTCGCAATACTATGCGGACACCCATTTCCGCACCTGTGCATTCATTGCCTTTGCATTTACATTTCAAGATCACACAATGAACCATGCAAGGCAAGATAAGGGATGTGGGGAAGCCTTTTTCAAGTATCCGCAGCACGTGCACTACTGTATAGGAAAAACAATATGCTCAGCCCAAGCGATCGCTTAGCCAAGTATTTTTGTTTTTAAAGTACTCGCTGTGGGCTGGACCATTGTTAATGTAGGACGAGATCCCTCGTCCACCACTCCAATACTACTACTACCCACCTTGATTCATGCATTCACTCTTATGATGGTGATATTAATTGAAAGGTAAAGGGATCACTTGACCTGTTAAAGAAGATCCTCCTATCATGCCATATGCCTGTAAGTTGTTGTTGTTGTAGATCAAATGATGATCCATTGTCGTTTTATATACATACTACTATACCAAGTGATGGGATTGTTGTTTAATTGGACTCAGCAAAGGATGCATGAGATGATGGGGTCTCCCCTTTTCCCAAGGAAATTGAATCCTGCATCATCATGCTGAGTTGTGTATCGACGATGCCCGGAAGTCAGGTGCTAGTAAACAATAAAAATGGGACTTTACTGATGTGAGTATGATGCGATCCATATGTAACATAGGGTGTCACAGGCGTTCAACTACCTGTATCACGGAGGATGGTTGTTATTGGATTTTGGTGATCCCACTATTCAGCTATTATGTGCCATTGACAAAGAGCAATAAAGGCAAGATGATCGGGCTAAGACCTTCCCTTCGTCCCACAATGCCGATTTTTCTTACACAAAGGATGCCATTTATTTATTGTGAAGGGCAACAATGGGATCTTTAAACTTGAAAAGTGCTCTTTTCCTCCTTTTTGACAAGCATCTATAAATTCTTTTGTACTTGTAATCTTTCACGAATGACATGTTTTGCTTGTAGGCCAAAGAGGGTTGATCGCGCTAAAAGAGGCCCTCCTGCCAAAGGTGATACATATCCTCGACACGCAAAATGGAAATTCGTATCATGCAAAGATGAATAAGAAACTTAATGTGTGAGTGACAAAGCCTCAAGTGTGCTGCGTCGTCATTCATTTACCCTCTCTCTTTGTCCATTGCGGCGCATGTACCATATATCAAACATTCAAAACTGTTGCACAACAGGATAATTTGCTCCCTTTCGATCCACAGTTTCCTGATAAGGCTTTTGGTGATGCGAGTGACACGAAAGGAAACTTGTCGTCATGCATGTTGTACATTCTTTGATACCTTACACAAGATGTGTCTCTGCAACCTTGACGTGATGGCAGCAGTGTTGTTGGATGGACGCCGTTACATACACCACCATGCGGGCTGTAGTAAATTTTTCCACCTAATCCATATTGCAGATGCATCTCGAGTGGTACTGTAGCAACCTCAAAAGGAATGTGAGTATGTGGTTCATCCAGCGAGATGATTACGTTTTATCTTATTAAAAGGTCCCTAAATCACAATGGCAATAGTGACAATGAAAGTGTGACGCTAACAATGAAACGCTAAAGACTATACAAGTATGACTACGGGAATAGATCACAAAATAAGAGCATTCACTATGGTACTCTCATCCAATTTTGAAGGAGTGTCAGGAATAATCCAAGTACAACCCAATGGAAAAAAGCGCTGCGTGGAAGTAAAATGGATGCGACACATTTATAGCTGCATGATGGGGTTTGGTTATTTCAGTATGTAGTTACAAAAAGGAGGAAAGACGATACAATGCTTCTTGTAAGGAATGGTAATGAGCTGACAAGTTGATGGCGGCATCTTCACAAAGAGCTTTGGCGTGATTAGTTGCCTATGCGTAAATCAGAATCCAAGGTACGTAAGCAACGTGGCAATATCCATCATCCATCGGCTATCATTTGCTGTACTCGAATTCCACGAAACAAGGTGTTATCGAAAGATGTTTGTGAGAGTGAACGTTTCAGAAAGTGAAGTCGATCGAGCCTTCATCGAGTAATATAAAGATAACAGCTTTCAGTGTATGTTGTATTGACTTGGCAAAAAACCAAGGTGCAAGAGAGATAAGGGATTGGATGAACTAGCTGAGTATACAGGTTGGCTGCTGACCTTGAAATCAGTCACCAGGAACAACGACATACAGACACATGCAGGCCCCGTTTGACGGCAATCAGCAATGGCACCATAGCCGCGCTAATAATGACAGGCTATAGCTAGTAATAATCTTATAGCTGCCATGATACAGACACCCTCCGATGTCGATAAGTAGGTGGTTGCGGTACAAGTCATCCTCAGCCATGTTTTGTTCAATAACAGTAATTTATCCAAGGATACATATTAAACTTGCATATATCACTTTGGGGGAGTAGAAAGGTCAACCATGATTACTTTATTCCATCATTTAGATAGATCTTTTGATATAGCTTGTTGCGTGTTGTGTGGGGGAGATACATTGGAGATAATCGGGTGGTGCACAAGCCAACATATTTTCGGGCTGCACCAAAAGCAAAGATACCCCGGGGAAGCCGTAGTTATGTGTTCCCCTTCTTTCACTTGTTTTCAACCTTCGTTTTCTTGGCTCAATTCCACCGTCTTGCATCGTCAACATTCGTTCCTTTTACCATGTCACTGAGACACCTTTTAAGATCGCAACGAGTATTACAACAACAACGACCATGGGTACGCCCTGCGCCATTCAAACAACAGCTTCTCAAACCAGCTTCATTACGACGACCTTTTCATACAACTCGTCCACAACAAAGCCCACTCATTCCTCTTCCAGCCATGATTATCTCAGCGTTGAAGACCGGCAAACTTGTTAGCCTTGTATCATTCTCCTCCAAGACGTCCTTGACCTTATTACCGCATACATTATATAATCAAAAGACTCGCACCTACATGAAGTTCCTTGCCGGTATTCCCGTGATTGGACTTTCCTTGTTGGTTCTCGTGGGTCTTGATCAGGTACGAAAAATGAGGCATGATTTGCAAAAAGAGTGTGCGATATTCATCTATAGTTGAAAAGGCACCGAATACAGGTCGATTACGGTTGATCTTTTTGACCGAAGCGGAGGAACTTGAGCGTGTACAAATGGAAGTGGATCAGATTGTCGACTCTCAGTTTGGTTTGGTGGCACCACGTGACAATGAATATGTACAATGGCTGCAAACCATTGTCGACAACATCTCCGCCGTTGCCATTGACGACGTCCGAGACCCGGTACGACAATACGACCCCGAACAAAAGAAAAAGTTTGATGTGGATGTGGTGTGTGATGCTTCGACGTTGAATGCAATGTGCGCTGGTGAACGGATCCTGGTCTATGATTTGATGGTCCATTACATGGGATATGATACCAATCGCATGGCCGTGATTCTCTCGCATGAAATAGCACACTCTATTCAACGGCATTTTGTGGAACAACATGGTATGGCCTCGCTCATGTTTATGCTTGGAGATATGACACGTGGCGTGTTTTGGATTGCAACGGAATGGCTTGGACCGTAAGTACAAAAACAAGGTGCTTTTTTTCCTTTGTTGTTGGTTAACAATGGTGGATGTAGATATATCAACCAAAAGATCAATGAAGTCATTTCAACTTTTATTACAATGGAAACACAAACGACCTACAATCGAGTACTGGAAAAAGAGGTAATGATTGGGAGATAAAGGAATAACAATGTAGAGTGACTCAAGATGTTTTATGTCGTAGGCGGATTTAGTGGGCTTGAAGCTTCTTGCCAAAGCAGGTTATGATCCAACAATTGCCATCGAAGTTTGGGAGCACATGGCCAACCTAGACAAGAAGGACATCAAGACAAATACCACCGTTGTGCCATCCGAGCCGAAAAAGTCGTTTGAAAACCTCGATTTGGGCGTGCAGGAATTCTTGTCTCAGTTGCTTGATTCATGGTTTGGATCTACTCATCCACCAAGCGAAGAACGAATTGCATACATGCGACAGCATATGGATGAAGCCGTCGAACTTTATCAACAAGCCCTCCAAGTCAATGGTCATCCCAAAGAATACATATTTGAAAACCAAGTCCAACAAAATGCTTCCAACGATATGAATGAAGGGCAAGAACAGGGTAAGCAATCCAAATCATGGTACAAATCACTCTATGGTATGTTTTGGGGTGGAAGCGATCCTGTCGAGACAACAACACCAGCCCCGGCGGCTGCTCTTCCATAGATAGCATTGATTGATTGCATACATTCCCATTGCTTCTCTTATTCATCTACTTTTTTGTACAATAACATGATGTCAATAATACCTGCATATTTGAAAACGATAATAATCTGTATGATGCGGCTGTCAAGATGTGTTGCACAAGCAAGTAGACGTGGTGATACAAAAGGCTAGAAACACCGATTGGATAAGAGGTGTCGGATCATGTGACCAAAAGTTTCCTATAAACCAGGACAATTTTGTGGCATCCCCCAGATTTGCTGCTGCTCTTGCTCTCTCTCTTCTCTTCTCTCCGCCTGTCTTTTTAAACAGCCTCTTTTCTCTTTCCACCCCCACCCCCATTACTTTTATACACCTCATTTCTCTGCTCAGTATCGTCAAAGCGATCGTTGTACTGTTGAGGCACGACCCCAGTTTCCACCCATGACGACCGACCTGCAAGTATACGCGCATCGTTTAGGCGATCCCAAACTAGGTACCTTGCCTACAACAACGACACACACACACACACACCCCATGTGATCGCGACCTGTCAACGGCACATGCATGGTTTCATTGACAACCCTATTTCTTAGCAATTAACTTACGGGTGACGATCGCCAATGAGCTACGAGATCAAGTCGAAATATTCCAGACGCTCGAGTATCCACGTTTCCTTTCCACGCTTATACCAGTGTTCCTCGATATCTTGCAGAATGGGTCACCTGTTTTTGTAAGCAATTCGCATGAGCAGGTAATATACATGTCTTTTCATGCTATATACGCACGCCCATATTGAATGTTCTCTCTTTAAAGAAACTACGCAACATCATTCTCGAGATCATATATCGATTACCGCAAACCGAGCCTCTCAAGGAATATGCTCCAGACCTGTGCAAGACATTGATGAACCTATTGAGAGTGGAGAATGAAGAGAACGCCGTTGTATGTGTCAAGATCATCATTGACCTCCATCGATCATTTCGCCACATCCTCGAGGATCAAGTTCAACCCTTCCTTGACATTGTACAAGAAATCTATCAAAACATGGAGCAAACTGTAAAGGATGCCTTTGATGCACCAAGTACACCTGCTGGTGCTGTCACAGTAAGTTCTACTTGTGCCCCAATTTATCAACCATGGTATTGATATCCATATCCCACTAGCCTGGCACAACCAATCCTTTACTTGCAGCATCGCCTCGTCCAATGTCCCCAGCAGCTGATACACCAGAAGCACCTTCCAAAGTCCTTCCAAAAGGCATGTTCAGCTTCAAGGTGTTGACTGAATGTCCAATCATTGTCGTCCTGCTCTTTCAATCACATCGACGCTATGCTGGTGAAAACATCATGCGATTTGTACCCCTCATCTTTCAGGTATTACATCAACATTATCAACATCATTGCACGTGCTAATCCACCATCATCACACATAGACTCTGAAACTTGAAGCAAAACCACAACAAGAAGCATCCGCTGCTGCTCAAGCCCGTGGAGATGTCTTTGTGGGTGTGAGCCCCGAGATTAAAAACCGCTCTGTATATAATGATTTTCTCGTGGCACAGGTTAAGGTAATAGGATATGGAAGGATTTGGTTTGAATCATTGCGTACTAAAGTTGGGTTGTTGTTGAATAGACCATGTCTTTCCTGGCGTACATATTGCGAAGCTATACACAATTACTACGACCCTATCAAACCCAGATTCCTGATTTCGTCCTTCGATTATTGAGAGAATGTCCTCCAGAATCATCCGCTACGAGAAAGGTAAAAGGATAATGGGATGATCATCTTGAGATCGATTCAATAACACAATGGATCATTTAGGAATTACTGGTCGCCACACGCCATATCTTGTCAACCGATTTCAGGACATCCTTTGTACCAAAGATTGATTTGCTGTTGAATGAAAAGGTTCTCATTGGCACTGGTGTTACATCACATGATAGCCTAAGGTAAAAAAGAAGGTTGTTTTCTATTGGCCATGCGAGTAGCTTATTCATATTATCGTTGCTATGTAGGCCTCTTGCATACAGCATGCTTGCAGATCTTGTCCACCATATCCGCTCTGAACTTTCCCCATCACAACTGCTAAAGACTGTATACATTTATTCACGCAACCTCCATGACGCCACCCTTGCACCCAGTATCCAAACGATGTGTGGCAAGCTTTTACTCAACCTGATTGATTGTATCATCAAAATTCCCAACAAAGAAGAAGGTACGTGGATGATCTTGAATAATGAAGAAAATGGGACCTTTTATATATTGACATGCGAAAAACTCATTAGGACGAAGGTTGTTGATGCGGATTTTGGATGCATTTGCCAGCAAATTTGCAGCACTCAATATTCAGTTCCCAACGTATCTTCGACAATATAAGCGCAAAAAGCTGAGCGAGGAGGGAGAAGAATCTACTGAGAGCAAGGAATCTGGGGATTTTGATTTTGACAAGGCACGGTCGATCCACACAGCCACCTTCATTCCTGACTCAGTCCATGATGGCATTAAAGGTATAGGCAAAGCACAAGAGAGAAGGATGAGGGAAATGAAGGGTTAACCTTTTTTGTGATGATGCATTAGATGGTCGATTCTTGTTCCGAAATCTTGCTATTGGCTTGAAGCCATTGTTCATTGGACTTCGACATTGCAATCCTCAACCGCCGGCCGGCTTTGAGTCCAATCCACAAGCATATGCACAATTTGCACGACAATTTACACAAGATGATGTTGAGATCTTTTTACGACTTTTCAGAGAAGGATTGATTTGCTTCGAATACTACAACGTGGACAATTATGGATCCGATTGTTCACCACCCAACTATACACAAGACGACGCTGAAAAGAGTGAATCAAGTTTGGGCGCCAATGAGCTATCAACAAAGTTGGGGTCGCAAGCATCGGGAGAGAAAGAGATCCTCGACATGTTTTCCATTGTGTTTACGTTGATCGATCCAGCCGTGTTTCAAGAGATCTTTGCATCACAAGTCGACTTTTTCTTTGAAAGAATGCTCATCAATCCAATGTTGATTCAAATTGCACAATACTTTTTGGTGACGGAGGTTTCTTCACAAGGATTTGCTGGCATCTTGTTCCGTTTCCTCATTGATCGTATCGAGCGTTTGGGTGATGACGATATGCATTACTCGGCGGTGATGCTGCATTTATTCAAACTCGCATTCATGGCTGTCAACTTGTTCCCTGATGCCAACGAATCCATCCTGCAGCCCTACCTTGCCAACCTTGTCATGTCATGCTTCAAGTTATCAGCCAAGGCAAAGGAGCCAGCCAATTATTTCTTGCTTTTACGTGCACTGTTCAAGAGCATCGGTGGTGGTCGATTTGAGCTCTTGTACAAGGAAGTGTCACCCTTGTTGCAAATCCTTTTGGAGAACCTCAACTCGCTTTTGACCTTGGCTCATAAGCCTGAAATGCGTAATCTCTTTGTGGAATTGTGCTTGGCAGTACCTGTACGTCTTAGTACCTTATTGCCCTATCTACCCTATTTGATGCGGCCTTTGGTGATTGCATTGCAAGCCGATCAGGAATTGGTATCACAAGGTCTACGCACCATGGAATTGTGTAACGACAATCTGAATCCCGAGTTCTTGGATCACATTATGGCACCTGTCATGAAGGAGCTTATGGATGCTTTGTGGAGCCATCTCAAACCACTGCCATACAACCACCAACACAGCCATGCTGCTATGAGAATCCTGGGTAAGCTTGGTGGACGTAATCGTCGCATGCTCAAAAGCCCACCCAAGCTTGAATACAATGGTCGCATTGAGAATGGCGTAACTGTTGAAGTGACTTTTGATCCCAACACAACACCTTACACATTGCCCCTGGACAAGTGCTTGGAAGTAGCCGTACGCACATTGGAGCGACCTGACGTCAGCATGTTTTACAAGAAATACGCATATGAATTCTTGAAAGCAAGCATGACGGTGATGCTGCAATTGGATGAAGGACCTGCCAATTTGGCACAATCACTCTATCAACGTGTCAAGGAACAGCTTTTGGTGGATGATAGTAGCAGTAGCAGCAGCAATTCAGGGGAGGATACCGCCATGGCTGAAGAGTCAACAGCTACGGATGAAGGCAAAGGTGATGGCAGCGACATTGGCGAGAACAGCACTGTGGTTGGCAATGCATTGGAAGAGAATGGTATGAAGCCCAAGCGATTATCGGGCAATGGATACACCAAATACTTGTCCAAGCGATTGGCACAGGAAGATGCTCTCCGTACGATCTTTGTTTCCATTATGAAAGCATCCACCATTCCTGCCTTAGCCGATGAGACATGGTCCTTCTTCCAAAACGTGGTACGACACTTCATTTTGTTGCATATTGGCGAGGCGATTGATGCACGTGAAGGTGGCAAGAAGCCATTGTCTGATATGATGGATGAACGACTCTCAGTACAAAACCTCAACACGACTGTACTTGTGGATGCTGTTGTGGAGGTGATTTCATCCGAGGATCCCAAATTGCGTAAACGTGCCGAAGGAGTACTTCAATTATGCTTTGATACGGCTGTGACAGTCTTGGGTGGCAAGGAAAATGTATCACGTCTTCCAATCTTCCGTGTATTTGCATCTCAATTCTGCTCCTGTTGCTACAAGCAAGAATGGTACAAGAAGCGTGGTGGTTGTCTTGGTATTTCCATCATGAGCGCACAATTGGATATGGGCACCAAGTGGATGCGTGAACATGAGCTCGACTTTATTCGGTCCTTGTTGTTTGTCTTGAAAGATGCATCACCTGAAATGGCCAATGTCAACACAGCTGAAGCAACACAAACGTTATCCCATGTTCTCAAGGTCTGCAATCGCCCTGAAGATGATGAGTCACAAGAAGCTCAGCAAAAGTTCCACAACTTGATCTCGTTACTATTGAGTGAATTATCCAATTCCAACAGCGCTGTGCGTGAAACGATCCAATCATCATTCCAACTCTTGGCCGATTTGACTGGCAACGAGGTTACTGAATTGTTGGCACCTGTCAAGGAGCGTTTGGTCGCACCCATTTTTGCCAAACCTTTGCGTGCTTTACCATTCGCCATGCAAATTGGTCACATTGATGCTATCACCTACTGCTTGACACTGCGCCCACCCTTTTTGGATTTCAATGATGAATTGATTCGCTTGCTCCATGAAGCGCTTGCTCTTGCTGATGCGGAAGACCAGGCCCTTGTGAGCCGTAGCTCTCAATACAAGAATGCCACATCATTGATGAATTTGCGAATTGTGTGTATCAAATTGTTGTCAGCTGCCATGGCATGTTCCGATTTCTCCAATCAGCGACAAACACACACACGTGCACGTATCATTCAAGTGTTCTTCAAATCCTTGTATAGCAAGTCACCTGAAGTCGTTGAAGCTGCTCATCGTGGTCTCAAGCAAGTGTTGGCACAGCAACACAAGCTACCAAAGGAATTGCTTCAGCAAGGTTTACGACCCATTCTTACGACATTATCCAATCACAAAACACTCAGCGTGGCAGGTCTCGAGGGATTGGCTCGTCTTTTGGAGCTGTTGACCAATTATTTCAAGGTGGAAATTGGCAAAAAGTTGTTGGATCATTTGAAGCAATGGGCTGAACCCAAGGTGTTGCAAGAAGCAGCTGGAAAATCTCTCAACGAGAACCACGAAGTCAAGATTATTGTCGCCATTCTCAACATTTTCCATTTGTTACCAGCAGCAGCACACATTTTCTTGAATGATTTGGTGACGGTCGTGCTCGAAATGGAAAAGGATCTTCGTCGTACCATCTCTAGTCCCTTCAGGCCCAACTTGATCAAATACTTGAACCGTTATCCAACCGAAGCCATCGCCTATTTTTACGAGCGACTCGATTCACCTCAGCATAGTCGTTTGTTTGTGGATATCTTGGGAACTGAGAATGCTTCACCATTGCGAGATGAAGTTGCAAAGTCACCTACCGAGCTTATCAATCGCACTTTTGGTGTCCAAGACAAAGAGGATAATGCAACCATGCATTATCAAGGTGTGCTTATTGTTCGCCAAATGATCACGTTTGAACCTGAATGGCTGGCCAATCAAAAGGAGGTCCTTGATTGCTTGTTGACATTGTGGCGATCACCTACTCGATTTGAGAGGATGAAACCAGAGCAGCAGGAGAAATTGAAACAAGATCAAGAAGAGAGGCTCAAACAAGATAAGCGAGAAGTGCAGACGACAAGGGAATCCTTGTACTTGGCACAAATCTTTATTGCCTATTTGCGTTCCAATCCAGATGATATCGATGTTATCTTTGATTTGGTGGCATTGTTTGGTCAAGAAACGGTGATGGATCTCTCATTCTTGCGCGCCTTCTTTTTGGAAGATGTGGCCATCAAATACACACCCGAACGCAAGCGCAAGATTTTGGACAAGTTTTTGCAATTATTCTCTGATGCTGGATTCTCGACCTATCTCAAGATGATGGCTTTACGTCACGTGGTCAATCCTTCCTTGTTGGTATCCTTTGTCAACAATGCATACGAAGAGATCCTTGATTCAAAGATGATGGAGCAACTTGATTATAAGCTGTGGGGTCAACTCATGTCGGAGGCCCTTGATGACAACCAATACGCCAAGGATTCTTTGCGCATTGAGCTTTTGCAGTTGACAGCCATGATTGTGCAGTATGCTCCTTCTCTCTTGGCAGACTTACGCAAGGAGGTGATCAAGTTTGGATGGAATTACATTCGACTCGAGGATGCCACCAGCAAACAATCCGCCTATGTTCTCATTGCCCGATTCATTGCTGCGTATGAGACACCAAGCAAGATTGCCATCCAAATCTATCAAGCATTACTTCGAGCTCACTTATCGGAAGCACGTGCTCTTGTCAAACAAGGCTTGGATATCCTTGCGCCAATGTTACCCAATCGTGTACCTTTGCAGCAGAGTGAACGTGTACCAACATGGGTGCGACTTACACGCAAAGTGGTGGTTGAAGATACTCACAGCATTTCACAAATGGTCAATGTGTATCAGCTTCTTGTGCGCCATCCTGATCTCTTTTACGATTATCGTGAACACTTTTTGCCACAAATTGTCAACACGCTACCCAAATTGGGATTGTTCCAGAATGCCACACCAGAGCACAAGCTGTTGACAGTTGAATTATCTGAGCTGATTCTCAAGTGGGAGCGTATTCGCATTGAACGATCCAAGAAGGATGAGGATAAGATGGAAGAGGATGAAGAGCAATCTGGATCTCCAAAGAGGAAGGCTGATGAATCGGATGATCCTACTCGCAAGAAATTGCGTTCTGAAAGTGGTGCAGCTGTATCCACTCCACCCGATGGCAACAGCAAAAAGGGTGCAGCAACAGCCAATGACAGTGGTAGCAAGGAGTATGTGCCTAGTTTGACATTACGAGAGAACCTTATTGGATACTTGGTACGATTGGCATGCACCATCTACAATCCATCCGATATGATCCAACGTCGCTTGGTGCAGCGTGTGCTTGAATTGATGAAGGAATTCTTGAACGAGAACATGTGGTCGGATGTTCATGTCAAGTTTTCACATCTCGAGCGGACTTTGACGGTCAAAGAAATGAGCGAGATTTTGATCCCAAGCGTATGCAGTGCATTGGAGGTGCTCAACATTGATATCGCCCATAAGCCTGTCGAGTGGTTTATTGTCAACATGAATCAGCTCTATCGCCTACTCGAGATGAGCATCAAATCGGATCATGTACGCATTCAAAATGCCCTTCATCCAGTACTTGTGCGTATTTTCCAAGCTATTCATGGCACCACATCCTCTGAAAATGCCGAGCAAGAACAACAGAATCCTGATGTCGCATCCTTTGTCTCGCTTGTCAACTCCACCATCACCGACGGCATGGCGAGTGTGAGCAACAATGGCATGTATGCGGTCCTCAAGTTATTACAGGCTGCCAGCAGTAGCCGTGCCGAGCATTTGGATCAATTTATTCCGGGAATCATCAAGATGTTGCAAAAGTTGACAAAGGAGCACATGATGCCACCACAACATGGTGCAGCAGGCGTCAGCCAAGATTCATCTGGCAACTTGTTGGTGCTTGTTCTTATGTTGCTCAAAAAGAGAATCTCACATCTTGGTGATCAGCGTCGTTGGTTCTTGACATACTCGATTCAGCTCATTGAAAAGTCGCCCGATATCAATCTTTTACGCAACATGCTTGAAATGTTGAGCGAATGGACATTGGATAAGACCGAGACCTTCCCTACGATCAAGGAAAAGGCTGGCATGTTGGTCAAGATGATGAGTGTGGAACATCGCAACGATACTCGGTTGACCGAAGAGTACCTTGATTTGGTGCTTAAGATTTACAGCACACCATCCTTTGCACGATCCGAATTGACCGTACGCTTGGAGAATGCATTCTTGCTTGGTACACGCAGCGACAATCCACAAATCCGCACCCAATTCATGCGTGTATTCGATCGCAGCATTAGCAAGACATTGTATGCCCGATTGAATTACGTGTTGGGTATTCAGAATTGGGAGTTCCTTGCACAATCGTTTTGGTTACATCAGGCATTGGATCTTTTGCTCGGCGTTGTCAAAGCAAGTTCAAAGGTGTCATTGTTGCATACGCTCAAGATCAAGCCTATCAAGATCATTGGCAATCAAGGTGCTGGTGGTGGTGAAGATGAAAAGATGCAAATGGATGTGCCTGATGAATTGAATGACCTGGTGACGAAGCATCAAGAATTCTTGAAGGAAATGCAAGGATACGACGTCAACAATGCCATCTCTGCTTTGCGACAATTACAATACCTTGATGATGATTTGACATTCAACGTGTGGGCGGACTTGTTCCCATTGTGTTGGACCAATTTGAGTGGTACTGAACGACATGATTTGACCAAGGTGTTGATCACTCTGCTGGCCAAGGATTATCATGGAAAGCAAGCTGAGAGACGACCCAATGTGATTCAAGCCTTGCTTGCTGGTATTGCAAAGACACAATCATCCATGAAATTCCCACCCCATCTCATCAAGTTCCTTGGCAAGACACACAATGCATGGCACACATCGATGGAGATTTTGCAGCAATCAAGCCAATTTGGTCGTATCAGTGATGCATCCAAGGACGATCAAAACAATCGTGAACGTACACTTGACGCATTGGGTGATTTGTATTCGGATTTGCATGAAGAGGATATGTTTGATGGTTTATGGCGACGACGCAGCACCTATGTGGAGACGAATGTTGCTGTATCATGTGAACAAAGCGGCATGTGGATGCAAGCACAAAACATGTACGAGAACGCACAGATCAAGGCTCGCAGCGGTGTATTGCCTTTTACGGAATCCGAGTACATGCTATGGGAAGATCATTGGATTTTATGTACACAAAAGCTGCAACAATGGGACATTTTGACGGATCTTGCGAAGCATGATGGCAACATGAATCTTTTGCTTGAATGCTCATGGCGCTTATCGGATTGGACAGCTGAACGGGAATTACTCGAGCAATCATTGCAACAAGTAGCCGACAACCCAACACCTCGACACAAGGTGTTTGAAGCCTTCCTCTCGTTAATCAAGTCGCAAACCAATGAAGACCGTTTGACTGAATTTACTCGCATTTGTGAAGAAGGTGTTCAACTCTCATTACGCAAGTGGCATGCACTTCCACCCATCGTTGCCCAAAGCCATATTCCTCTATTGCAAAGCTTCCAACAATTCCTCGAATTACAAGAAGCTAGCCAGATTTTCAGCAGCCTTTCAACAACGAATGCTCAAAATCTCGATCATAAATCGGGTGACTTGCGTACGATCCTCAGCACATGGCGTGAACGACTTCCGAATATGTGGGATGATATCAATGTGTGGAGCGATCTGGTTGCATGGAGACAACACATTTTCAGTGCCATCAATCGGACTTATTTGCCTTTGATCCCCTTATTGCAACCACAAGGTGGACCTGGTGCAGCAGCCAATGCAAGTACTGGCAATTCTTTCGCATATCGTGGTTATCATGAGACGGCATGGATCATCAATCGCTTTGCACATGTGGCGCGCAAGCATCAATTGTATGACGTGTGTATCAATTATCTCACCAAGATCTATACGTTGCCCAACATTGAGATTCAAGAAGCCTTTTTAAAGTTGCGTGAACAAGCAAAGTGCTACTATCAGAATCCATCGGAATTGACGGCAGGCTTGGATGTGATCAACAATACCAACTTGATGTATTTCACCCACCAGCAAAAGGCCGAGTTTTTCACACTCAAGGGCATGTTTTTGGCACGCTTGAATCATTTCAATGAGGCCAATGAGGCATTCGTGAATGCTGTGCAAATTGATTTATCATTGCCACGTGCATGGGCTGAATGGGGCCGATACAATGATCGACGTTTCAAGGAGAATCCCAAGGACTTGAGTTGGGCCAACAATGCTGTCAGCTGTTATCTTCAAGCGGCTGGTATTTACAAGAATGCCAAGGCACGCAAATACTTGCTTCGAGTACTATGGCTGCTTAGCTTGGATGATCAAACAGGCAACATTTCTTTGGCATTTGACAGCTACAAGGGTGAATGGCCTGTGTGGTATTGGATCACCTTTATTCCTCAGCTGCTTACAGCTTTACAACATCGTGAAGCCAAACATGCTCGTGCCATCTTGATCCGTATCGCAAAACAATATCCACAGGTATGTGATGTGTGCATCTTTTTATTTGGTCGTTATCAGGCATCTAATGTACTTTATAGGCATTGCATTTCCAACTTCGTACTGCCAAGGAAGAATTAGCCAAGCGTGGTACACCAGCAGCGGCAGCGGCAGCGGCAGCAGTTGCAGCTCAAGCTCAAGCACAAGCACAAGCAACACCAAATGCTGGTAATGCATCAGCACCTTCAGCAAGTAATGGAGGTTCTCAACAAGCAGCAGCTGATACCACAACGGATGGCACTCAAGTGAAGGAAGAGCCTAAAACAGCATCTGACAATGCAGCTGATGGAGGTGACAAAGCAAGTTCGCAAGAGCCTGAAACAAGCGAAGGCAACGTTGAAAAGATGGATACGGATGGAAAGGAAGTGACCGAAGGAGATGAATCGACAACGACCGAGAACAAGGCTGAAGATGAGAAGGAGATCAAGACCGAACCAACGACTGAGAATGACAATGCGGCTGATGTTGTGCCCACCGCTGACAACAATGCCAACAACAACAATGAACAAAATGATAGCTCGGCTGATCAATCAGTGCCACAACAACAACAAGCTACACCAACAGTTCAAGTTAACAATGGCACACCCACTCAAGCAGCTGCCACAGCACAAACACCTTCATCTACTACACCTGCTACAGCATCATCAGCAACACCAGCAACACCAGCAACTGCTGCAGCTGCAGGTGCCAACAATACTCCTGGTGCTGGTGCTGGTGCTGGTGTGAATGCTCCTGCTGCCGGTGGTCACCCATTGGATGAAATCATGGCTATGCTCAAGACCGGTTATCCCTTGCTTGCCCTCTCCATGGAAACCATGGTCGATCAAATTCAGCTAAAGTTCAAACCCATGGCTGATGAAGATATGTATCGTTTAGTGGTGGCATTGTACAATGAAGGAGCACAGGTAAGAGATATCATCATGCATCATTCATTGGATATAGGGACTCATTTTGTGTTCTTTTTAATAGCAATTATTGCAACGATTGACGAATCCTGGTGACACGCTCCAATTGACACAGTCAACGCGTACCAACATTATACGATTTGCCGACAGCTTATATCCTGGCCATATGAAGACGGCATTCCACAATGATTTCGCCAAGCCCACTCTCAATCTAGAAGAATACGTTGCAAAGTTGCGATTATGGCGTGACAAGTTTGAAGCCATGTTGGATGCTCGTCCTCGTAAACAAAAGTTGGAAGCCCTATCATTCTATCTTGCCGAATTCCATCATGCTCGCTTTGATGATGTCGAGATTCCTGGTCAATACCTTTTGGTATGTTTGTTTATTCAATGGAGCAGCTGAATCGAGTGCTAACGTTGATTCTCTTTATAGCTCAAGGACAATGCCAATGACTTTTTGCGTATCGATCGATTCATGCCTGAAGTTGAATTTATTCGCAACGTGGGCAATTGCTGTCGACGATTGACTATCCGTGGCCATGATGGTACATTGCATCCTTTCTTGATTCAAAATCCAGCACCTCGTCAATTCCGCCGGGAAGAGCGTTTGATGCAACTTTTCCGCTTATTGAATGGTGTCCTCGAACGTCGTAAAGAAAGCCGTATGCGTAACTTGTCATTCCATCTTCCCGTCATTGTACCTTTGGCACCCAACGTCCGCTTTGTTCAAGATGATCCATCCTATGCAACCTTGCATGATATCTACGAGGATTATTGCGATGAGATGAACATACACAAGGATGACCCCATTGCATACTATGCCGACAAGCTTAAGAAGAATGTGGGAAGTATTGAAGGCAAGGATGTGGTGCAACAAAAGACCGAGCTCTTGAACTTGCGTATGGAAATCAATCAAGAAATCAGCACCAACATGGTCCCCTCCAACATTTTGAGCAAATTCATGCTACGCACCATGGGCTCGTACACGGATTATTACATGTTACGCAAGCAGTTCATTGCACAATACGCCACTGCCACCTTTATGACATACATTTTCAGCGTGGGACAAAGGATGCCATATCGTATTGCCATTTCACGAAGCACGGGTGATGTGTGGATGGTGGAATTTGTACCCAGCTTCAATGCGAATAATGGTACCTTTGGTAATGGTGAAACAGTGCCATTCCGATTCACTCCCAATTTGCAAGAATTCATGACGCCTGTGGGTATCGAAGGACCCTTTACAAGTTGTCTGGTAGCAGCCGCTCGTTCATTGACGGAACCCGAGTTGGAGTTGGATCAATATCTTGGACCTTTTGTACGTGACGAATTGGTTGCATGGCATACAAGCAACAATCGACCCATCGGTGACACACAACAATTGCGTGACCGCATCAATACCAACGTCATGCAAATCGTATCCAAAGCAACCTTCTTATCATGCAAGGCGGATCGTGAAAAGACCATCAACGCCAACAAACCCACCAACCAAAATGTCATTGATCTCATCTCACAAGCAACAAACCCCCAAAAGATGGCTCAGATTGATTGCACATGGATGCCTTGGTTGTAGTATATACATTTTTCTCTCTCTCTTTTTATCATTGATTAAAGATCTTCGTACATACCTATTGGATTTGAGTGTGTGATCATTGTGAAAACAACAACAATGACTTACCTTGCATGTGTTCTATAAATATCTATCAACCATCACAATGAATCCAGCTGACTTTGGGATAACGCTTGACATGTGTAAATAACCAATCCAGGGTCTTACGTACGCGGCTTGGTCTTCGACAACTTCGGGCGCATTGTATAGAGATAAGGCAGCTGACATGTTTTGGGGGAGGCTGTTTTCATATAAATTTGACTTTTTACGTATTGCCAAATTAGGAGTAGGATACCTTTGAAGCATTCTGATCGTCAACATGGATGATGCACATAACTATGCTGACGAGCAAAACCAGGTTTTTTATCCTTTTTGAGCACGATTATGCATCGCTTTTTCGGTCATTTGTATACCCACATGTCAAAGTTTGGAAACGCATCAGCTGAAACGTACATGGCCCGGATAATTTCATATGGCTTTCTACTGTTCCAGATGCCAGGTAAATGATGCTTTCATCATCCGAGTCCTTCGTGATGGCTATTGAACATGTATAAATAGCATGACGTCTCATGTTGATGCTGTGCCACTTTTCATGACTGCACAGCCGTTTATGCAAGATGCATGTCAAGCCTCGGATGGCTAGGTGCAGTTCAAGTGAGTGGAAGAAGTCCTCAAGATAAGTAGATGGATCCCAATTGGACCAATGGATACACGTATGCATTGACCTTTATCATTTTGTATATAAGCTTGAGACGATGGACATCGCCTTTCGCATACACCTTTATTGATTTTCCAAAGTAATGCCTTCTAAAAGCTATCCCGTTACCAGAAGCGGCCCTGTATTCAATGCCAACCGCAGCAGCCATCGATCCACGTTCAGCTGTCCATTACCTACTATGACTGTATGTGAACATGATGATGAAGACAACAACAACATGAAGAGCAGCTGCGGCGTTCAAGTGGAGCATAATGAGCATGCAACCACAACCACCACCAACGCTCTATATGACGATGAGAATGAAACCTTTGGTGATGTTTTAAGCCGCTCTATAAGCGGTTTCCATCGACATCAGCTACGAATGCATAGTTATCGCAGACAGGTCGAAGCATGGGAAAACAGGGCCCAAGATCGGTATGTAAGACGTATGATTATCTACAGCAAAAATACAGTTGTACTAATACTCTGATGGTAGTTCTTCCCAAAATGATCCACAATACAGTGTTGGTAAGACCCTTAAGCGTACGTTTTGGGTAAGCATGGGTGGTGCTAATACGCGTGGATGTTTTAGTGGTACACTTTCGAAAACTGAAAGGTCATCAATCCTTTGCTTTGACTCCAACTCAAGTGAAAGATTTTGCTACCAAGGTAGGCGACGTGGCTCATTTACCAAAACCATCCACTTACACGATAAGGGAACAATGGCATGTTGTATAGTTGCAGCTGACACAGCAAGAGAGGATCCGGTTCAATGGGGTGCATGATACCGATTCCTTAATGGACTACCTGCACAAGACCAAGCGAGACTATTCAATCAAGATCCATCACCACCACATCAAAGATGACTATCCTGATATTGAATCCAAGGCCGATCAAGATATCATAGAGCTTAATGACAACGTTTACATCGAGTTTAGGCTGAGGAGAACGAACATGCTTCCTCGTCCAGCAGTTGAAATGACACGAAGACCCTTCTTCCGGTATGTAATTTTAGCTCAATATAGGATTCTATCTTTAATGCAATCATTACCAGGCACCCTGATCCAGATCTAAGCGCTGACATTGGGCAAGAGAAATCAGCATCATGGTTGGAGCTCTTTTATGATCTCGTTTATGTTGCCTCTTTGACAGAGTTTACGCACGCCCACGTTATCAAAGATTTTGCGACTCTGGGAACGTATACGGAGTGGTTCGTCATTACCTGGTGGGGATGGTTTGCAAGTTCGCTGTGAGTATTTGTGAATCTGTGTTATCACGTGAATCATTCTTCTAATCAACAAACTTTTTGCCTTTAGGTATACTGCTCGCTTTAATACGTATGGTTTGATGCATTTTTGAAAAAACGACAAAGCCGATACTCACAAGATGCCTTCATAGAGATGACGTGGTGCATCACCTGTGGAAGCTAATAGAGATGTGTGCTGTCAGTAAGTACAATACCGGCTTGTTGAATAAGGATGATGGATCATCCAATTAACAATCCCCTTATTAGTTACCATGGCTAGTACCTCGACGTACTTTTTTACTTCATCTTCCTATGTATATGGGTATATTGGTAAGTGACTTTTTTTTGGCACAGTGCACACTCTCTGCATACATCCTTTGACATCCTTGCTGTTACATACATAGCTCTGAAATCTGTACTTGTTATTGAGTATGCCATTGGTAAGGAATAAGGCATCTATACAACCCACGTAATTGCTGACAACAGGATACGTGTTTATTAGTGTTTGTGGTTGCAATCTCTACACGTTCAAGGGCGAGGATTCCACTTGCATTCTATGTCGGCGCCAATATTGCTTCAATCATTTTGTGGGCTTCGTCTATTGCCGTATTGGAAGAAGCAACGCACCGCATTCTTTGGTACACTGGCATCCTTATCGAGATACTGGTCAATGTCATTAGCCGGCGTGACAAGGCGTTATCATGGGCTGCAAGCAATCTCGCCGAACGGCTTGGTTTACTCACTTTGATTGTGTTGGGTGAAAATCTCATCGGCTTGATCGCTTTGGTGGCACTTTCAGGATCAATCATTTGGGTCACGTAAGTAAAACATGGTCAACTTTGTTACGTATGATGGCTAACAAATGCAACAATTGGTGTATTTAGGGTCGCCAACTGGTTTGCAGTTATAATCATCTTTGGCTTTTTCTTTATGTATTTCGAGGACTTTAACAAGAATGTAAGCTTAACTTTATACGATAAGCTCACAGCATCTAATCGAACGATCATTCTTCACATTTATGCAGGTCTTCTTACACAGTAAATTTCACCAGATATGGGTGTATTTGCACTTTCCCCTGCACCTTTGTCAGATAGCTTTTGGGATCGAGCTCATCAACATGCTAAAGCTGTATCGTGCTGAGCTTATTGATGACGGCTATATATCATCAACATCCACAAAAGACACTACCACGGCATCATATGAAGGAGGCAGCACCACCGACACTGCTGAAGCATATAGCCTTGCTCGACGTGCTATCGAATCAATCCCATCTTCCACCCCGTCACATGTCAACAGCAATCCCGTGGCTCTGGATTTTACACAACCAAAGCCATCCCAAACGGCACCAATGTCACTGGCAGGTTACTTCACGCTATTCAAATACGCTGCAAGCATCACCACGTTGGCAACCTTGCAGGGTCTTAGTACCGATAGCCTTTTATCAGCATCACCCATACTTAATCAAGACCAAGGAAGCATGCAAACAATGCATACCTATGATAGACGTGCTCCAGGTGAAAGTGAACATACTCGTGAAGAAATGGTATTCATCTACAAGATCTTCCTTATCATGGGTGGCGCTCTTTTGGTGCTCAATTCACTGATTAAGCTGATCAACACGAGGGTAACAGGTAAGCGAAAAAGGATACGTACCATGCAACACATCTCACCAACACTTTATCATACGTGGTATGTAGATATCTATGGCCGCATCATTATATGCTCTCGGATTGTGAATGCTGCGGTGTTATGGTGCTTGTGTGCATTGCCGTTTTCAGGATTGCATCCACTTATCCTAATTGGTATCACAATGGGATCCATCGTTTTCCAAGGTAAGATAAAGATAGCTTTATTGATAAATGATAACGCATAGCTAACTTTTGTTATCCAGGCATTGTTGATCTCCTCGATTAGAACATGTAGAGTCTAGCAATAGCGCATGTATTATACTACGTAGAGAAGAAATTCAAAGACACCATAAAAGCCGATGATCCAACCCTCAACATCAATCTTTCCAACCATGGCCATCATTACCAAGTGATGCATCGCTTGTCAACATTTTTGAGCAAAAGAAAATCGAAAGAGCTTTTTTTTTTTTTAAAGGTATGTGTTTTATTGTTTTGCCATGCCATTGACCATCCGCACTCCACTGTCGGGGGTCCCTATTGAGCTGTCGGTGCTGCTGTTGAGTGTGATATTGCTGGTAGCTTGAACCAATGCTTGCATAGATGATGGACTGCTTCGAAGGCCATATAGGTATCCTCTAAACATCACTTGTAAGATTTCTCCCTCGATCATGATGCATGGTAGTAACCCTCTTCTCTCCTCCTCCTTCCACTTACAGATATTTTTGGTCATCAATCCGATCATCAAAGAACATTTGCCGCATTTTGAAGAATGTAGTGCATGTAAGTAGACTATCACTGCCAGCTTGATGTTGGGGACCGACTCGTGCAACCTAGGTGATGAATGATCGACGTGAGCCAATCATGGTATCTATATACACGTATACCTTACCCACCTGCAAGTCATCTGCAATATCCTGCAATCCACCCTTTAAATTCTTGCAGCTCCTCATCAGATACTTGATATCGTATATGCATGGAAAGTAGATCCTGAGTATTTCAAAGAATTCGGATTCATCGGCAGGCATGGATGTACATGTGAGCAGCTTCAAGAGATATCCAAAGTCGTAACCACTAGCAACCACACACATGGATCAGCAACAACGCTACACGACGAGCCAGCCATCATCATCCCATGCATTTTTACCTGTGAAAAGAGATCCATTTTACATCATCCAACAACACAAATCCTGAACTGATCAACAGCTCGCCAAATTGTTCCACATCAATCCCATATTCGTCATGCTTTTGAAAGTCGATGCCTGATTTTGTCAATAGCTCGATCGAATCCTGTGCATACATGTCGTCTCTACAAGGGTCTGTTAATACCACATCATGCCTTTACCAAGCCGTACTTTACGCGATATTGAATTTAAAGTTGAACTGCCAAGTGCAAACGTTTCGAGGTAGATTGCCGTGCTCATCAGCAAACGTGACACCAAGCTGAATGATTTTCAAGAGGTCGACGTTGCATCGTAGAGTCTGGTAGTGGTAATCGGAAGACGTACGGAAGGTGCCTATGGGTCGAGCAACAACACCTGGAAACTCTGTATCCTTTGTTGCGTGGCAAGCTGATCAGTATCCAGGCATGGGGTGTGTGTAGTCAAAGTGGTTACCATGGCCAAGTATGGGTAGTCTTCTACTAGATCACGTAGATACGCCATTTCCTCCTCCAGATTGTCTGCCCACACTTCTCGAATATAGTTTGAGTCGTTTGCATGCATTGGGAACGTTGTTACGTGTAAAAGAGTAAAGAAAGGGGTGGTTGGTTGGTGGGGCGTGTGCGTTTGCGGGGTCTTATCACAAGGTTATAGCACGCATTGTGTCAAATGTGTGTGCGTGTATGTGTGCCCCACTCACCAATCATAGACCGTCATACATGTTTATAGCTCATTTGGACTCGCTTGCTCGACAACGATGATAAATCAGGTTGCATTTTGTGAATATCGAAAAAGATAAACGTACATTCTTGTGGGGAAAATAGCCATTAAAGGAGATGTTGCTTTGACCAAGTTGTGCTATGATGGATGATGTATTATCGTGTAGCACCAATCACGATGATGATTCGATAGTGGATGATCTTCAATCGATGGAAGGGGCATGATCTCTTCTGATGGTGGTAGATGTCATGTTTATGGCGATAAAAGTACCTGTTTCAGAAATGTCAATAGGCAACATCATTATCAGCTGTTAACATGATACATGTCTTTATGTAACAAGGTGACATTGTGCCTCGCCATGTTACACTAGAACATTGTATCGGGTTCTACGAGTAGTCTTCAACCGTTCCAAGACATTTGTAGTAATCAAATATGCTTTAAACATGCTTTAATGATGTTATCCATTACTCGGAAAAGATGAAATGACAGATCTATGCTATGGTTTATCTCTAATAATGAATTCTTGTTTGTGAGACGATATTTCATTTCGGTCAATAATCTTGTCCGAAAATGTGTGGTGGATTGTCCATCAAGTTCCGAGAAGCGCTGCTCTGTGAGTGGAAAGTGTCTGCACCGCCCTCTTTCTTTTGCTTTACCTTTTTTTTACCCTCCTCCGTCATCTCATCTCCTCTTTTCCCTTTCTCTCATTATCTCGCTCTTCATGGCAGCTGCAGCACGTCCATTCAACCCCAACGACTATCCTGTGGTTATTGGCATTGACTTTGGTAAAGGCCCTTGATGACTCTCTCGCTCTCTCGCTTGTCGTGTTCTAAATTTAACTCGGCTTTGTTTCCCCATCAAGGTACAACCTTCTCGGGATGCTCGTACGCATTTATTCAAAACGACGAGGTGATTGATATCGTGCGATGGTAAATAGTGGATGGGTGGAGCGATACATACATGTGCCAGGCACCTTATATGCTGACATATTACTACCCCGCGGTTTGTGGATAATAGGCCAAAGCAAAACAACAATGTGTATCCAAAGGTAAAAATAGAGCAAGGACAAAGGGGTTGGATGGATAGCAAAGGTGGGATACTAACATGCGTGGATGAATAGACACCTACATTGAACTTTTATCATGGCAACTCGGATCAAATGACTCAGTGGGGTAACGCAGCACGTCTCGAGATGCAACGTCCTACTGCTCGTAATTCGGTGCTCCTCAAGCAATACAAGCTCTATCTCGATGAAAACATTGCAAAGGATCTTCCTCCTCTTCCAAATGGTTTGACCATTGTCGATGCTATCGCCGACTATCTTCGTGCATTCCATGATCACGTTGTCAATGAACTCAAGAAGGGTTTCGCTCGCAACTATGGCCAACACCAATTCAGATATGTACGTAGGGTTATCCATTGTGAGTTGGGGTTCATGATGAAGGAATGGATTTACTGATGGGGCGTAAGAACAGTGCTTGACCGTGCCTGCCATGTGGTCCGACAAGGCCAAGAGTACGATGCGTGAAGCTGCTATCAAGGCTGGATTGATCAACGAGGATGACCATCGTGATCGATTAACATTGATCTCTGAACCTGAAGCTGCTGCCTTGTACTGTGAGAAAAAGTGCGACCAATTCAACCTTCGTCATGGCGATCGATTCATGATTTGTGATGCTGGTGGTGGTATGTATCTATCTATGCGAGGAGGAGAAGGATCAAAACAAAAAGGGCTCAATGTGGCATTGATTTTCAGGTACCGTGGATTTGATCGTTTTTGAAATTGATGAACATGGTGGTCGCAAGTTGCGTGAATGTACCAAGGGTCATGGTCAATCATGTGGCTCAGTGTTTTTGGATCGACGTATGCGAAAGTTGCTCAAGAAAAAGTTCAAGGAATACTTGTCATCCATTCCAGCATCTGCATTTGAGACCATGATGGATACCTTTGTGGATTTGATCAAGCCCCAATTCGATGGTATCGATGACCAATTCATTTCGTTACCAGCATCCATGAATCTCGATTCGCTCAACAACCCAGCCATTGGTCTTGAGGATGGCACTTTGTGTATCACAGCTGCCGAATTAAAACAAGAGGTGTTTGAACCTGTCATCCGCGAGGTGCTGGCACTCGTCGAGGATCAACTCATCAAGGCTCAATCTTTGCAAGCTGTCTTTTTGGTGGGTGGTTTTGGTTCATCCAATTATTTATTTGAAAGAGTACAACAAGAATTCGCTCCCCGTGTTGGTTTGGTAGCCGTTCCTCCTCGTTGTGAGCTGGCTGTTGTACGTGGTGCTGTTTACTTTGGCCTGAATCCTCACGTCGTCACTACTCGTATCCCTCGTTACTGGTATGGCATTGATACTACTACCACCTTTGAAGAAGGCATCGATCCTCCAAGCTACAAGATCATTCGAGCCGATGGTAGCGTGCGATGTGATAATCGTTTCTCAGTTTATGTACGACGAGGAGAAGCACTGGGTAAGTGGACATGTATATGGGAAAACAAGTTCTAGGTTCTAACACATGGCCCTCTTAGACATTGATAATTGTGTTTCCAAAGACTTTTTCGCTTATTACCCACATCATACCACGTGTACTTTATATGCTGCAGACACTGAAGAACAACCTCGCTACACTACAAGCCCTGGTGTTCGTAAGGTCGCCAACTTTACCATCCCCATGCCAACATTGCCCGGTGTTATGGAAGGAGAAAAGGTGGATCTTTCGATTAAGATGTACTTTGGTGAAGTAGAATTACGAGTAGAGGCGGTCATCCGAGGGAAGACTTACGGCACTACCTGCACATTCGATAGTGATTAAGTAAACCATATTAATAATATTTTCTTTTGTTCGCACCATCACATTGCTTTTACGTCTTTTCAATGGCTTTTTTTATTTGGAGGGAGTTAAACTCTATTTGCTAATGTCAACGAGGATCCATATTCTGTAAAATGAAATCACGTGCTGCAAGCTAGTCCATTGTATCCATTCACCCATCCACAATAGCATCCATGTGTATCAGCTCAAACAATAAACCATTCCTTTATTCCGCACGTTTCTTTTTTGCCTCGAGCATTTCCTTGTATCGTTGAAGTTCCTCCACCTCTTGTTCCAATGACGCACACGCAATCTCCACCTGTAAGTTTTGTGTAATAAGATCCGACCACTTGTTTTCCAAAGAGCGAAGTGATCCACCTGCTTGTGTCTATTCAACGTATCGTGTGTAAGATACCACCATCCATCCATCCTGGGCAAATCATCAATGCATTGCTCACCTGCTCATTTTTACGTTCGCGACTGATCTCCCGAATCTTTTCACGATACTCCTCAGTTTCCTTTTGCAGCATTTTGAGTTGTGATTCAAGTTGATAGTTGTGGACACGCCATGCATTGGCACCATATTTTTGCAACAGCTCCAGATTGAACATACTATCCAACATCATCGACATAAGCATACGTATCGCCTGTATCCCCTTTTTCGATAACTTACCTGCCAGCCTGTGATTCCAATTGAGATTTTGTGTTATCGACAGCCTTTTGCCAGCCTTCAATGTCATCATCGTTGGCAGGGCCCTTAAGCTCATAACGCTCGGTATCCAGGACGTTCAACGGTTGCTTTTGTTTGGCTCGATCCCATTCTTCTTTGAGTGTGGCGTTATCTTGGAACAACTCGACTTGCGTTGGCAATGGACACCGATCGTCTCTCCGTCGCATACGTCGCATTTCTTGATCAAGAAGTCGATCAACGGCTGCTTTCAATTCTGCATACAATACGTTAGGCATTGGAGATATCTATATTCGAAGAATAAAGGCTACCTGGATCATCAACTTCGCGATCGACGTCTATTCCAAGTTGAGAGATGAGTCGTTGTCGTTCATGGGTTGTTTAACAGCGAACGAATTTAGCTTACAAGGCAAGGCATCGACATCGGAATCGGATCGAAGAGCAGATGTAGAAGAGGATACGGCGACGAGTGCGTTATCGGTCATAGTGTTTGTGTGTCTTTGTGAATGTGAGTGGGTGGAAAGGAAGAAGGCGACAAGAATAATTTTGGACTCCAGGTGGAGCCTAGTGAGACCACTCACAAGACGCGCTAGTCGTCAATGCCGTTAATGAGTGGATCATCGTATACCAAGCATTCGCGTATGTAGTACATATCGACGCCATCACACGTGTGCTGTTCATGATAAGCACAGCAATAAAATCACCTTTGTCTATGCACATGATCGAATATGAGAATACTGTGCCATGCTACTGGTCGATTGCTGTATCATCATACAGCATCCGCTCTGCTATTTTCAGAAAGGATACAGTGAAAAGCATGTTTCCCCCTATCCCCATCACATCATCTTTGAAAAGGCCACTAGAAAAGAGGATACTATATACTCGAAAGCAGCTTCATAAGAGCGTAGCAGTAAGCCCCACAATTGGAAATGTTGCTCAGCAACAATCGGGCTCATGTGCCCATTGTTGTCATACACAACCAACGCCAGCAAACGTGTATCCACAATTATAAATCCATTTGCTTTCTTTGTTTCTTTCATTTCCCCAATAATCATATCCATGGTCACATCCCAAGTCTTTTCTTCCTTCAAAGCTCCCTTCACCACTTCAAGCCGGCTACCACGACTACTCCCCAACAACAATGGCAAGGCTGCCAAACAACAACAGCAACAGCAACCTGAAGCACCCCTGCACCAGACATCAAAAGAGGGCAATAACGATAGGACTGAAATGGTAGCCTTAAACATGATATTGCTGGAACCAAAAGAACCGGATGGATACTTGTTGGCAGGGCAATTATACGAAAAACAAGGCCGCCTTTCAGCTGCACGAGTCATGTATGCAGATTCGCTGATACACGTTCCAACAACCAATCCACGTTATGAAGAGCTTCGCCTTGGTCTTAAAAAACTCAACATGCAACTTGGATCTTTTGTTTCTTTGTTTGCATATGATGTCGTATGCATCATTTTCGACCAATTGGCACCTGATGACCTTATCCAATGCACAGGCGTTTGTCAAGCATGGGGCAACTTTATGCTACAATGGCCCGAGTTTTGGGATTCACTAGATGGTGTCATTGATCGTGCAACAGTGGATTCACTTTTGGGTGGCAAGGATGACCGCTTTCATATGCGTGGCACTACCAATGATGTTTTATTCACTTCTATGCTCAAGTTTCTCGTTGCTAGTGGTGCACGTAACATCAAGGAAATGCGTATGTCGTTTGATTTACCGCTAAAACGCATGTCATTTACATCTCATTTCATTCTTTAGATTTTGAGGATATGCTGCTGACAGAGGAACACATTGGCTTGATTGTGAAAGCCGCAAAATCATCTACCTCGGCTGTGGAGCGTATAACTTTCAAGGATGTTCCCCTCGGCAACCCATCACGTGTACTGCTTGATATCGTAGCGCAGTGTCCTCGACTAAGACACTTTTCACACCAAGCGGGGAAAAGGGAGAACGACAGGCAATTGACCTTTGTGCTCCCACTCAAACCTGAAGATCCGCCGTTATTGGAGATCCCATATGATGTTTACATGCTTACTTCTCTTGATCTCCACATGGGTCGTAGCCACTGTGGATTTGGGCCCCAACCTCCTCCAAAGCTGTTCCACAAGTTCATAAAGAGATGCCCCCATCTTGAAAGACTCAGCGTATATGCATATGATCACATCAATCATGGTAAAGTTATACGTGCCGCTGTTGAGCACTGTCCTCGCTTGAAAGATTTGGTAGTGAGGCATTCCGGAACCAAAATACCAAGCAGTGTAGAAAATACGTGAGTAACAATAACATCCAACAACACCTGGTTCTTGACTAATGGTCATGGTCACTTGGTTCATACGTAGACAACAAGATCAACTCGCTGGCTCGGAAACGAAAGGCCTTGAGCGATTCGTATTTTCTTTTATTACCGATTCTAGAATCTCGATCTCTACTTCAGACGTTGCACCAGTGATCAAGAAGCACCATAAGACATTGTCAACTCTCTACCTCCATATTGATAGAAACGTGATTGATACTCGCTTTCTTTTTCTATTGGCTCGCTATGGGATGCCACAGCTACGCGAGCTATACCTATATACTGAAGGCTATTGCCAAAGACGTACACAGTTTACAGATACCCGGAACCCAACATTCGACAAAGCCATTGCTGCTCTTGTCTCTCGTTGTCCACAATTGCGCATCTTGCATATTGTCGAGAGTACATCGTATACATGGTCGTATTACTATGGAAGCGCTATACCAGTAACAAACCATGCGATTTCGGCAATACTCAAGCATTGTCGTTCTCTTGAAGAATTGAAAATCAATACTAAAGGCCGTAATAATATCGACGAAGATGACCTTACCGCAGCAAGAATTGAAGAGCTAAAGAAAATATATGGAAATGGGGCAACATGAAGGATGGTGACCAAGACCATTATCGTTGTATACGCACAAGAGCTCTTATATGTGTAGTACCCCAAAGATAAACCCGTCATTAGAATACTATTTGGTATGATGTGCTTTATTTCCTTTATGTTCTACAGTATTGGCATGAGTAAATGATCCTATCTGCAAATGTTACCATGGCATTGATCCGTATCCATAATGCACGTCGATATTCATTGTTGATATAGTAGTAATGTTTATTTATCACGACGTTGGAATAGAACTATGTATGTACGTTGCACAAGAATGTGTCCTGTGCGTTGTCGAATGAAATGTGATACAAATGAAAGAATACAATAAAATGCTTGCTAATGCTGGTACTATTTGGCTTTGCGTCTCTTATTCTCCATCAATCGTTCTTGGATCTTTTGGAATTCCTCCTCTGAAGGTCCCTCTTCAGCTTCAGCTTGACGTTTGGTTCTCTTTTTGCCGCCTTTGTTGGTTGAAGAAGAAGATGAAGCTTCAGCTGCTCTCGCTGCAATGTTGTCTGCCAATGCGTCAAGTTTAGCCGCTCGTTCCTTGTTGCGTGCCTGAATCAATGCCAATAGTGATTGATCCCCCTCCTCTTTCTTTTCCTTCTTTTGTCGACGTTCCCATTCCTTGAGTTGTCGTTGATGTTGTTTAGCACGTGCACGATGGGCTTTTGCTGTTGTTGTGCTCTTGAATTCTTTGAGGGTTGTTGCATCACCACGATCAATGGCTTTTTGAATGATTTCGGCCAGCCGTTCGCCATCCGTCAGCTCACTGCACTCGACATGGGAGAGAATACGATCCATATTGCCGTTGCATTGTTGATAATAGCGCAACACATCACGTTCTTCCTCATCAGATCCTCGATATCGAGACGCAAATTGTTCAATCGTTTCAGCATTCACAACACCCGTCCATAGCTCCTTAAAGTAATCGGTCCAGCTCTTGTCGCCTGCTAATCCATCGTCGCTCGATATCGTGCCCGTTTTGTCATACAGTGATTTCTTGGCTGGATCGCTCAAAATGCTATAGGCAAGTCCAATGCGTTGAAATTGTAATGTCGCAGCTTGCTTATCTTCATCGGTCGCAGATGGTCGTTGTTTGTCAGGGTGGTACTTCAATGCAAGTTTACGATACTGCGACTTGATGTCGGATGCGGTTGCTGATTCACGATGGAGCGTCAATATTTCATAGAGATCGGCATCGTCTGAAAGAAGGGAAGAAGCTGGAGCCATTTGCAAAGGAAAGAGGAAGAGAAAGGAGCTGACAAGAAGCCTGCTGCTGATGATCATCCCAATATAGAAAGTCAGCCATGTAGATGATGAATGCCCACCCCACACACTCTCATTGTACGCTTATGAATTCAACATGATGATATACTATTAAATCAAGCTAAATATTTATTGGAAGGGTTTATTGCCAAACGAGCCAAATGATCGTGGTCTTGATTTTGCTCTCCATGGATCTTGATGAATTCTTGCTGACAACGCTACTGAGTGCAACAGCAATTACTTCATTAGAGGACGATCGAAGATAGAAGCTACATTCCACATACCATTTTCATTCCTCGTACTCTCGCAACAGAGCGTCGATGCTATTGTAAGCATCTTGCAACTTCTCAAGGTCTCGTTGCGTGCTTCTGATGTTGCTTGAGAGTGAGGTACGAGCATTTCTCAGATCCTCAACCAAGCGGTCGACTTCTCCGTCACTATGCCAAGTTCACTGTAAGCTAGTATTCTCTCCCAATTTTTCCCCGCGATACTTTACTTGCGACGTTTGAGCCGACAATGTCGCGCCCAGCGGCAAAACGATCTGTTTGCCAATGTGCGTTGCACCAACGCGATGACCTACAAGGGAAGACGCGTCTGTTTAATGTATCTCTTGTGTGAATAGATATTGATAATATAACTTACATATTCCACTCTGATGCCATCTTGGAGGGGAGCTCGCACTTGGACATGAGGGAGCCGGACGCATGCATGTCGAAGAATGTAGCAGCTTCGCTCTTCGTGGCAAAGTGCACGTAGCGGTATTCATGTCGTCGCTCCTTCACGGAAATGTAGGCTGTGAATGGTAACCGGGAGCCTTGTCGGTGGCCCGCACAGCGAGTGATCACCGATGCCGGAGCAATTTGCGTCAGAATCTCCTTGATTTCCTGGTCGCTCAAGCCGTGTACGCGGAAGCCTTCGGATTTGAATTGCCTATGCATCTTCAGAACTATCTTATTAATATCTCACAATCACAAGAGCACTCTTTCATAAAACATTAATACCTTGAAGGCGATGCCTTGTCTCTAGTTGTAGAACAACCCATACATCAACCCCATGCTGGCTGTGATCGGCCACCTAATCCAGCTTTGCATATGTGTCTTAGGAGGGAGCTACATCAAAGGGAACGTGAGGATGCGCATCATCAAGCAAGAGATAAGATTTTACCTTGATAGAATAGCCAAATGACAATATTGACAATGGAAGCAGGGTAACAATGAAACGTAAAAGATCATCACATAGGTTCGCAAGGAGTGAACAACTTCGGCTTTGCAGGTGTCAGCAATGAAATAGTGATACGTATGATAGATGAAAGAGATGCCTTCGAGTAAGATGATGGCGACAACATCTTTTATGTGTATGGTGGGGCGTGAGTATTTCGATGACCACAAACAAAGAATGATAAAATGTTTGTTGGGGACCTTGATGGGGCTGATTGATTGATGGGCGCCTCCACAAAGAGTCTTGGCATGATAGGTTGTCGTTGCATGACTCATGATTTGAGATAAACAAGGTGGCAATATCCATCATCATCCTCAAACAACGCCATCCATCTGCTATCACGAATTACTTGCTGTGCTCAAATGAGACACCATGTTGTTCAAGGATGTTTTTACGTGCTCATTTCAGAAAGAAAAGTTGAAAGCCGTTGGCAAACATAGCGCATCACACGCGTAAATGCTTTCTACCACCACTATAGGCCTTATGGGAAGTGATAAAGTGGCATCCAGCTGAAATCCCCAAATTCAGATCTTCCGCTGTGATCACATTGATTCCACTCAATCACTACACATCATCATCTCAATCATCGTGATAGACTCAATAAAACGAATCGTTCTCACGCATAGCAAAAGAAGGCGTCATTTTTCATCATAATGATCCAACAACAACGACAACGACAACGGCAATCATCGCCTTAATGCTAGGTCCCAAGCATTAGTTTTTCCTAACCAAGGCAGCCCCAAACACCCCTTCTTCTTGAGTATGCTCGACGTCATTGATAAATAAAAAGACCCCACTTGATTATGGTCATATCGTATACCGATCACGACCAGCACGAGCGCCAAAAAGAATATAGCTCGTACCATCCTAAAGATTGCAAAGTCAAACATGACTTGGTTGATATTCCAGAAATGATCCGCACATCCGAAAGCATCTATGTATTGACAAATTCACAGGCCTGACGTTTGAGATACGTCGATGGTCACTCTCTGCCTTCACCCAAAAAGCCATCCTGGGGACCTCCTTGCGATATGCATGGTAGCTTTACGTCCCACGCTTCATGGACTTTCACAAAAGATACTTGCACAGAGGGTTCCTTCAGGCATGCAGAGCAACTTTGATTTAAATAAAGACCCAACGCTTGATTGTAAAGTCTTGGGAATCAGGTGCCCTTATGTTTTACCTATGCTGTAAGCGTGATGGACTTTTTCTTCCTAATGGATAATGTATGCAAGATGAAGAACTGATTGAAATGACACGTAGTGGTTATACACAAGCGTCGTTGCCAGCAGGTTGAGGCTTAAATGGATCATGGTTGTCATGGAAATAGGTAAACGGTATCCAATTATGGAAAAGCTAATGACAATGGATTTATAGATAATGACAATGAACCTCTAGCTAATGACAATGAGCCTATATACCTACATTACGTTCTTGTATGTTTGGTAGGGGAGTTATCAGATGTGGTTTCCCTTGAAGACCACAGCATTTCAATGCACGCGCTTGTCGTCGGGGTATAAGTAAAGGGGTATACGCAGCAAGGCGATCATGCAGCTTGACCACTTCTCTTCACGAAAAGGTTTCTTTTGGCATAACGCAGATCCGGAGGTTCCTCACGACAACACAACATTCTCAAAACCATTGATGGTCAAGCACACGATGACCTCTTTAATTCAAGTAACGCGTTACATACAGAAGTCGAGTTAGAGCATGAGATTTATGAACGAGCTTATAGATTTCTGGGAGCACACCAAGTGGCAACAATGGACTCTAGTTGCATTCGACATTGAAGCGTTGCGCCAACAACCGTGATGAGGCTGACAGCAACTTGTCTCGCGGCGTTGAGCAGTTACTCAAGATTCTCAGCCCTGAACATACTTATGTCTCCTACAAAGATCATCTTTCAAGAGGCAGGTGGATTTATCAGCCGTGATTTTCCATCACGTCGACTCGTTACTCCAAGATGCTGGACCACTTCATCAGTTCAATCAATCATGACAACAATACCCACGCCCACCCATATATAATCAAGGCTCTTTGCACCAACACTATCATACGCCCTTTGTTTCTACTTGTATTCATATCATCATCAATGGCCTTTGGTAAGTCTCAAGGATATTCTTTATGTGATCCCCAAAATGAGGATACTCATGCATTCATCTATGTAGCTCGCTTCATTGCTTTATACTGTGTTCCTTCATGGCCCCTTTGGGGTAGGTATAACTATCACTTACATATTAAAAGGATGCCTGGACTGATGAGAAAATTGAGACTTCTTTGTAGGTGACATAAGTACATGCGGGAACTCGTCACCTGGAATGACCCTACGACCACTGGAAGGGCTCTAGATCACAACAATGTTGAGCAGAGTGGCAATAGCGATGAGAATCCACTGTTGAACAAGAGGAAGTGAGACATCAGGGGCTCAAAGGAGGGAGACAAGGTGAACAAGGAGCTCTGCGGGATGGCGACGATGCTGGGGACAACGACAACGGTGGCGATGGACTTTTTGGAACTGCTAAGGACTGCTGTTGCAAGGTTCGCTATACATCATTCCTTGGTAAGCGTAAGCAAGATTCGTGTTTCTTAATGCTAATCTTATTGCACTGAGTAGCACCATGGTTGAGATTACCAGCCAGATCAGCAATTCATCAACAAGATCCGAGGAGAGCAAAATGAAGATATCGATCATTTGACCCCTTGGCAATATGCCCGTTGGAGCAATGGCCTCTTGAAGATGACATCTTATACTGGATGCTACGGTAAATAATAACCATCATTTTGCTTCATTCATGCTAAGTTTACTTCTGACTAACACTTTCTGGTATAGTCGATGCAGCTCATGAATGGACGTCTCGTTACGGTGGGTCACCGGTTGTTCAACAGCATGTGCATGTCTGAAAGTGTGGAAAAGCGCGAGGCGGGGAAAGTACCGGGATGTGATTGTCGTGCGCATAACAGCGGATGGATGATTTTTCGCGGCAAGAAATGCATATTCAAAATGTGAGTTTTTGAATCATCATTTGAAGTGGATCCATTTACTTATCTTTTTTATTGCGTTACTAGCGGAGAGAAAAGCAGCAGTGAGTCAAAGGGAGTGAGACAACAGAATGAAGACATGTTTGGAGAAGGGAAAATGTATGCCACACACAGCGTCATTGGCCGGATAGTCTATATGATCGTGTCCACTCACAAGACAGAAACCTCGGCTTGCGAATGGAAGTCCAACACAGCATCACCGCACGTTGTACGACAACAAGAGAGCAAGAACCTAAGAACGAATGCTTGCAGACTTGAAAAATTGGCACCCTTACCATTCCAGGACGCAAAGAAGGATATCTAAATTACCTATATGGATTGGATCGGTAAGCTTTAATTATGACGGCTGAAGTCCTAGCCCCGGTACCTAATCTTGTTTTTATAGGGCACGGTGGCGTTCTCAATTGTAAGATGGGAAATTATATACCGAGCAAGGAACGTTGGAGATGTGTACATGCCGAGGAATACCCACGATATCAATGGCTTTTCCCTTTCAAGGCGGGTGCTGCTCTTTGTGTAGCCCGTTGTTGTAGTCTCATTATTGTCAAGTGTGTGGTTTTCTTCTTCCCTTATCTCATCCTACCATTGAAGCCATCCCCGTTACATTGCCATCAGCATGTTGAATACCTCCTCCTCCATATCGCATCATCCCATTTTCAATGCATAATAAGAATACTGTAAATGCTGCATACGGATGCCAAACACGGTGATTTGCCATATCATCCAGCCATTGACCATCATTGATTGAAAATTTAGAAGAGTATCGTGCTACTATTGTACTATTGCTTCGAAGATGGAACAATAAAGGTGGTCCGGTTATCAGTCATGCAAGAAGTACATGGCTTTTGTGATACAATAAGGAGGAGTGGGAAGTGGGATGGGCTTGAGAAGAGAAAAAGTGAAGAGATCCCTTCATTGAGTTTCAGGATGAGTGGCCCATTCAATATGTATATGTATCTTTTTACATATGCAAATTGGTTTATGCAGCTCGACTTTCTTCTACATGCAGATGCGATGCATACGTTGACACACCTTCATTATTGGATGTCGTTTAGTTACGTACCTTCACAAAAGGCAATCATCATCATCATCATCATGCATTTGTGCAGCAACCTCTCAAGGACGTGTTTGTGTAACCACCGCGTGCCATTTCACTCAGCTCTTCATCTTTCCGTTAATGCAGCCGACACCATCCACTAGGAGAAAGCAACTCCACCACGCTTACAGCTATGCAAAACATAAAGTTACCTGTATCTCCAAACTTTACAATCAAACGTGGGCTCTTTAATAGATCAACGTGCTCGTCGGGGTCAAAGGAATCTTGTGTCAAAGTATGAAGTTCATCGTGGGCAATCCCAGATTTCGCAATGTCGCTACCAGCCAAACTGGATCTGGGGGTCAACCTCTTCGACGACGACGACCAAAAATATTTTTTGGGCTGTTTGCGACATTGAACGCGAAACTTTCACACAAGGTGCTGTTGGCCAAGCCGAGCCCATTGCGCTAATAAAAACCCCCACGTTTCATTGTAAAGTTTGGAGATACAGGCACCTTTATGTTTGTAAGCGTGATGCTATATGAAGAGTGGTCTTTGTTCATTGTCAAGTAGGTGGACCCTGGCAGATCAAAAGATGCAGAGGGTCGTGTTGTGTAACACAGCTACGTTTGCATGAATGGAAGGGTCAATGTATAATTACTTTATGGATCATCTAGGAACAGGCATGTATTGCTAGCTAACGGCCACTTTTATCCAATCTTCCTTGTTGCGAGATCCACTGCATGGGAACGATGCCCCTGCTCCAGACATTCATTTCCATGATTAAAGTAGGTTGATCCGAGCTGATTTGACTGAGCTGCGGTCAAAGAGAGATTACATCACTCTGGACATAAAGCACGCTCGATGTAGCTCAACCGATGTAATCTTGTGTGAGCGTAACTCAACCAAATCAACTCGGATCAACCTACTTTAATCATGGAAATGAATATCTAGAGCAGGAGCATCGTCCACCTACAATAGAATGCACAAAAGTTGGGAATGCACACAAGTGGCTATTAGCTGCCAATGTATGACATAAAAGTGGGGTTGCGTACCTATCATGCATTGTCCCTGAAGTCCTGACTTTTTAGCTGAGTTACCCAAAGAGGTCCTTCTGCATCTTTGGCTCTCCTGGGTCTAGCTACTTGGCAATGAACAAAGACCACTTCTCATATAGCATCACGCTTACAAACATAAAGGTGCCTGTATCTCCGAACTTTACAATGAAACGTGGGGTTTTGAATAGAGCAATGTGCTCGGCTTGGCCAACTGCACCTTGTGTGCCAGTTTCACGATCAAGCTTGCCAATCCCAGATTTCGCAATGTCGCTACCAGCCAAACTGGATCTGGGGGTCAACCTCTTCGACGACGACGACCAAAAAATATTTTTTGGGCTGTTTGCGACATTGAACGCGAAACTTTCACACAAGGTGCTGTTGGCCAAGCCGAGCCCATTGCTCTATTTAAAACCCCACGTTTCATTGTAAAGTTTGGAGATACAGGCACCTTTATGTTTGTAAGCGTGATGCTATATGAAATGTGGTCTTTGTTCATTGTCGAGTAGCTAGACCCTGGCAGAGCAAAAGATACAGAGGGACGTGTTTGTGTAACACAGCTATCTTGCATGAATGGAAGGATTGATGGATTATACTTTATGGCTATCCACAATAGTCTATATATTGCACGCTATCAGCCATTTCCTCACAATCAGCGTTGTTGCAAAATCCATTGCATGCGAAAGATTCTCCTGCTCCAGCCCATCATTTCCATCATTCAAGTTGCTTGATCCGAGCTGATTTGACTGAGCTACGCCCAAACAGAGAATGTGTCAATTCTTGAAAGACAGACCCTGCGAATGTCTCCGTCTTTCAAACTTTTGGACGCTCTCCTTCCAAATTTTCAAATGAAGCGTGAGGTTTTTATTTGAAAAAAGTGGATCAGCATGCTCAGAGCACCATCCTGACCAATTTTCAAGTTGGAAGTGGGCAACTTCGGGGCGGTGGGCCGTTCACTCTTTATTGCCCGTCATCCACCATTTGGACAGCCCCGCATTTTAAATCTTCACAATGAAGCCTGCGTTTTTTAATTGAATGAAGGTGATCAGCATGTTCCAGCGAACCTTCTGACAAAGTTTCACGTTCGAAATGGGGAATCCCAAGGTAATGTATATTGTTTCGATAAATCATGAATCGGCGCTGTCCTCCATTGTCGATTTACATAGTAAACCCACACGACACCCTCCCATTCCAAATTTTCAAATGAAACGTGAGGTCGTTTTTAGAACATCGTGCTCAGCATGACCAATGCCACCTTGTGTGAAAGTTTCAGGTTCGAGAGGGGCAATCTCAATACCAAGGATTGACGTACAGTGTTCATGCATTTATACAAGAGGTGTCCCACCTAATTAATTTCCACTCCTTCCACTCCCACAACTTCTTCCCTTCTTTCTCCCATTCTCAACTGTTGACCCATTCAAGTATACAACTACCACCATGCGAACGATTGTCCTGCTTCAAGCCATCATGTCGATCCCACAGCTATCTTGATCCGATTGTCTTTGACTGAATGGCAAGCCCATGGCGTGGACACTCTACTTCATCACACAAGCTTCCTCTTGACACTTCGCCTTCTCTTGTACAATCCTCTACCACGACCAATCATACCAGCATTCATTGCAGCAATTGCTATTAGCAAGGCCCTCACTCCATTGTCTCCAACAACGTTCTCTACTTGCAGCAACTTGTTCAACCTTTTCACGTGAACAGCAGCTAGCCATTGTATACAAGCAACTTTATTTACGTGTAGCAACTTGCTTTAATACAACGACTTCGTATGGATGGTGCTATACCAGCTAACAAATACGCCGCAAAACATGGGATCTTCACCTGGTTGAGTTGCGATAGAAACGACCAAGCATGAGATAGACCAACAGCCGGATGGGAGAAGGAAGCATATCAGCAAGCTATCACATGGCTCTCGTTCAACCAATGTATTGGACTTGGATTGGTTATGGTGGATGGCTACAATCAAGTGCAGTGACGAGAAATCTTGGAGCTTCCCATAATGCCCAAATTGTCGGCCAACTGGATATGTAAGTTCTTTTTGCAATATGCTTTCATGAGAAGGATTGAATTAAGCAGGCATGTTTTCGCTTATAGATTTCAGCACGGCACAAGGCCCAGATTCCTTCTGCAAGTTTCCATCACAGCAGCAACAAGAGTAGCGCGTTTATCGGATATGGGGATGAAGGCAATGAGGACACCAGCAACAATCTCTTAGTCGAAACAAGTCATCCAGCCATGTTGATGTTAGAAGCTTTGATATCTTTATGTTCCGAATTACAGTGCATTGAATAAGACGATATGGATAATTGTATTTACATTGTGAATGGATGATGGGGTTTTACTATGGCATGGCAGTAGAGTGATTGGATGAGGTTGAAGATGAGTGATGGTGGTCTGTGTTTTGTGAATAGCGGGTTGTGTATTCTACTTGAGGAAGAATAAACATGTTGCCAATCCAGACGATCGTGCTTGTGATTATAAGTAGAAACACGATCATCCCAATGATACAAAATATCAAGCGACTACGAGAACTAAACCGCCGACGACGACGTAGCCATTCCGATTGTTCGCTTCCATAACTTCCTGTGCTGCTGATAGCCCCCTTGTGTGTCACCACAGATGTCATGGATTCATCAGCTACCACAGTCGACGATGATGTTGTTGATGATCCAGCTGGCGTACTACGATGCGCATAGTAATAATAATCGGGTGGAGCCTCGGGTGGGAATATATCCGATGCCTTTTGACTTGTGTGCAAAGGATCGGGTCGTGGAATTGAAGGACATGAGGCTGACCTCGGATCATACTGTCGCATTGGTGGTGTCCACATTTGTTTGTTGATATTCAAGAAAAACGTTATCTTGTTTTTTCCTTTGAATCCTCCTCTTTTATTGTGTTTTGGCTATTGCTGACACTGTCTCGCATTCCCCGAGACCTCTATTACTTATTACCCTCGCTGCATTTTACGTACTTTGGATCGTATGCCCCACATCTTCAATGCTATTATAAGATAATGCAATGGATGCCGTGCATCCGTAAGTCATTGTTACCTATCAAAAGAAATGATTACAATACACAGCAAAGGGAACGATCGTTTCACTGAATACGCCGCCTGTATCCGATTTGTGCCAAAGTCTACATTATCTTCCTGCATCGGTTGATCATGCAAGACAACATGGCACACCAAACTCATTCACCCGGGGCTTTGCTCACCACTGCATCCCTGTGGTTTCTCATCCTATTATGGAAGACGTTCACTCTCAAAAGGGAACATAGTACGCTAATAGCGTTGGCTACAAAGGGTAGAATTACAATAGCAGCGTGTACAAGAAACATCTTGCAGAAAAAAGCATCCCGTCGAGCTGCTCGTGCATAGTCCATATAATGGCAATTCGATACTACAATGAGCCATAGTCCATAATACTACCATGATGATTGAAAATTGGCTCGCTTGTTGTGCAGCGTTACAGCTGTTTAATGCCATGAGGCGTATACTACTCGAATTGCTTCACAGCTACGCTCCATCAATTTCATCTTCATGGCATCTACATCCCTCATCCTACGTGTATACTACATGTTGGCAGATCCTTTTACCGTTAATACATAGCTAAAGCTGCCCTTGTCAATCACAATGATCTACCTCGTTGTCCCTTATCAGTATTAGTCCTATTCTCATTCATCCCCTGCCATGGTCTATTTAAAGCATAAAGCCGTTATCCATTGTCGCATTTGCGTCGATCCAATTATAACTTCATTTTTCATCGCCCGAATGATTCGTTGTAGTAAAGACGTTTCCATGCACATGTTTTTGTCATGACTGACGTAGTGGCAAATGCACTACCCCCTTTTTCTTTGTTATGTCCCGGGACACGTGATATGGTGCATCTTCTTGGTATAGTAATTTCGGCCTGCATACATCAAACATCCCTCGTGCTACCCTAACTGATTGCCTTATCCTGAGCAATGTACATGTTGTATACCCACAAATGAACAAAGCATAATGACAATGAATGTTAAGGCTTGTATCAAATGAACTTTCCAGAATCAGCAGGATTCAAAAAAAGACATGGATGTGCTCCCCGCATGACTTGACCAGCTAATGCATCATGCAACAAGGGATGTAAATGTTGTTGAATAGTTCGTTCAGGGCACAGGAGTTTTAGAAGGATGTAGAAAGTGAAGAAACCATAGTGCACATGTATAACGGATAATAGATCATGTCATGTAACGATTCTTATTCTCGCTCAAGGAATGATATATATCCGTGCCGATGAGTATACATCATGTGTGTAACACTGAGATGAAAAAAAGGAGGTGGCCAAGCACAACCAACAACATTTTCAAAGTGGCCCCCCTTCTCTCTCGCTTTCTTTGACAATGCCGAAATCCAGGGACGATGAAAAAAAGCACGGATTCAAAATGATAATGGGGGGAGTGGTGATGAATATCAGCTGACATATGCACTTTGCCATGAATAAAATGTGATGATGATGGTGCATGCGTGTTCCAATGGTGGATCGTGTTTCTCACAAAACGAGTCATCCGACCCATCGATTTCATCTGGTGTAATCATCCTGAACCCTGTCACTTGGATTGACGCACGGGCTGCTACTACCATGTCGGGAAGATGATGTGGGTTATTTAGGTGGGCCGTGTTGCCGCGCAAAGGCGGTGCTTGTTGTTGTGGTGGTGGTGATGATGGCAAAAAGATCAAATGAAAACGATCCAATCCCCCGTAGCAGTGACATTCATTCAACTTGGACGTACATGTTCCAGACCAAAAGTATGAGAGCGTTTTATTATCAAACCCCTTGCAACATAAAGTATCTGTCATTGAAGCCGATGGTAATAGCAGTGGCATCATGCTTTTTGAAGCACAGCCGATTTTCCGAAAATGGAAATGCCATCGGGTCACCTTGAGAACAGTTGCCATGACACATGACCACCACCTAGACCTGGTAACTTTTGTATGGTGTGCGTTAATACCCACCATCTAGAATCCTTATCATCGTATGGTAGCTGTATAATACCGTTAGCTCTAGGCTTGTCACTTGAGCGGCGACAATGTGCGACGCTGCATAAGATTTCCCCCCCCCCACGCTCAATATCATGCAGGCCGATAACTCAGATACGATATGGTTGCTGTTCACATCCGATTAGAGGTCGTGTAACCACGACAAATGAAAATGCTAAAAACATGGTGCGAAAAAAAAGTGACACCAAGAGATAATCCAACCCAGAAATATCCACGCAGCCATCTTCGATCGACAACCTCCTCCCTAATAGCGCTTGTGTGTGGAAACGGAGTTGATCGAAAGCCAAGAATAACCCATCATGTATATTACAAAGTTGCACCAAAAAAAACACACCCGACAGAAAGCGACGATCGATATTGCCAAGGCTCCGTTCAAAAGGGTTATCTTACCATTTATTGTTGTTAAAAAAAGCAACATCTACTTTTCTACGTTTCCACGAATGTACATTCATTGATAAACACCCTACAAAGGCCACTCATTCACTAATAGGGAAAATTGATGAGGCGAGAACGCCGAATGTTGCAGAACTTGTGTTGTGTGTACGTCGCCTCTTACCACTAACGCAGCACACGCCGCCTTTCGTTTTGCATGAGTAGTACATAACCTTCTTTTTTGCTGTAGAAAAATACGCCACATGATGATGGATATACAAAGTTTAAGGATGTTGTGGTGTACGTGTGTGTGTATGTGCAACCGTTTCATTGTCCCAATATGTGTACCCATGCAATTCATTTTACACTGCACAGACCTGATGATGCATCAGTATTTGCTATGCTATAATGCGAAATGGGGATATATCTTTATCGACTAGAAAACCCGAGAAAAGTAGGATTGGGTGACTATTTCTTCTATGATTGATCATTTAACGCATAGTGCTGCATGAGTGCTGCATTGTTTTCATAGCAATGGTGGATTGGCTTCACGTGAAATGCGAGTGTATCAACTTTTTGCTATAAACACGAAACTGCTGTGTCAGGCCTACTTGCATTGAAAATCCTCTGTCGATGGATATAGTGATTGTATGTACCAAATGGCAACCATGCACGACGCCGGTGTTGAAAACAGCTGGGGGATGACTAAAATACGGTTGCCATGGACACCACGTGAGCCATCATAGATACATTGATACGCTGCTGCTGCTTGTTGTTGTTGTGTAATAATATCAATATACGCACAATGCAAGCATGAAACGTTTCGACTGTCAATAGGATGGCGTACATACACCGGATGCTTTCATTGTAAGACGAATGGCAAAAGAAAGAAACAAATAGGCTGAACCAAGATAGCAGTTGTTTTATCAACATCCTTGTCGTTCTAGACTCCAACGCTTGCTATGACCTTGACATTCAGCAATGAAGACGCCATGTTCTCGTGTCCAATGTCTGCATTGGGACCAGTGACATTGAATAAAAGCGGGGGGAAAATAGGCGTTGTCGGCGGTAATAGCCACCAGTGTATGTGTATGTATGCGTGTGTGTGTGAGTATGAAAGGGTAATAGTGAATGAGCTTGGTTCTCGACCCCGAGAATCTCGACCCGCACCCCCCAAAAGAGCAAATGCAAGCACACACACCAGGGAGTGTGTTGCTCCTCCCTTTTGCTTAATTGGTACACACCTTCCACATCTTCCTCATCCCTTTATTCTTCCCCCTCCCCCCATTTCGTATTCCTTAAAATAGAAGTACAGAGACGACGATATCGTCTTAGAAAAAGTATAAAAGGTTCCTGTCATTTGGTCTCTTTTTACTTTTTTTCTTCTTTTCCATTGCGTGTGTATGCCATTCCTCTCTTCCCCTCCATTCCATCCCCATCCATCAATAACGACATCGTCGTCTTTTTTATGCTCAGCATGATTCACAAGCAACAACAACAACAACGTAACAATCATCATCGTCACACCACATTGATGCCTGGCTCTATTGTTCATGACGAGATCCAAATCATAAAGACCCTGGGTGTAGGGGCTTACGGCAAAGTTTATCTTGGCCAAGATTTGAAAACCAAACAGCGATATGCCATCAAAGCATTACAACAACGTCAACTGGATGATCATCAACGTGCCTTACAACGTAACGAAATGATCTTACATTCCAAGCTGATACATCCCAACGTTATTCGATTGGAGCGTATTATTAAGCACAATGAATGCGTACACATGGTGCTTGAGCATTGTGCAGAAGGTGATCTCTTTTCGGCGATCACGGAACGGAATTTGTATCACGGCAATCATGCATTAATCCGACAGGTGTTTTTACAATTGATCGACGCTGTACAATACTGCCACCAACAACATGTTTATCATCGTGATCTAAAACCGGAAAACATCTTGGTCTTTGACAATGGACGCACACTCAAGATTGCTGACTTTGGTCTTGCCACTTCACAAGCGATTGCCAAGGATTTTGGATGTGGGAGCACATTTTATTTTTCACCAGGTAGGATTGCCATCATCATCATCATGCCCATAATAATGCATCCAATCACTAATCTATCCATTCTACGTGTATTTAGAATGTCAAGGTGATGATGTACATTTATCCAATGGCTATGCAACAGCACCCAACGACATATGGAGCTTAGGAGTGATCCTAGTGAACCTCGCTGCGAGCCGCAATCCATGGCGGCAGGCTTGTTTAGATGATGATACTTTCCGTGCCTATTTAGCGGATCGTGATTACCTCTTAAAAGTCTTGCCCATCTCGCGTGAACTCAATGGGATCATTAAACGTATCTTTTGTATTGACCCTAAGCGGCGTATAAGCCTTGAAGAGCTCCGTGAGAGTATCCTTCATTGCAAGTACTTTACCAGGACCTCCCAGGTCGAGAGAGCTGAAACCAATACATCTTGCAAGCTTCAAAATATCTTCCCTCTCACTCCCCCAACTACCCCAGGCGAGGCTGCTAATGAACGCTTGGCTGGTGGTTTCTTTCCTCCCACCCCAGGCTCATGCTCTTCTTTTATTTCATCTTCTGAACATGATAATGGGGGTCATGAGCTCGCCACCCCAGCTGCTAGCAATAGTAGTTGTCAGGATCATTGTGTCTCTAAGCTTGCCACATGTTCTTCACAACGACTGGATATCCGGTCGACTTCACTATGGAAGGCACTCCAACAACAACAACAATCACCTATGCCCCTTTCCACTTCACCATCACCACCCATTTCTCCTTAAGTCTCTTTCTCTGTTTTGATCCACTTCTTGTATATGGTTTCTTTTTTTTCCATTTCCATGTTTCTTTTATGACATTTCTATAATCCCCAGAGAGCAAGATTGCCACACACAAACACACGCATACACACACACACATACCTATACATATGTTGCGCAACATCATCATCATCAATCCATTGTACTATACTCCTTCTCTTTTGAATATGTATCCAGCCGACCTTTGATTTCCTTTTTTTGTATATGTAAAGCCTTCTGCACCGACAACTACCTTTCTCTTTCCTAATTAAACTACTTAACTTTTGATTTGATCAGCAAATGCACAAATGGAAGCACGCACATGTCATATTCTTGCCTTTTTTGTTCCAGCATACAACTCCCTATTATGGTTTGTAATGAGCATGTGGGGGTGTGGAGATATGCAAGAGGCCGGAAAAACTGGTATCTTGTTTCTCAACCGAAAAGTTAAGGGGGTAAAAGGGGAAAAGACCAATGGCGATCCTGGTAGTGGAAGATGATATGCAAGCAAAATCCCCGCACCTACATGTTGGGGGTTGTCATTGTTGTTGATCCTTCATTGTTGATGTGTGTCTACTAGTAGACGATCCATTGAGCTAGCGTGTTCGACACCAAAGGAGAAACAAAGAATGTAAGCAAGAGCTTAGGTACCTAGATCAATCACTTGACAAGCCAATGCCATATCATTGGTGTGAATTCGATGATGATGGTACCATTTGATCCTCGGGCATACTTATGGCACCTACAAAAATCACCTTTTGAGCCGCAGGTGGATTTATCAGTTGTTGATTTTCCATCATTTTGACTTGGTATTCCACGATGCTTGATCACTTTATCATTTCGACTCATCGTGACAACAATACCCACGCCCACTCGCATATAAACAAGGCTGTTGTCGCAAACACTATCATACATCCTTTCTTTCTACTTGTATTCATATCATCATCAATGGCCTTTGGTAAGTCTCATGGATAGTCTTTATGTGATTCACAAGATGAGGGTACTCATGCATCCATCTATGTAGCTCACATCATTGCTTTACCACTTGGTGTGCTCATTGTTGCCTATGGCATTTGGCTGTGTCCTTTGATGGACCCTTTGTGGTAGGTATAATACCTATCATTTATAGGCTACATGCAACACAAACTTGGGCCAGCAACAGCAAATTAAGAACGTGCGGACGAACAAGACAATCCCAAGAGCGTTGGAAAGACTGCCAGTAGCTGATGAAAACGTGATGACTTATTTGTGCTCGGGCATGGATTGGATAGGTAAGAGCACGGTGCAATGGAATATGTGTTATGGATTCAAACCAACCTGTGACATAGGCCCGCTGGGTTTATGACAGCAGTCAAACCAATTCGATTCGGCATACGTTGCACATTGTATGGGAGGCATGGTGCTACCTGCCACCCTCGGGACCTTTCGGATTTCAAGTCAACCTTAGCACTCCTTTTCGCATATAAGCACCACCACGTAAAACTCGCCAAAGTCATTGAACCAGCCTATCACCGAAAAAGGCGAGGCAATATCCTACGATCAGAAACAAAGGACGCGTTTCTCGGATTTTACACCGGCGATGGCCTCCACAACCTATCAATCCCCAGCAACACCGAACGAGGCTTGTGCCCAGACACATTACTTTACAACGCCCGTTAAAAAGCACCGCTTCAAGAAAACAATGGCGCGTTGTTGGCACTGCCACACTTCATGCATGGCGTGATCCGCATAGCACTTCAGTGACCCACTACTTTAAAACATGATCTTAGTTTATTGTGGTAATAAAAGCTACAACTTCTCTAAAGGCAACGAGTGATTTATCCATCGTTGTCAGTCATTGGCTGTACCGCATATCCGTTCATCATAGATGAGTGGCATTGATCATTTTTATTTGCTGCAAAGGATGAAAAAGAAGTAGCTAGTATATATTGAATGGGGTAGATGAGAGTACAACAGGGCTCATACATATGAACATGATGGCATCACCAATAACAATATCATCATCGACTACGAAAGTATTATTAATCCATGTGGGAAAAAAAGTCCCGCTGTGCTCCATTGGCGTGGGGTATATCATGCTCCGTTCTCTTCTTCGTCCCGTTCTATCTACCACCACCACTACCACTACTCCTCCTCATCGAGTCTTTCCACGTACAATGTCCGTTCTTGCTCCCGCATCAAAGTTCAAACTTGCTCTCATTCAACTGCTCGGCTCACCTGACAAGACCGCCAACCTTGCAAAGGCACGCGACAAGGTCCTTGAAGCTGCCAAGAATGGTGCCAATGTCGTTGTTCTCCCTGTATGCACATTGTCTCGTTGTTCCTTCCTCTCATTTGTTGTTGCTAACACGACACTTTATAGGAATGCTTCAACTCTCCCTATGGCACCAACTACTTTCCTGAATATGCAGAGTCCTTGTCATCCAGCCCTTCAGTTGATATGCTCTCAGGTGTAGCCAAGGTAATGGATAGATCCCCCTTCCTACTATGAAACTGCTATCAAAAGCTCATAACAGAACGCATCATAGGAAGCTGGCATCTACTTGTTTGGTGGTTCGATTCCTGAACGTGACGAGAGCACTGGCAAGTTGTACAATACATTAACCGTTTATGATCCAGCAGGTAGAGTAGGCTATGAAATGAGGGTTATTTTGTGGAAACATGTGTTAATGGATCATGTACATCAGGCAAGATGATTGCTACCCATCGTAAGGTTCATCTCTTTGATATCGATATTCCTGGCAAGATTACTTTCAAGGTAAGCTTTTGGCTCTACCAAGGATACGGATGTGGGCTGAGCCGACAATGGGATTATAGGAAAGTGAAACTCTCTCAGCCGGCGATTCTTTGACGGTGGTCAATACCAGTAAGTGTCATTTGAAGATCTTGTCATCAAAATGTACATCCATCCTTATCATGTTTTATTCAGAGTATGGCAAGATTGGTGCTGCTATTTGCTACGATATTCGGTTAGTCATTGAAACCACAACAGGGAATACCAGTAAGCTAACAACCTTATGTTAGTTTCCCCGAATTGGCTATGGTTGCTGCTCGCAAGGGTGCTATGGCAATGTTTTACCCTGGTGCCTTCAACCTTACCACTGGCGGTATGCATTGGGAATTACTTCAACGTGCTAGGTATAGTGTTCTTTTCTCAGCGAATGGTGGTATTGTTTCTTATACGTGTATGTACGTAGAGCTGTGGACAACCAAATCTATGTAGCAGCTTGCTCCCCAGCACGTGACATGAGTGCAAGCTATCATGCCTGGGGCCATTCTACCATTGTGAACCCAAGGTAAGCTGATGGAATGATGAATCGATGGATGGATGAAATGCCAATTAAAATCAACCTATGATTATTATAGAGGTGATGTGATTGCCACATGCGAGGAAAAGGAAACCATTGTTTATGCTGATATCGGTAAGTGATGGAAAGGGAGATGAGATCAAGGGACTTACCAGCAGGTAAACTAGATCCCGCCGAGATTGAGACTATCCGAAGCAACTTCCCCTTGTACAACCAGCGCCGATTCGATGTTTATGCCGATGTAGCTGACTCGGTGGTGGTGGATGAAAATGGCAATGGTACCAAGAAGCAGTAAGATGATGAAATGGACATTCAACAAAAGTCTGTGCGTGGTCCTCAACAACTGCATCATCTACGTTCACCCTCACAAAATACCAACCCTGATTTCAAGAATACAGAAAGCATTGTACCACTAGAATAATATCAGGCCCCATGAGTGTGATTGATTAAACATGTATTACGCAAATTATCATTATTGATATGGGAAGCAGGATGTATCAAGCAAGAATGAGCAATGTGGATGGGACATTATAAAGTAGCAAGGGGGTGATATGTAAAAATGAGTATTCAGTGGGATTATTGAGGTGGCGTGTCCTTGGATTTGGTATCCTTGTTACCATCAAGTGATGAAGATGCACGAGGATGACGTGTGGAGGAAGGAGTCGTTTTCGCACGCGATGTCGTTGGAAAAGATAACGTTGTTCTCAACAAGGGACGATCGTGATTGGATGCATTCTTGGGTGCAATGCGGGTGGAGAGTGATTCCAAAAAGTACTTGTCAATCACCTTGTTCAATGCAACAGGAAGTGTGCGCCAATAAAAGACCTTGATGTCCTTTTCAATATTGCGAGGTCGTGGATGATTGAACCCCATGATAAGTTTGAACAAGCTAACGGTCTCAGGTTTGTGCTTGCTAGCTGTGATAGGCTTGAACCCTTCCAAATTACGACGAACCCGGTTTTTGGATTGCACGGTGAACGACTTGTTAAGCATTTCTTCAAGAATCTTGATCACGTCTACTGATGTCACGTAGTGCTCCCCTTCCCAAGCAATGCATGATACGAGTGCTCCTTTTCCCTGCATGTCGCCAACCTCGTTGGTGATCAGTGGAAATTGTATATCCGCTGGCGCACATTTGCAGTATACCACAACATGGTTATTGGCATCACGCATACGTCGCTCTTGTTGTTGTCTTATATCAGCAACGCTGTTCACTCGCGAAAACCAAACGACTCGACGTGATTCTTTGATCTCTGTTTCAGACCAATTTTTCAAAATGTCCTCAAAGTCGTCAAGCATCTCGAAGCCCACCGTCAATGGCAACGACAAATAAAACTCATAGGGGACAGCGGGTGGGATAATGGATGTTTCCCTCTCTCCTTGTGATGCCGTATTGATGTTTGATTCTGGTCTTCTTTTGCTTCTTTTGCTTGATTGACGAGAGGGTTGCTGTTGTTGTGGATGTTGATGTAGGACCTCTGTTGGTGCAACAACTCGATGGGGCTCGACCCTGAACTGTGAGCGGAAGGACAAGATGCTATTACTAGATGGCCCTAGAATTAAAATATACGTGTGCAACGTTATTCAGTGCATGGGGCAAGAAAGAATTCATCACTAATTTGCACACCTTTACCATCGTACGTCGTTGTAGCATGTAACGGAGATGCGCCAGGATCCAAAGTTGTGGAATCCCCACCACCACCACTGGTTGCTCGAGTATCATGCACGGCCGCACTTGTAGATGCGCTATTGTTGTTGCTGCATGAATGTGACACCGATGATCCTATGTCATACACATCACGGGATAGGTGATAAGTAAGACGACAACACACTCAAACATGATGATGATGGTGATGATTTACCTCTTTGGCTTACAGCAAGAGCAGAAATGGGATGAGTAGACCATGGCTCGCTAAAGAGAGGTGGATGCTGCTCATAGGTAAATTCGCCAAGATCCCATTGATTACGCACCTCTTGCCCTTCAACCAAGCAAAGAGTCACGTGAACGATATTGTTTTGAGCTTGTGTACTTTCGCGATATGGGACGTAAGCCGTCAGGGTGACTACCTCGCCAGCATACGTCAACTGCGTATCCACCAGCGTACGATTGAATGCAAGTTTAAAGTGTCGACCATGTTGAAGAAAAGAGATTGGTAGGTAAACAAAGACTCTCATGCCTGGCAAACCACGAGGAGGTAGCAAGGTACCCATCAGTGGCGTTGTTGTTGAATCGGCGACTCGATGAGACTGATGACTTGCATATTGCGTTATATGTTTCACTTCTTGCGCATATCCCGGTTGGTCGTTCCTGTCGCTGTTGGGATGATGATGATGTCTCCATGCATATGATGTCGAAGAAGATGGATGTCTTTGATCACGGCTGGATGATGACGATGATGATGCATGATGGGATTCTTCCATGTTTGATGCCACCACCACCTGTACAATGTCACACAGCATTCAAGATGATGGGACAAGAAAAGTGTATAGAAATAGAAGATCAGCAACTTATCTACAAGATGCACAGACAACAACAAACATACCAAGTTGATGTATGTGTATTTGTTTGTGAAATACGAAACAAGTGGCAAAGGGAGAGAGAGAGAGAAAAAGAGGAAGGGGTGTAAAAAAAGGGAAGGGCAATAAGCATTGACATGTCATGCAGAAAAAAGTAGCACACGAGGGATGGCCATTGCGAATGTTTCAGTTGCACATGATCCCTTCCCCGCCACCACCAAAAGAGTTGCACCGGTCGAGAACAACCGTGACGCGTTCCATAAAAGAGTGAGAGAGAAAGAGAGAAGGGGTCAAACCTTTTTTTATAGCCCCATCCTAACCCACGATCCATCCATTTCATCTCTTTTTCTCTCTCTCTCCCTTCTCTTGTTGTTGTTGTTCTCCTTTTTTGGGTGAGAGTAACTATTGCTATTACTACTATGATTGAATGCTCTAGCACCACCCCAAATGGAGCACTGCATCATCAATCTCCCTCTGGTGGAAATGATTCATATTTTGCTATACCATCCTCCATCGAACTCGGTGAAAAGACACCTTCACCAGCTATTGTTGATCCAACGCCTTATTTCACAGCTCCTCGATCTCCGTTACTGCAACATCAGGACTTTTATAATGCCATCCAAAACCGCTTCAACCATACAACAAGCCCATTTAGCACTGACGAGGAAAAGAAAACCACTCCACCCAATTATCATGCATTGCAACAACAACAACCATCAACACCATTGGCTATGCAACAACCTCCTGCTCCATCTTCACCTATGACACTGTCTATGGGTAGTCTCGCTGCTCGTCGCAGGAACAACATCAATTCTGCAAGCGGTGCTTTATCTCCCGGTGGTTTTCTGCAACAACAACAACAATCGTCGACATCCCAGCAACCCACACTCCCTGCCAATGTCCTTGCTCGTGTCAAAGAATTCACTCATGACCAACTGGATCAGCTGTTGACCAGTCGACAACAACTTTTACTCATTGACATTCGCTCATTTGTACATTATTCCCAGCTTCATATCCAAGACGCTCTAAACGTGTCGATACCCAACACTATACTCAAACGCCCATCATTCACCCTCGACAAGATATCCGACGTCATTGTTTCTGAAAGTCAGCGTACTTTATGGAAGGAATGGCCAAAGTTTGCAAACATTGTCTTGTACGACCAATCATCCGACACCTTGCCTCCCGAGAGTGCCCTTGGTTACCTCTTTGTCAAGTTTCATCAAGCCGGTTACAATGGCAACATGGGTTTCTTGAAAGGTAAGATACTCTCTCTCTCTCTCTTTTGATTCCTATCTCTTCTTCTTTTACCCCCTTTTGTATGAGAAGAAGGGGTTGTTAAGAGGTCCGAACGGGCGATTGATCCAAAACGGAAAAAAGGGGGTGTACAGGGGAAGATGTGTCATGAAAGAATACGCGATCTTATGCTATCTATTGATTAGGTGGTATCAATGCTTTTCAAGAAAAGTATCCCAATCGCTGTGCCTCATCACCCGTACAACCACGATCTGCCAACAATGATCATTTTCCTTCATCGATGACATCCACGACCAATCTACAATCTCCTTCAATCGCATACGCCAACAAACAACATCCTTCAGCATCCTCATCATCCAATACCAACAACTCCACAACAACAACATCCGCAACATCAACACGTCGAAAACGGCCTGGTCTTCATCTCGGGAGTCTTCCTTCTGCATCCACAGGTGCACCAGGTCCATTCACAGCACCCACCATGGCTCTATCGAATCAAGCTTTCAACCCGTTCTTTTCCAACATTCGTCAAAACATGGAGCTCAGCCATGGGAGCATCAAGGAGCGTTTCCCGATTCGCCTCCCTGCTCATTGCAAAATCGACCCTGAGACAGGTCGCATTGAAGATAACCACCATTTACGTGATTGCATGGGTGTCACAGCTTCCAATGTTATCCCAGGATGGTTACGAGAAATGATTTCCGATAATGAAGGTCCACGACGTTTGGCAGAGTTATATGAAGTAAGTTGTGTGTCATTGACATGATCCTATCAGTCATTATTGACATATGCATGGTGGTGGTGGTGATGATAGGTCATTGAACGCACAGAGCAACGCCGATTGCAAAATTTGATGGCACATCATTCGCGATCCACCAGTGATTTGTCAGAGCATCCATTGAGTATTGTATCCGGTATTGAGATGGGAGCATTGAATCGATACACCAACATTTGGCCATTTGGTATGTAACAACAACAATCAACAACCTCGTATGCTTTTATTGTTATTAATCTGCTTGCATATAGAGTATACTCGTGTCAAATTGCAACAATGCCCATCTGGATCAACAGGCTATATCAATGCGAGCTATATTGAATATGTCGACTGTGACCCCGCATCGATTGCATCACCCAATGATCCTGTTGATGACCTTGTACCCAAGCTTCAATGCCTCGATGAACAACGTAAAAAGTCAACCAGTGGACGACAATATCGACGTTACATCTCGACACAAGGACCTCTACCAGCAACATTTGGAGACTTTTGGACCGTAGTGTGGGAACAAGAGACGCGCGTCATTGTCATGTTGACCAAGGAAGAAGAAATGAATAGGGTAAGTCCATATTTCCATCATCATGACAATGACATGCAATCATAACATGATGATGATCTAGATCAAATGCCATCGTTATTGGCCATCCACCATGAACGAGCCCACGCAATATGGACCCATCAAAGTGACTCTTGTATCTCAAAGAATACATGAAGCCTCCTCTTTACCCGATGCTGTACCGGAAGAGAAGACGCATATTCGAGAATTCAAGCTTGAGAGGCAAGATGGTAGCAGTCGCACTGTGCAACAGATCCATTACATGGGATGGATGGATTTCGGTGTACCAGATGATCCCACGGGCACCCTGGCGGTGGTAAAGTTAGCGGATGAAATCCAAACGCAATGGGAGAAGGAAGGGTCACCATGTGGTCCCATGATAGTCCACTGCTCTGCGGGGTGTGGTCGAGCGGGTGCTTTTTGTGCCATTGATACGGTCATTCATCGTTTGAGAAGACAAGGTGGATCCAGGATCAGTGAGAGTGAACAACAAGGCCATGTGGATATCATGTATCAAACCGTAGCCAAGTTTAGAGAACAACGTGTCAGCATGGTGCAAACTCTACGTCAATTTGTCTTTTGTTATGAAGCCATCCTTTGGTATATCCTTGGCTATTCCAGTTAAAAAAAGTTATCTCTTCTTCGTTTCCCTGCAATCCAACACATAGCACACAACACTCACTCACACACAACAGCAAGCACACACACACACTCACTCACACACACAACCATTATCATTCAACATCATTGACATAAAAAAAAGTTTTGCTTTTCATTGAAACGGTCTAGCCCCTTCACTACCATTTCATGCCATCCGTTGGTTTGGCGCTTTGTATAAAATCACACACTAAGGTTTAAAAGCGTACATTCAATTGGCCATGACGTTGGCTTGCATACAAAAAACTCTCCACCTTGGCAAGAATCCAAAAAAAGACCCAACTTTCTTTCCCGCTCTCTCTTCTCTCTCCCTCATCGGTTATACAAAATGTCCTCTTCCTCTAACCAGGCTACTCGACAAAGACGCATTGCAGTGCTTGGCGCACGAGCCGTTGGTAAATGGGGATGGTCTCCACTTTGAAACGAACAACTTCCAACACTCAAGTTTCTCATAGGCAAATCCTCACTGGTCATTCAATTCTGCGAGAATCACTTTGTCGACAGCTATTATCCAACTATTGAAAACACCTTCACAAAGAGCATCAAGTATAGAGGACAAGGTAGCTATTACAATCATTGTGGTATCCTTTGGATGGGACCCTGACGGCTCTCTTTTTCTGTGTGTGTGTAGAATATGTTGTGGAGATCATGGATACAGCAGGCCAGGTATGGTATTTCGATCGACAACGTGGAGACGAGGGATGTTGCATGTGGATACCAACATGATTGCTTTTTAGGATGAATACTCGATTTTGTCCCAGCATCATGCTTCCAGTGTACACGGCTATGTACTAGTTTACTCGATCGCTTCTCGTTCCAGCCTTGATATGATCCAAGTCATTCGTGATAAGATTCTTGATTTCACTGGTCTTGACAACGTTCCATGTGTGATTGTCGGCAACAAGAGTGATTTGAATATCCAAAGGTAGCAGGAGGGAAGTGATGAGGAAATCAGAGTTTAGTGGGCTTATGATTGCATTGTAGACAAATTACGCAACAAGAAGGCAAAGAGATGGCAGAAAAGTGGTCATGTCCAACCATTGAAACATCGGCCAAACATAACGAGAATGTTGGTAAGTAATTGATCGATCCATGGTCGCTATTGAATGATGATGATTGATCTATCTTTATTATAGCCAAGATCTTTGACCTGCTGATTGCAGAGATTGAAAAGGCCAATAATCCACCCTCGGAGGAAAAGAACGGCTGTGTCATCTCCTAAGCACTTGATACCACACTTTACACTCACTCACTTTCACACACATCACAATTGTACATTTTTTTTATCCATCTTATTGCCGTCGTGTTTTTCCTTTGCCGCCTTTTCTTTTTTTATGCCGCCGCTCATGCATATGAAGAGTAGAGATCATCACAACAATACACAAACAATGATTTCCATGAGATATTTAACTTTGAGTCTTCTCGATTCACATGTCACTTATGATCGTTGGCAAGTTGACCATGGCTGGAAGCATACATGAATGAGAGCATTGGACGCATAAAAGAGGATACATTGCAAAACGGCTAGATTTTGTTAGCTGCGGGATAGGTTGCGTGCATACGTACTCAAATGCAGGCATGACATGCATTGGTCTTCTTATATGCTGCCTATACATACATGGAGAGTGAGAGAATGAGACGCCGATAACTACATGTTGCATCCTCATGCTGAAAAAAGTAACCTATTAAAAACAGAGTTTCCAAACATCGCAGTAGACGTACTTGTCTAAGATGGATATCACAAGAAACAACTACACTCAAGGTTTGCTCTTGCATGCAGCGTGAACCCGTATTTCAGCACCACAGATTACATTTCCGAGATTAAGCAGCAGCAGGTGGGCGCACTTGTCAAATGAATTCAATACATCTAACATGTGATCTTGATACTGTTGGTTCTATCATCGACACACGCATCGACACACGTAGGTAGGAAAGGGAAAGAGAATGGACAAAGAGACGTCAGAAACCGAATTTGATGCCTCCTCTTACTATGTACCTCCTTTGGCCCCAATAATGTATACGGTGTTGGGTATGATGACGACAATCAAAGAAGAAAAGGGATCGACTGCACAAATCTGCAAATACCAAAATTCAGGGTTCCTGTGCCTCTCCTCGGCATTACTCCTTTCTCAACAACATTTGCTCTCCTCAATGCTCTCGCTCGCTCTCACTCTCAACACCCGATTATCATCAGGGATGATATGCACAGAGGCCATAGAAGGAGAGGTAGCTATCATCATCATCACTACCACCACCACCATTGCTGCGCCTTGCCACCATTGGGTGGCAACCAAGGAGGTGCTGATCATATACGCTCTCCTCTTTTTATGCTCAACAAGTAACAATTATACTTTGTTGTTTTCATCGAGTTGTGTTTATTAGTTGTTACGAGGGGGGAAATGAGTATCTTACTTTACAACACAACGCAAGGGTACAGAGTTAAAGAATCGATTACAAAATTGGAAAGGTGGGAAATAATGTGAATGTGTGTGTGTGTGTGTGCATAGCAGCAAAAGGGGGTTGTGTGATTGACAGTAATTAGATTCATGCAGCAAACACCTTGTCAAACCAAGCGTGTTTGGATTCAATAAAGTTGGAAACTTGTTGTATGGCCTTGGGATTGTTTCTGATTTGATGGGAGATGATTCCTAGAAAGCGTATTGTGTAAGTTTGGAAGCTCTATCATCGTTCTCTACACAACATGTATCCCTCACACAGAGTGAATGTATCCCTTTCCTTCCCCTCTCTCTTTTCTTGACACACACACAGCAGCTCACCCCCTTCGTCATTGTCGTTTTTTTTACATCTCCTCTTTCACTCGTCACAAACTCAACCTTGACCACTCCTCTACTAACAAAGAAGGAAAAGTGACAAAACTTACCATAGAACCAATAAAGGTGCAAAGGGAACACCACCACAGCAACCATCCAGAGACTTTGCACACGATGATGTTGTTTGAGCTCGTGGATCATCCATGCATGCATGACCAAGCGCAGCACAAAGAAAGATGATGCAAATAAGAAATCACAACGCCACGATTGTTTCAGTGATCCGAGCGCAAGAACAAGGGTAGGTACCTCGAGAATGGCAGCGGTGCAAAAGAAAGAGGCTGTGCGCAAACGCAAAAACCATAAAAGAATCAAGATGTAAAGGGTGTGATGGAACCATCCGGTAAGAAACGTGATACGACGACGATAATAGAGCGAGCCCATCGTAAGATCAAGGATCAAGTATGTGATGAAAAAGCATACGCTAGCTGTGTGCCATGTCGATTCCATACCAAGCAATCGAATATCCCAACCAGATCGCCAGAATCGATAAAAGCATGGGGTCGAGATGATGGTGCATACAAGGCTGCTCGCAAACGTCAATAACCAGCTAATCTGCTTTTCAGTCTTGGCCACGCCCGTATAGATGCATCCATAAAAGAAACCACCCAACGATAAAAAGCTCGCCAAAAACGACAAGGGGACAATGGGTTGTTGGAACACTTGTGTCAATGTTAACGAGCTGGAAATGTCCATGATAAGTGCTATCGGTAGTAGATAAGAAAAAGTGGGTGTGTGAGAGAGAGAAGGGAAAAGAGAAGAACAAAGAAATAGAAATGTGCCCTTACTTGAAATCCATGTATGCATATATTTATACGGAAGCATGATGGTGGCAGTAGCGTATTTGTATAGAGCAAGGCCACAAAGGGAGAAAGGGGAGATCGAGGGTGGAGTCAAAGGGGATAAAAAACGATTAGAAGGAGTATACTTGTTTTTCTTTTTCAACACGATGTCGTTCCTGGAACGTCGATAGGCCGCTTCGCACGTGCTCGATTGACGCTCATCCAGTGAACATTCATGCAAAGCACATGCACATTATGGATGGCCCACCGTTTTTTGATTTAGTAGTAGGTCAGCAAAATCCATCTTTTTCAGCCAAAGTAATGATAACAGAGTCATCATCACACGCACATTCACTCATTCATTGAAACACAATGAAAGCAGGTGAGCTGGGGAAAAAATAAAAAGCCTCCTCGTCATCACCCTTTGTATATGTAATCCACCCTCGCCCTGTTCTCCTCATACCTCCTCACATTTTTCAAAGCGACAGCTCACTGATGTGTGTGTGTGTGCGTATGTATCACGGGTGATGGGTGACCCATCATCTCCTAGTTTGCCACTACGGGGAACAGCAGCAGCAGCATTGCACTTGTTCTCATTATCACTCAACATCCTATCATGGATCAAAGGGCAAAAGGATCAAAAGTGCTTAAAAGACGCGTTTTCCCATTTGCGATGTGCACGGACCTGTCTGAGAGAAAATTGTTACTGTGTTGCTATGTAGGTTTTGTTGCTAGGCAACGCATGAGCGGTGTTGATCCATACATTTATTCACCCAGCCATTTCCAGTCACGAGGGGGAAAAGAATTTTTTCCTTACAAGCCTCTTTTGAGTTGGGCATATAAAATGCGTAGCTGTCTTATCGTTTGTTGATTCACTTCTTGCTCTTTCACAAGGTTCGTATCAAACATGACAACGTGGACTTCATCCCATGCGTGAAAAATGTGTTCTTTATGATGATAACTTGGAAGCCATTTGGATCCGAATGACCCTTATGTTGACCACCTTCTTTTACATTTTCAATTTTGTTTCAGCCTTGTCTGATAAAACACATTTTCACGCTTGATGTCGACATCGCTTGTCAAAATTCTTTCTTGTTGACATGTTGACTCATCTTCATTACAGTAGTCTTGTAGGTTTCAAATGAAACGCGTTCATTTGTGAACATGCAAAGCTCACCTCGAGGCGCCTTACACTGGGACATTGAAATGGTATGTGTGTATAAGGCAAAGAAGAGAGGTTTATTACATGCATATGATGAAACTATCCGACGGGCGGACGGACTCGTGCCCTGTACAAGCACACCTTATGAGAATGTCGAATGTCGTTTGCTGATGCATTGTATATCCTCTCTATGCCAGGATACTTGTTGTTGGGAACAACGTGAACTTACTTTTTGCCGTGTTGTATAGAATGGATTGCTTTATTTCAATGACGCAGTGTGACGGGTAAGTCATAGAGGTTAAAGCTAGCAAGAGAATTCCAATGATGAGAATCATCGACGGGCGGACGGACTCGTGCCCTGTACAAGCACACCTTATGAGAATGTCGAATGTCGATATCCTGAGGAAAATAATGATAACAATTTGCACGTGATGAATAAAAGAATGGATTTGACAAGCATATTTACATTCCCCCTGTGGGGCAGAAAAGTGAAGTGGGGGGCCGTTGAAAGGGAGATGGCGAATGCGATGGTGCCTCTTCATAGGCTGGTGCTTCAAGTTTGTGTTACTGATAGAGTTCTTGTACCATTGCGATGCGCCCGAGTGGTTGGTTGAACTTGCATTTAGCCTTTAGATTAAGACCGCATGTCATTCTTTTCGAGAGAACGTGCACATGAACATTCCTTGTGAATGGGGATGACGCATACCTACATCATCAGCACCCATCTCTTTTTTTGTTTATCAGTGTTTTGGATCATACGTGTGTACGTGTGTACATGTATCAAGGATGCATTAAGTGATGGTGGCCACTCGTTTGCTGTCAACAAGCATCGTGTCATGGTGGTCCTGAATTGCGCTCGGGCATGTTGTTTTGGGTTTTCCACTCAGGTGCGTCGCCAATGTCGCCATCTATGCGATCCTGAAATATGATTGGCTGTTATCAGTGTCTGACATCGATGGACGAGCCTGCTGGAAAATTTTTTGTCTTGTTTTAAATGGGGAGCCTTGCCACAATTTTATTCATCTTTCTTTTTTCCTCATCCAATCTCTCACTCACTTTACATCACCATGAGCAACACCTTCCTCTTCACCTCCGAATCTGTTGGCGAGGGCCATCCTGGTATGTATCATGATTTGGGGATGCCACTTGGTATATACGCGATCATCGATCATTAACAACCTTGCCCCTTTTCTATAGACAAAATCTGTGATCAGGTTTCTGATGCTATCCTTGACGCCTGCTTGGCTCAAGATCCCTTGTCCAAGGTTGCTTGTGAAACTGCTGCCAAGACTGGTATGATCATGGTGTTCGGTGAAATCACCACCAAGGCCAACTTGGACTACCAAAAGATCATCCGTAACGCCATCAAGCAAATTGGTTATGATGACTCTTCCAAGGGTTTCGATTACAAGACCTGTAACGTGCTTGTTGCCATTGAGCAACAGTCCCCTGATATTTCTCAAGGTCTTGTGCAAAAGTCCTTCAACATTGAGGATATTGGTGCTGGTGATCAGGGTATCATGTTTGGGTAAGTTTTCCTTTTTCAATATCCTGGGAAAATATATAAATGGGCAAGGGAACACCACTCATGCAACGTGATATTGATTGTTGTTTCCATAGCTATGCATCCGATGAGACTCCTGAAATGATGCCCATGACCGTTGTTTTGGCTCACAAGCTCAACCGCCGTATGGCCGACCTTCGTCGTGATGGCACTCTTGGCTGGCTCCGTCCCGATTCCAAGACCCAAGTCACCATTGAATACCGCAAGGAAGAAGATGGCTCCCTTACCCCTCTTCGTGTTGACACCGTTGTCATCTCTGTTCAACATGATGAGCACATTGGTCTTGAAGACTCCCGTAAGGCCTTGATGGAACATGTTATCAAGCCTGTTATTCCTGAGCACTTGCTCAAGGACACCATCTACCACTTGCAACCCTCTGGCAAGTTCATCATTGGTGGTCCTCAAGGTGATGCTGGTTTGACTGGTCGTAAGATCATTGTTGATACCTATGGTGGCTGGGGTGCTCACGGTGGTGGTGCCTTCTCTGGTAAGGATTGGTCCAAGGTCGATCGTTCTGCTGCCTATACCGCTCGTTGGATTGCCAAGTCTCTTGTTAAGGCTAAGCTTGCTCGTCGTTGCCTTGTCCAACTTTCTTACGCTATTGGTGTTGCCGAACCCCTTTCCATCCACGTTGACACCTATGGCACTGGTGCCAAGAGCGAGACTGATTTGGTTGAGATTGTTCGCCAAAACTTTGACCTTCGCCCTGGTGTGATCGTCAAGGAGTTGGATCTCTTCAAGCCCATCTACCAACAAACCGCTGCTTACGGTCACTTTGGTCGTGAGGAATTCACCTGGGAACAGCCCAAGGAGCTCAAGTTCTAAGTATGCGCGCACTTTAACATCCCACACGCACATCAACTCTCAATCTCGCAAAACATCTCCCACATCATGCACTACTCTTTTCGCCATACTTGACTTTTTTTTTCTTCATCATCCTCTGATTCCACAGATGTTTTCAACAAACTAGATACTCATTGTAAAAGTTCCCTTTTTCTCTCCCCTTTTTATCCTCTAATCCCTACGCACAAATTACCTTTCATCATGTTAGATATAGCTTTCGCTTTTGTATATACGATTCAACATCGTCCAATGAAGGATGGGTGGTCATAATAATAACTTCTTTCGCATAACAACTTTACGCTTTTCTACTTTGATGGTTTGTGCGTGGGCAATTTCAGCGACGCGTAAACAAGTGTGGGAAAACTTTGTATGTCGCTAGATCAAATATCTCATATCAGGTTTGCGGAGCTACACTCGCTAAGATTGGGGGTGGTGGTGGTGGGGCGCTGTCAATCTTTGATAAAAGTGAACGCTGATTGTTTTCTGCTATTCCTTATCTCTTTCATTTCACATCATGTCCTCCTCCTCCTCCTCCTCCAATGCCACTCCTCACTTGTGGCTACGTGCAGAAACCAAACCTATGGAACATCGTGCTGCATTGACACCTGCCACTGTTAAAAAGTTGATGGATGCTGGATTCAAGATCACTGTGGAACGCTCTGATCAACGTATTTTTGATGATGAGGAATATGCAAGGTAATAAAGATTTAATGATCGTGTATTGAAGTATCCTATGCTGATATGTGTTCTACATGTACGCAGAGTGGGTTGTCCTCTTGTTGCACCTTTGAGCTGGAAGACCGATGCACCGGCGGATGCATACATTGTCGGCCTTAAAGAGCTGCCTGAGAACGATGACTCACCTTTGCGTCACAAGCACATTTTCTTTGCTCACTGTTTCAAGAATCAAGGTGGATGGCGTGAATTACTGCAACGATTCGACGTGGGTAAAGGCACAATCCTGGATCTCGAGTTCTTGAATGACGACAATGGCAAGCGTGTTGCTGCATTCGGATACATGGCAGGCTTTGCTGGTTCAGCAGTTGGCATTGACGTGTGGTGTCACCAAAAGATCCATGGTGGTAAAAAGTCGTATGGCGTTATCAAGCCTTATCCCAATGAAGATGCATTGATCAAGTACACCAAAGAACGTTTGGCAGCTGCAGGTAAATAAATAGGGAAGGGGAAAGAGAGATGGGACGCTTGATTTGACTGATTTCTCTATTTCAAGCGGCGGCAAATGATGGCAAGATGCCCAAGGTCTTGGTGATGGGTGCATTGGGTCGTTGTGGCACTGGTGCTTGCAACTTTGCACGTAAAGCTGGTGTGCCTGAGGAGAACATTATCAAGTGGGATATCAATGAAACCAAGAAAGGTGGCCCTTTTCCCGAGATCTTGGATGCAGGCAAGTGTTATGATTGCGTCTTTGTTTATTATGCTCCTCTGTATAGCTAATGATGATGATGATCCATTTACATCCACAGACATTTTTGTCAATTGTATCTATTTGACCAAGAAGATTCCTCCTTTCCTTACACGCGACTTGGTGAATGGTCCTCGCAATTTGTCGGTCATTTGTGATGTTTCATGCGATACAACGAATCCCAACAATCCTGTGCCATTGTACTCGATTAATACTACATTTGACAACCCTACCGTTCCGGTCGAGACCTCAAACCCATATCCATTGGACGTCATTTCTATCGATCATCTGCCGACCTTGTTACCGCGTGAGTCGTCGGACATGTATTCACATGACCTCTTGCCCACTATGCTCGAACTCAAGGAGCGACATACTTCACGCACTTGGCAGGATGCGGAAAAGCTGTTTCACCAAAAATTGATTGCATCACGCACACCCAACGCTCGCTTGTAATAGTAGCTATAGCATAGAAAATTCTTTTTTCCCCATTTATGTACCTGTTTTTTTTACCGCTTCCTCAAATGAAACATCCGTTTGTCAAAATACAAAATCAGCCCTCCCCACATTTACCACAAAAGGAGAACTTGATGACGATTGGCAAAGAACATAACGTCAATCAATGACTCAAGTTGACGTTCCACTAACATGTATGTCATGTGCTGATCATTTCCACCTTCGTAGTACCCGTGAATTAATCTAAAGCGACATCGTGCAGCTATCTTGGATGCACTACTATAGAGAAGAGGTATTATAAGAATGAGATCGTGTACTTGGATTATCCTCAAGAACATTCAACGAATATTCTATCGTGCCTTGAACGGTTTCCCACATTTCGGGAGGCGGTTCAAAAGATAGACTTTTTAGATCAACCGTAAGAGTGATATCAATGACGTATTGTTATAGGATGCAGTGCATCAACTACAATCTACACTATGGAAGTTCACCAGCTTGATATGAGTTGCCTGCAAGAAGGGCATGTCCGAAATGTGGGTTAATGCATAATGGGTTGCACAACGTGCGAGCTATCTGATATGGGCAAGACAAAATGATCATGCAATGCAACACAGCCGAAGAAAGGCGAAATTTCTGCTGGTTCTTCTTTTGGGCCGACAAATATATAAAGGCTTGCCACTCAGCCCATTGCCAATGTTTGCTTCATCGTTTCCTTTTCCATACGTCTTCCTTCTTTCTTCAATCACACACACACACACACACACAAAATACAATGAGTGACACTATAGAATGGTGCAACAACTCCTGCACATTTTGTGACAAAGCCTTAGGAGCCTTTAATGTATGTACATACTTTTTTCCTTGATCCATGCCCAACAGGTGACTTATATTATACCAAAGGATTCTTTGTATTGTTCGGAAGAATGCTTGCGCAATGATGCTCTAAATCATCATCCACTTCTTGGCTATGACTATGCTGAATTCAAGAATTTCCCTCGCAATGCCACCACATCCTTCGTTTTACCAAGGCTATCATCATCATCATCATCATCATTCTCTTCTACAACATCTTCACATTCGAGTCCCATGACACCACCATCCGACATGGTGATCAATCCACTATTTGATAAGATTTCACCCCCAGCATTCAACATGGGCATCTCAGCTCAACAAGCTCCTCCTCCTCATGTCTTTTAACAAGGAGAGCAAATACATAGTATACCCCCATGCCACATTGACCCCATTGTTGTACATTTCATTATCGTTTCTTGCATCCATTGATCATTCTTTGTTTTCTCATCCTTCCCTTCTCTAAACCCATCGTTGTAAATATAAAGATGCTAATCTGATCATGAAGGAGTAAACGTGTGCGTTTATTATCAGATCATCCATTTTACACGGCTCCGATTGGTGGGAAAGGTTGTTTGCTTCCATTTCAATGCGAGTGGTTGCGCCATTGACACTTTATCTGATTCAACATGATATCGATTTCATCCATCACTACCATCATTGATGACACAAGAAGGCAATGATATCCTGGAAAGCGATAGGTACAAAAGAGCCCATCACTACCCCTGAGATGGCTTCCGATGATCACGAGTGCATCAGCGAAGCCCAATCCCAGTGATCTTCTCGAGCCGATTTAGATGATGGTTATTGCCACCTCGCCAAATCGGGGCATGATAGTTGCCGAGCTATGCATGGACAATCTCTAAATGATGCTGGTGAAAGCGCCCAACCATTTTATCACCTAATGGATCATCCCCCCAACGGAAAAATCTATCGTCTTGTAGGAGCAGATATTCATAAACTCACCGTGCACACGTTGTTGTCACTCATCCTGCATCAAAATTATCTATTTCCTCGATCATATCCTCTGCCATATATAAATAAGATAACTATCTTACAAGACATGAATCACAAAAGAGGAACATGTGCTACGATGTTATTGACAAGTTCCAATCACAAGAAAGGGTGGGAGTTACGCAATCGAATACATCCTTTGTTCAAGACACAATGAATCAATCAGGGTCTTTCTCTTTCTTTTTCATTATCACAGCATTTGAATCTGAAACCTAATAGCATTCTACCATCCTGCATGTACCAAACCATAGATCTTTCTATAACACAATACATCAAATGCCTATACACGACGAGGTCCAACTCAGGAAGAAGGAAGGTCTTTCACGATATGGAAACTGAAAAACGGTTGGTCCAGGGGATTGCCGTATTCCTTAAAGTAACTTTCCAATCCAACATCATCCGCAAGAGATAGCATGAGAGGTACAACGGATTGCTCCAATTGGGAATACATCCATATGCAGCAAAGTGAATACGTAGGTGGACGTGAGGTGGTAAATGATATGCATGGACTGCCAAAGTATACAGTGAATGATGGTGCTGATACACGGCTGACAGGTTGCACAAAGGATGATGATGATTGCTGCCATGGAATAGCGCGTAAAGTACGTTACAGTAATTGGATGCACCAATCGTCCATGATGATAGCATCAAGCATAATATTCAAGTTGACAATAGAGACACAAACACAAGGCTCTTTTTCCATGCGTTGTATATACCCAATTCCTTCCATCCCATGTACCAAACCAATATCCATATCCATATCCATATCCATAAGAAGTTGTATGTATTAAAGCGAGTTGCTACACGTAAATAAAGCTGCTTCTATACAATGGCTATCTGCTGTTCACGTAGCAAAGGCTGTAAGACAAGTTGCTGCAAGTAACTTGAGGGAATGGACTGATCTTGCTCGTAGCAACTGCTGCAACGAATGCTGTTACGATTGGTCGTGATAGAGGAGTGTACAAGAGAAGGTGTAGAGTCAAGAGGAGGCTCGTGTGTTGTAGTAGAGTGTACACGCCATGAACTTGCCATTCGGTCAAAGACAATCGGATCAAGAGAGTTGTAGGATTGACATGATGGGCTGAAGCAGGACTATCGTTCGCAGGTGGTAGTTGTGCTTGAATGGGCCAACAGATGAAAATGGGAGGAAGAGGCAAGAAGTTGTGGGAGTGGAAAGAGTTGACGAGGAAGAAGAGTTGAAAGATAGACCCATATTTTACTCTGCCCAACTTGCCTTTTTTCACCGAGAGCCTGTTACACGACTCCCACTCATCCTCATAATGCAGAGCGCTATGTGCAATCACGTGATAAATGGTATGATCAAAAGTAACCTTCAACGTTGATTGATTGCAAAGAAAGCCTTACTCCATGATGACACCTTGGCATGTACTGTAAATCATCCGTCATATCTTACAACATCAAATTATAGCTATTAGAGTACTGTTAGTGACGCTCATGAATGCGTAATAAATATATAAATGATGATAAGGTGGCAAATTAGCTTCCATGGAAACCCATGTACTGACAAGGATGGCCACGCGAAGGCTTTGCCGTCACCCTCTCCCCTACGGTGCACCAAGCCGGATAACGGGGGCTGCCATTGTAAACAACAGCATCTTCTATAGGTGCTGCTCGAGCCAACATGTTCGGTCTGATACAAGGACAAAATAGCATCCCACGCCCACAGCGGCCGACCCATAAGAGCGAAAAGCAATACATGATCCCATATCTACCACAAGGACACTGATGAACAGTCTAACTTCCAACGGCTAAGGCAGCAATCCTCAAATGCAATTGATAGGGCCACGATAGGGCTGACCACACTGTCGCATATGAATCATAGCTGCCAACGATGCTTTACTCAAAAGAGCAAGGCGCCATCCCGTTCTACCCATAGCAAATAAACATCCGCCATATCAGTAGTTGCTGTCCTCAAGCGACCTTCTTGGGTAGGCGTCATCAGAGAGACACATCATGCACTGCAACAAATAAATCCGGTCTTGATGAAATAGCATACGCGAGAATATTGACTTGCCAAGAGAACGTTCAAGGTATCCATACAAGTACTTGAGGAATGAGATCCGCCATGGCACCGATAAAAACATTGCTCTGAAGATCCACCGATAGAGACGACTTGCAGGTGGCTGATTTTCAAAACCATGGAAACGGTATCCTTGACAACCACAACTATAAGATAGAGATCGTTTGCTTGCTTCTGAGAAACCCACCCAAATTCAAATGTTGATCTTCGTCTTTCAAAGCAATAGAACTCGCCACTGACAACTGTTGTAAGAAGACCAAATGGACTTTGATGACACCAAGAGAATGTGAAAAGATAGCTGGATGGAATGATGGACCTATAAAAATGCATGTCACTAGTTTATCGCTGAGATAATGGTAACAACACTTAGCCTGTGCCATATGAGAATCCACGACGCCCGTTGCCCCCAGCAACCAAAACCAATTCCCTTGCTTCAACGATGTCGATACAATGACCAATGCTGATACGTAATCTTTCTCCAAAGGAAAGGAGCGATACTTGATGATGAATGCCATGAGAGATGGATACACCTTGACAGCACCAAAAGGACACGTAACATTGTTGTTTGTTGCTGATGTGATACATCCATAAGAGACGTGCACTGCAGAGGGCTGTTGAAATCAATTGGCCAAATAACGAGAACCACCAGATGATCGAGTAAATGCTGTTGACAATAAAGATAGGAATTTTGTTGCTTGTGCTGATATGGTCCACCGACAACAGGCATGCGTATAGTGGGATATCCATCGAAAGGATTGTCGACAACTAGAACCAAAATGAGACGAGATCAAGCCTATGCTTTGCAATCGTCCGTTTGTTGATAAGACCCGCTACGGTGGTACTCGGCTTGAAAGCCATGGAACGACACTTTATGGGCATATGCAGTGAGAAGGTTGAGTAATACTTATACCACCAAAGATAGCATACTTACATGATGCCGAAGAGCCATTACAAAGAGAGACAACGAGACAATCCTTGCTGCCCAAGACCACATGCAAATCGAGAAAGCATTGTGCATCGAAAAGCCCAAACCAGATCCTAGCTGCGGAGTGACGTACATATGGCTAAAGAGCGATGTGAATGGCAATCGTTTTTCATTGGAAATCGAATGCAGCTTGACGATGAATGCCTTGAGGAGATGCATAAATGACCTTGGTCACACCAAAGATGTCAACGCGGACTCTCATTGCTTGTTGATGACATGATCCATCCTTAAGACGCGTATAGTTGTAGAGATCCATCAAAGGAATCGCCAATAACCAGAACCACCAAGAGATAGAAAGCTTGCTGATATCAAAGATATACAAGTTGTTCCTTGCTGCTGATGTGATCAAGCGATAAGAGACCTTCATTTCAGGATGCCCACCGAATTGCCGATAACGAGAAGAACCAGATGATGGGATGAGGGTTGATATGGCACCGAAGATATGCATGCTGTTGTTTGTTGCTGATACAATCCACTCACAAGAGACTTGCATTGGCGGACACTCTTCAGAGAAATCGCCCGTTGCTTGGTAACCAACCACCCGAGACGCAATAAAGGTTGACACCACCAAAGACATAAACATTTCCCCATGGCTGACATGATTCACCTATAAAAGATGCACCATAAACAATTGTCCCGACTCATCCAACAATACTTAGCAATCATAGCTGTGATCTTGTAAGCTCCAAAGCACCAAAAGACAAGCAGCTCTCTGCAATAGTCCCTCTAAATAATGGTAGGCGTTTCAGCAAAGGTCTCCAAAAAGCACGAGAGTCCTACATACCTGAATCACGCAATCATCACCCGCAGACTTGGGAACCAAATAGACCATCAGGATGTAAAGTAATAATAAAAGCGCACAGCCAAAGAAACGTCATAGTACCGGCACTCTCCTGTGGATCGACGCGATGAAGTGCATCAATAGAGATACCATCTTCTCTCTAAAGGCAAGGAGATCAATAGCCGTAAAACGATGGAGCCGTGCGAACAGAGGATGCATTTTTAAATCCCTGAGGCCGCAACGTGAGTCGCACTGTCCCCGGGCACAACATGTAGAGCTCCACAGGAAAGTATAGTACAATGACATCCTTGACGTGCAGCCGTGATAATTATAGTATCGCCGAAAGAGGCTCTGCCACTGTATGGCGCTTGGTAAGTTCACTTGAATCGAACCAATCCCATCATAATGAGCACTCTTACCTTGTGGTATTTCTCAATATCATCTTTGCCTCAAATGAAAACCGTATATCCGTGCCATCCAGTAGGTGCCGCTGCTGTTTCATTGCAAGGCTCGTTAATTAACATGTTTTGCTTTGTAGATCCAATACCACGCATACCATTGAGCCAACCATACAGCATTCTTGCTTTGATATCAATGTCTTGTTGCTGCCAGAGGTACCATCATCCAACATGTTCAACCTACCATAAACGCAATGTGAGATAACAAGTAAAACCAACCCACACGCTTTTGTTGTCACCATACCCAAAAGAAGCAAGGTAAAGACGTCTTGAGAACTCTCATTATGGACTACTCGGTAAGGAAGGCACACGACGCCCTGAACCATGGTGATCACAAGGAATTGCAACCAAATACACCATCCGAAGGCAATACAATAACCAACCTGCAGCGCCAAGGTATGCCGCCATATGTACTATACTCTCATTGGATCCTGAAATTGGCGTCATAAGAGATATCCACCTTCTCTCTGTAGGCAAGGAAATCAATAGCCGCACTTGGATGGAGGCCGTGCGCACAGCGGATGCATTTTTAAATCCCTGAGGCCGCATCTTGAGTCACACTGTTTCCGGGCCAAAATTCCCCAGGAGAGCATAGTACTATACAATGACATCCTCGACGTGCTGATTGATCAAAATAGTATCGCCGAAAGAGGCTCTGCCACTGTATGGCGTTTGGTAAGTCCACTTGAATCCAACCAATCCCATCATAGTGAATACTCTTACCTTGTGGTATTTCTCAATACCATCTTTGCCTCAAATAGAACCGTATATCCATGCCATCCAGTAGGTGCTGCTGCTGCTTCATTGCAAGGCTCGTTAATTAACAGGTTTTGCTTTGTAGATCCAATACCACGCATACATGGATTATCATATTCCAGAATACTTTTCTCCTGGTATGTTGTTGATTTCTTGTATATGTGTATGTGCCATCATGTGCTTATCTATTTGTTATACAGAGGCCCAAGATCTGGTGAATGGTATCCTGCAACTTGATCCAAAGCAACGCTTGACCATCAATCAAATTATGCGACATCCATGGATGAGAACAAGTGATGATGACGAATGTGATAGTGCTCGATGTTCCATGTACTCGGACGTCGATTCGATTTTCTCATCATCAGCAGCTCGACGCGACGATTACGAATACGACTCATTTTCGGATGTATCTTCGAGCCCTGGTACACCTAAACACCAAAGCTGGCATCGTAAGCAACAATCACCCATGCCGAGCATGTTGCAAGAAAAGAGTCGTTTTGTCAACAGCAATCGTCCACCTCGATATTCAGCTCCAACAGTCAGCAGTCGTGCTCGTATCACACAACCTCACCATCATCATCTTTTTCAACATTCAGTGCGATCCTCTTTACCAAGCAGCTTACCATCTGTGAGAGCAGCAGCTAAACGATCGTCATTGGCAGTAGAGGAACCAGCTATGGGACCTATGGAAGAACGTCTTTTTGCAGCTTTAACAGCTGCTGGATTTGATGAAGCTGTGGTACGAAAGATGCGTACGTCGTCGGATTCCGGTAACACGTTGGGTGCCATGTGGCACATGCTTATGGATAATCTCAGCAATCAGCCAAACATCAACGACAACGATAGCACTGCTGTGAATCGATCATTGACAACGCATGGAACAAAACAAGCGGTGTCAGCTGGTACGCAAACCGATGATTCGATTGAGCAACAGCCTGTACGTCGACGACCGGAGCCTATTGTACCTGTAAAACCACCACAGCAACAACAACAACAGCCACAGCAACATCTTGTACCTGAAATAGATCCCAAACCACAGCCAAGTACCAGTACTGGTAAATCGGGATGGTTGTCATCAGTCAAGTCATGGTTCGGTGCTAAGCAACAACAAGAAGATAATGCTAAGCAACCTCCATTCGCTTCATCTTCGACGCCTACACCACAACCCATGCCAAAATTCACTCCTCCCGAATTGACTCGTCCCATGGCAGCTCATAACAAGCCATCCTTGGATAGCTATTACAAGGCAAGTAATGCATTTGGTCCTACGGCTGCACGCCCCATCAATGCAAGAGATCCTGCCAAGATTGCTTTGCCTGCACCACAACCTGTAGCTGTTGAGCTCAACATTGGCCTTGACAAGGTATCTCCACAGCCACATTCTGTTGTTGGACCTCCCCGATCCACCGCTTCCAGTCCTACCGAAGAATCAAGCTCAACGGATGATGATGACGATGATGAAGAAGAAGAGGATGATGATTCTTCCTCTTCTGGATCTTCAGTGGCTACTTTAGAAGATGATGATTGTGGACGACATCCTCATCATACCCCAATTCATCATCACCAAACCACTGAAATGAAGCCTACAACTCCAACACCTTCATCACCCCATCCATCGTCTCTGATTCATGACCAGGAAGCAAAGCAGCACCATGAACAGCAATCTGGTTCTAGATTGGAAGTCCCTGTACCCACACCATACCCCACACGATCTTGGCCATTGGTAAGTCCCCCCATTTTGTGATCATGTTTATGACCCACATCTAATTTTAATTGATTACAGGCTATTCGAGAAAACGGTCCTGCACCTCTTGCTACTGCATCGTCAAAGCGATTCGAATTTGCTGCACCACGATCACGAGCACAACTTGGTTCCTATAATGACTTGGGGCGCCGGAAGCCCTTGGCAGCAAGAGCCATCATAGAAGAAGAGGAGGAAGAAGAATAACTCATTCCCATTCGCTTCATGCAAACCAACCTTTCTGTATACTGATACAATGAGCATACATCAGAAAAAAACAAAGATAATCAGAAAAAAAAACACACCCACTTGTATACATTATTCCCTCTTGCCGTATTACATCATTCACCAAAAAACCTTTTTTTTGCTCGCCGCTCTCACTCTTCTCTCTTAATATTACCTTTAGTATTCTCTTTTTTTTTCCTTTCCTATACACATTTACATACATATCCATTTGTTTTTCTTTCTTTGCGACCCATACATATATACATATTAAACTATTGAGAGTGATAGCATATTGCTTCGAATTGTGGATGGATGTGAAAATGATACATAGAAACTTTCTTTATAACACGCTCTTTGATAATTACAACATCAAACATATTACAAGACCTTGCCCGATTCACTTTTCCGATACTCTAGCTTCTCGACCTTGACTTCATTATCAATCAGCTTGTAGACATAAGTGATCACCACACTGCCTTGGATATCCATGAGCACAAAGGAGGGTATCGGTTCACTGCAAAGAAAGAACCACCCTTATGAGTGACATGCTGCTCATCCTCCACTTGCTCCTTTTCTCTGTCACACTTACATGTTTTCGGGAATGGATGAATAAGCACCTGTGGCACTACCAGGATTGATGAAGAATCGATTGTTGTTTTCAAATGCTTCGAAGCGATGTGTGTGTCCAGTGAGCAGAATGTCGACTTGCATTTGTCTGGCAGTAATATCAAGCGCATCGGCATCACCCCAGGGAACGACTTGATGACCATGTAATACACCTACACGGATAGCACCATGGGTCACCACCTTGGATTGCGGGAAGCTTGAACTCTACATACAAAGTATGAGTGACATCCATCCACGCTCGCCCACACAACCCATACAGTACCTCATCAAAGTCGCCCTTGACAACGATAATGTCGCCTGCAATGGTACGCAAGTAGTCCAATGTCTCCTTGTCGCAGATATTGCCGGTACAAATGATTTGCTGGATTTTGCCAGGCACCTACGGGCAACATGTTACATTCGATAGTCGAGCAATGGGGCGGGGGTGGTTGTGTAGTTGGGCATACCAAAAGCTTCTTGAACTTGGCAGGCAAGTCATGGACGCGATGGGGGATATGCAAGTCGCCAATAACGAGTACTAACTATGACCAAGATGAGTCAATACAAACAAGTCTCTTCATGGCAAGTTCTGTTACCACCATAGTTGTATGTGTGTGTGTGCGTGTGTGTTCGTGAAGAAAGCGACAATGGAACCGAGCCAAGAATCAAGCCTAAAGTAGCCAGCAGTCGGAGTGATGCGTCATGCAAACCACATTTGCTCTTGTACCAGATATTGCAAAGACCAAATGCTCGACTACTCCATCGTAGCAGAAATGCCTCGTTATCGTTCACAAACGCATTTTGCACCCCTTTACAAGCAAACAAGGTAGCCATGTCAAACTACATGTTGCTCGCATGACTCAAGCGCCCACTCGAATACTCACATCAGCAATGACAAGCATCCTATCATATCACATGTAATGCATGAAATAGGTTATTTATCCAAATAAAAAGTAAGCAAGATGAAATCTCTGGTCGTGTGTATGTGCGTGCTTGTTTGAAATAAGCTTTCTATGATGATAATATGGTCTTCTTGTATCTTTCAGGTCATGTCCTTGCCTTATCAGCTTCCGTTTTCTTGAGCGCAGGGTCCTTCAACTTGTTTCGCTGATGCACTTGACGACGATCTATTTCGCTTATCAGTTTTGGATTTTGAAAAGTCAATAAAGCTAGTAGATACAATACCTTGCAAGCCATACAGGTTTTCGATACATTTGGGCATCGAGTGGGAGAAAAGAGACCCTCCCCCACGTCCCATTGGATACGCATGATTACTCCTCTGATAAAGAAAGCACATACAATCTATATCTCACGTTAGCTTTTAGACCATGAAAGAAAGAGTCGTATTTCTACCTTCCCCTAGCAAACTACAATGTTCGTACAATGTGGTTTGTTTTCGTCCATTCGCTTTATCTCCTTGTTCAACTGCGTGTCCTTCTTGCTGTCCAAACACCCCCTTTACAGATGTTTGGGTTGATTCGTGTGTAAAATCAAGAGACCTACAACAAACAACAAAGCAAGTTAATTTGACGATGCCGGCTCATTCACTTTACAATCACATACAGCTCTCTTTGAATGGAAAACTCCCGTAATCTATCATTGTGACTATGCACTGCGGCATGGAAGCCGTATTATCAACCCCATGCAGGCTCTAGTAGAAGTTGCCACCTAATCCAACTTTGTTTATGCATCTCTTGTGGTAGCTACATGAAAAAGGATTGTGAGTATAAGCTTCATCAAGCAGGACGATTGGATCTTACCTTAATAAAAGAGCTAAATATCACAACGACAACAACAACAATGAAGCAGCACTAAAGGGCATCACGAATATCAGTATATGGATCGCTCACAAAGAAAACTATCCACTTTGGCATACTCACATCAACTTGGGATTTGAAAGTGTCAGCAATCAAAGAGTGATACGATGGAAGAAAGAGATGTATAGGAGTAAAATGATATGCGACGACATCCACTCTTGTTTATAAGTGCATGCGTGGGCGTGGGTACATCTTCCTGTGACCACATAGATGATAAATGCTTGTTGGGAATGGTGATTAGCTGATAGATTATTGGGGCGTCTTTCACAAAGAGCCTTGTTGGCGTGGTCGAATCGAATACGCATGCATAAAAAAAGATCTGATATGAACAAGGGAGCAATGTCCATCATCCAGCTGCTATCACAAATCAACTAGCAGTGTGCTCAAATTCCGCATTATTTGAGGATGCTTGCATGAGCGATCGTTTCAGAAAGGGAAGTTGATAGGAATGATGGAGGTGATATAACAGCATCCCCAATTTACAGGCTCGGCAGCTCTCAAACGTACACAGGGTTTGCTATCGCATAAGACCAATCATCCACATCCCAATGACACGATTCGATTATATATAAACAATGATGCTATATGTATTGGTGTGTGTGTGTTATATTGACTATTGATACAAATGCACTCTTAAGCGCCGCCATTCTGTCTCTCAACCACCATCAAACTACCGATGAAAGTCAAGTTCTACGTAATAAAAAGCATTAGACATCCATTCAACAAATCCACACAATCATCCATGTGTCACTTACCATCTTGGATCTAACTTCTACGATATCCTCAGGCACCAAGAAAATAGTAGCTCCAAGCTTACGAGCAATAGAGATGGCAAGTTTGGCATTGTTGAAAGCATCCTCCTCTATAATCATGCAATCAGCACTCGATCCTTGACCCTATTTTCATCCTATCCTTTTACTTACCGGAACGACCAGGGGTTACTAAAGAGTAATCGACATAGCCAGGCTTGAGACCATTTAAGACATCCAAAAAGAAGAGACCTGTGCGAAGGGAAGGATCACGGAAAGATTGCATTCGGCTTTGCTTGCCACCACGTTGCACCATTTCGTTGGCCCAGCGTACCATATCTTGATCGGTCACAGCTCGACCACCCTTGGTGAGTGATTGCAGTGTGTGGATAATGTTTTCGCGCATAAGCTGCCAGACCAAGGCCAATGTCAATGTCCGGGTACCATCAGCAATATCAGCACCTTGGATGCCAACCAATGAGAAACCACGTTCTTGACCAAGATGTACTGCATAATTGGTATTCTCAATCGCCTTGAAACGTGACAAGGGCTGCTTCTTGTTAACCGCCCGCCAGTTGACAAAGTTGGGAATGACCTTATCAAAGGCTTGCAAAAGAATAAGACCATCCTTGAGATCCTCGAACAAGTTGTATACACCAGGATCGACATTGAGACTGTTGAGCCACAAGGTGAACACTACAACCACATCCATTAATATTTGATCCCCTTTTAACACATTCCATGACTTACTTCTTGCTTCACGCTCGCCTTCAGCATCAAATGGTTCAATCTCAGGAGCTTCTTCTTCAGTCAATGGATCAAGACCAGGATGGGTGTTGAACAAGTGAGCCACAAAAGCAAGGTTAAGCTTGGGGTTACCAGCCACCATAGCAGTAGGGGTCAAGTATTTGCGGCATCCAATCTTTTCAGCATTGTCAAGGACCATTTCAGCACGTCGCAAGACATCACGTTCCTGCAAAGGTGCACGAGAGCACGTCTCGGGCTTGAGTTGGTTCAACAAGATAGTGTAGTTTTCACCATCGGCAACATCCTTGCTAAAGTTGTTGACTCTATAGCCGAAATAAAAAAAGGAGGTGTTAAAGCACATTCAATAGCCTATTCCCTTGCATCGTTTTTTTTTACCTTCGTTCCCAATTGGCAGCCTTAAGATGATAATTGAACCAACGCAACAAAATCTGATCAGGAGGCAACTTGAGGAATTCTTCCAAAGTCTCATTCTCCTCCAACAAACGGTATAATTCGGGATGCAACTTGATATCAATCTTGCTCAGCAATCCACGTTTGATGATTTGCCAAATAAGACCAAGAATCAAATGTTCACGGCCTTCAATGAGATCTTGAGAACCAATATTCACCACCGAACAACCAATAGCCTTGGCAGAGTTGACGACAATGTTGTTGTTTTCCACCATCTGGAAGTTGTTGATCTTTTTGTTCTTGGGGACGTTCAAAACACGCTCATCAATAGTGTCAGGCACAGCATCGTTGATCAGCTTTGAAAGAATCAAACCATCTATGTGCATATAAAGATGAGTCACTTTTCCTTTCCTTATACCTTCCCATCCATCCTCAATGCATACCTCGGCATTCATCAAACAACTGCATAGTATCGGTGGGAATGGGCAAACGATTGCCGATATGGACATCACCAGCCATGACGCTGTTGATATGGCGAGTAAATTCGGTACGTTCATCCTCGTTGATGGTGTGAGTAGTGCCGGCGTTGGTTCCATGGACACGAATCTTGTGTTGATGAACATCAAAAGCACCCTTGTTTCGACCTTCCTTCAATTTGGAAGCAAGCTGTTTTACAAAAGTAGCGTCAGCTCCGAAATTCAAAAGCGCTCTTTCATGCGATCACCCCAACCCATCCCAACCACTTGCCGAACATCCAAACAATCATCGTCTTGGCATGGCTGCAGCCCCCCCCCTTTGTCTTTCACTCACACTTACGCTCACTTTTTTCCCGCCAAACCTTGTCCACCCCCCCTGTGCACGGACACCTCCTTCCTATACACACCTCAATAAACTCCTCAGTGTCGATTTTGCTTGTAGCACTGGTTCTCACTTGCTTGAGAGTGGCACGGATCTCATCATAGTTGCTGCTGTAACCACTATCCTTGCAAGCCTTTTGGATCTCGGTTTCATCAAGATAGCCATCACCATCCAAGTCCAACTCGCTAGCAAGTGAAGGAAAGAGAAGGATATTGTTTAGACGCGTGCTTTTGTGGTATAGCTTTTGGTCTGACAATGTCCATTGGGACCATCATCACGTTGAGGTGAAGAGCCAAACTTACTTGAATTGGTCAATGAGGGAGTTGATATCGTTCACCTGCAATGCAGGGTACTTTTTTTGAAGGGTAAATGCGTTGAGGATGGGCATGAGTAAGTGTGGAAAAGGAAAGTGTTCGAAGAAGAGCGCGGGTCAGCTGAACTCGAACCGTGTATTTATATAAAAATACCAAGGCGCCGGACCAAGGAGCGGCATTGTTCCAAACAATATGCGCAGCTGTTATCGAACACGAGTGTAGCATCATTTCATATTACCAGTCATTTACAATATGCCAAGCAAATTCCTGTCATTTCCACTTGCGTTCTACATGATGATGCAACCACCAACCACTTCTTCACATACATACACACCCCCGCCGTCCACCACCACACCACCACGTCGTATCCTAATAATGCCAAGACTACTCTAACGACTTGTTACAATGTTCCCCTCCTTTAACCCTTTAAAATGTAGCATGTAGTCAAACACTAATAGAAGAATGGACCCATTTTCATTGTTCTTTTTCACACTATACCCTTCTTCTTGGATAACATGACACGTTTTGTGACCAACGATGCACTAGCAGCTGCATGTGTTATAAATCACTGACCACACGACATGCTCGAAAACGATCATCCTTATAAAACGTGTGAACCCAAGGATATGGGTCATGAAGGATTCTGCTACGCATCATCTCCTGTAATGTAATGATGATGAAGAATAGGTTACACGATGGTATCTCTCGCAGCTGGATACAACCCCGACGATGACAATGTGCACCAATTTAATTCTTGGCTGTTTGACAATGCAAGACGGGGAGGTTTCCAAGCCATGGGCTTGAGCTCGGTGATTTTACCTCATCCTTGTTTCTGATCAGCAAAGTGCGCGCGAGAGAGAGGGAGGGAGTGCTTCTTTGTGCGCATTTGTTTGTTTACATCCCTTTTTTTTACAACAATGGCACAAAATCCGTTTTCTGATCCAGTGACGCATAATGCTTGGCAACAACAAGAATCGAGTGGACCAAAATATGGAAACGCTTACGAAGAAGATGAAATGAATGCATGGCAAGGTGGTGGATGGAATCCACAAGAGAAAACAGAAGCACATCCTATGGAAACCTATTATTCAGCTGATCCTGCTGCTGCTGCTTCTTCACAATCACCGGGCTACTATCAACAACACCACCAACAACAACCTCCAGCAGGAGATGCATATCAACATGATGGCTCTGGTGGATTCGCACATCAACCTATGGATGCCTACCAATTTGCAGGGACTCGTTATGCTAATCAAGCAGATGATCATGCAGCGTCATCACCATCTACTGCCACTGCAGGTGGTGATAGCGGAAAGCATTTGAGTTCGTATTCACGCGTTGCTACCCATGAACGTGCAACGAAGCAAACTGGCGGGAATGCGCATGATGGAGCAAGTGCTACAGCCGTAGCACACACTGGTCGTCCTTCTGTGAAAAGATTGGGTATACGAGTAGCCCAATTGGTGGCTGCTGTAGGCCATCTTGGATTTGCTGCTGGTGCATCCCCTGTAAGTACATCGTACACACTTGCTCTATGTCACTCATTCTTATTATACGACTAGTTTTCTAATCACGATGTTCCATTCTCTGACAAATCTTGCTTTTATTTCTTATGGGCGGTGGTAAGTACTATTACTACTCCCTCAATGCTGCTTTGATCTCATCATTTTGTATATAGGCTATTCTATCCATGATATGGAGCTTTATCAATATTGGTGTCTATGGTTATCGACTTGTAGCGCATGGTCAAAAGTTGCGGCGTCCTATTTTGATAGCTATCGATGGCGTTATGACTGTATTCTGGGGTGTGGGTACTATAGTTGAAATTGCAAAGTTCAAGTGTCCACCGGGTGGATTTGACAAGTGGTGTGATTTCTACAATGTCAGCATCTTTTTCGGTATGCTGAACTTTGTCATGTATCTCCTCACTCTCTTATGGGACTTTTATGGTGCCGTGAAACGACGATAAAGACACACTCCTCCATATGTACTACTCCTTTATCCACATGCCACATGTACCATTGTAATAGAATACATTCATCCCCTTGATCAAAAGCATTGTATATATATATATTTCCATTATCAAAAAGTAAAATGAGACCATACAACTATTTCTCCTATTCTTCTGCCATGGGACTATCACCCTCATTGTGTTGCTGTTGTTGACGTGGTGATGACAAGTGTACGGTGGCGATGGCATCAGCTAATTCGTTCGTTGCCTTGTGGAGAGCAGCTCTTGCACGGAGACGAGATGAGATGATGGGTATTCGAGAAGGTTTATGCACGTGACCAGATCGATGGTGCTTATGATGCGATGTTGATGATCCCACATGTCGTCGTGATACACTGATGCCGTGGTAATGATGCGTATGCTGTCGAGGGGTATAATGTCGTGTGCGAGAGCGTATGGATGATGACGATGATGCTGTTTGTTGAAGGAGACGATTCAATAGACTAGCATGCTGTTGCATAGTAGTTGATGATGATGATGATGATGGTGACTCTTGTTGTTGCTGTTGTTGGTGATGGTGATCATTATCCATATCGCTACTGCTATTTGTCCTAGCTTGCAATGAGCATGGAAGCTTCCCATGGTGTCGTTTAGCAGCAAACACTGAATCGAGTAAAGAAGCATCTTGGGGTGATGGCGGTGGTGCAGCCAAGAATCGCAACTGCTGCTGTTGCTGCTGCTTGATTGGTTCATGGCGACAAGGATCGGCTTGATCGTTGTGAATGGGAGTGGGTCTCACAAGTGCATTGTCGATAGGAGGTGAATGACGACCATCAAGAACAAAGTCCATTTGATAATGGGGAAAGGATAAAAGTGCAAGAGGAAAGGAATAGGTGGGAAGCGGTGAGAAAGAGCTCAGAAAAGGAAGGTCCTGCTGACACATTTATGCAAGTACACACTTGATTACGACCCTTGTTTCCTCCATCTCTCTCTATGACCCATCCTTTTCGATAACAAGATACTTCAAGATAGTGCTGTTTAATATTGAATAAAATCCACAGACACATCGGCTGCATTAGGTAAAAGAGCTACTTCTCCTTCGCTTCATCTTCGTAATGTGGTGATGCACCAATTTCTTCCTATTACCACTATTAACCAGCAATGTCAGGATACGCGGAAAGTGATACGACTTGCTCTGGTCGACTAGCGACGGCTCTCATGTGTTGCGCAAGCTTTGGTCTTCATTGATAGCTTCCAGCTTGAGGATTTTTCTTCATCCGCAACTCATGATTTCATACCATTAGCGTGCCATAAGTCAATTTGATGTCTGACAATCGTTTCAAGATGATGACTTCGATCATGTAGATAGCATGTTCAAGATGGGCAGTGATGAGGATGATTGTACATATGTACATATCGAGTTACAGGGGGACATTGCGTAGAAGACAATGAAAACAACCATCTTTTCAATAACGAAATTACAAAGGCATCAATAAGGAATGACAATTGGTGACTAGTGTATGATAGCTTTTATGTATGAAGCGATCCACTAAATTACTCCCGCATCGATAAGGTGAGACTGACAACAATTTCGACATGTGCTGCTGCGTGACTCCCACTCAAAGTGCCGCATTGAGTCGTTGGTTGTTCCACTCTTCTTCTTTGTTACAGCATGGAGACTCTGCAAGATGTGTTTCAAGGTGCTGCATCCGTCGATGTCAATCAAGTCGAATACTCAGTCTATCTGCCATGCAAGCAAGATCCCAAGGCCATGATGGAGTTTGTGCAGGAGACGCTCGCCATGATCCGATCGATCGTGCAACCTTTCACCGACAAGTACTTGTGGCAAAAGGATCAGTTCCATTTGGCAATCGTACAAGAGAATGGTATGAAGGGTGTTGTTCATGGACCTTCATAGCTTGAAGCTAACGTGGATATCATAGATCCTAGCTATCCGTTTCTGCATGGCACCACGAGGTTTGGCGACTGTATCCAGGACGAGTGGTTCATTGTATTCCTGCTACGACACATCACATTGCATATTGAAGGAGCAGTGGCGACTGTCTATGACAATGATGGCGATGTGTTATTGATTGAAGCAGCTATGGCACTACCAACATGGCTTGATCCTAGCAACAGTGAGCATCGTGTGGGAATATATCAAGGCAAAGCACACATCATCCCTTTACCACGCACTCCAGCTGAATTGATGCAAATACCTGCCAAATTGACCATTGAGCGTGCCATTGACATTATTCGACAACCCATGATATCCACCGTGGCAGAGGATGGTGTTCAACAAGCTATTGAGGATCGATTGATTGATAAGCCAGAGTTACATCGTGCTCGTTGCACTTTACCATCACGCGCTGCCTATGTTTTACTACGACATCCACAATTGTTACCATTGGCAGTGGAGGCATTTTATCTACGTGATCCAGCAGGTCTTAAGGCATGTGCAGCAATGTCGACATTCCCACCAATATCATCCACCAAAGTTCTATTGCCATTCACAAGAACCACCTATGCTCAGACCGTGAGCCAAAAGTTTTATGCACCAAAAGCATTTCGCCTACCGCCTGTATCACAAAAGAAAGAGTATCATGCTGCCGAACTTGGTATGAAGGTTGCATGTGGCCTTGAGATGTTATATCATGAACACCGTGGTGATGAAGCGAGTCAGCAAGAAACGACAATGACACCTGAACGTCAATCCGCATTCAAACAATTCTTGACACGTCTTACACGACTTGGATATTTTCGCAATGAACGACCAGGCTCACGTTTACATAAGCAACTCACTGAGCAAGCACGTCAGCAATTCTTGCAATCGGTGGCTTCCAAGGAGGATGTAGAGGCGGGTAGTTATGTGTTCCCCAATGTGCGACAAACCATCGATGATACCCTGGACACCTTTTCTGAACAATCTCTCAAAGACGTGTTGGAGGCACAAAAGGATGAGGTGGAGGATGATGAAAGCTGGATGAATGTGGATCCCAAACAACTGGAAGAGCTTCTTATGCAACGCATGGGTCGAATGCAAGAACAAATATTCAATGAAGAAGCTCTCGATGGCGAGAATGTGGATCTTGACAAGATGATGGGCCAATTTGAGCAATTCATTGAAGGCAGCAAGAGTGGTTTGGAGGGTGTCAACTTTCCTGGGTAAGTGACATTGTGGATATGGCATTGGGGAATGGGTTATTAACTCGTTTTTCCCTTTAGTGAGGATGATGAGAGTGATCAGGATGATAGCGATTATGATGAAGAAGATGAAGAAGAAGGTGATATCTCATTTGACGCTGAACGATTCATGAGCATCCTCAAGAGTGCACTGGGTGAACCTATGCAGGGAGCTTCATCCGAGGAACAACAACAACCCAAGCAAGCAAATGAAGCACCATCAACACAATCACCTGAGCAACCTGATGAAAAGGAAAGAGACTTGGCAAAGATGATGCAAGAGATGGATTTGGAAGTTGGCAGTCATGAAAAAATTGGTGCCTCCTTTGCCAAACATGACGACGAAGATGAGAATGCGCCTGTGGATGTGTCATTGAATTTGGTCAAAAATGTGCTTGAGAGCTACAAGAGCCAGCAAGGTCTTCCTGGTCCAGCAGGCAATATCCTTGGCCAATTTGGCATTGTTCTTCCAGCTGATGAGGACGATGAATAGTCACGTGATTCCCATTTCCTTGTAACATATACTCTTCCTTAATTTAGTAGACCTGTATATAAAAAAAGTTAACAATCAAAGTTATTCGCAAGTAGTTATTTAATTTCGGTGCTATGGGGTCTATTGAGCAACCAACATCATGGAGCAGCGCACTGGTTTCCCCCCCCTCACGCATCAACGTTATTACGTCCGCCAATCAAAAGTGCTCCACCCATCTCGATCGTCTAGCTCCCCACTATCCGCGCCATCTGCCAACATTAATTTGCCCATTCGACGTAAAATCGTTTTGTAACCAGCAATGCTCATTCATTGATATCGCATATAAAGAAACCTTCAGCGCCAATTTCCTCTCACTACAAATGAGCAATCAAACGTCATGTGCAACATTGATGTTGTTGTCTGCTGCTGTAACGCAGACAAAGTTGTTTTCTTCGTTCACTAAGGAGAGACCTGTTATCACTTGTTGAGGAATTGTTCACCGCATCCATCCACTAGTGCATCAGTACATACACTCATCCCTAGCAATGCCTCCTGAAATACCTACCTCCCTTCCTCAAGAATATAAAAACCCATAATAGTAGATCATTTTCCTAAACAACCCCTCTTTTTCTCTCTCTCTTTATCTCTCGTCAACATCCAACATCCTTCTACATCATCACAAACGTTCGTGTTACCAACATGAGATTCCTATCATTCACATTGATCTTCCTGCTTGCTGTTGCCTGTATGGTCAATGCACGTCCTGCTGGTGACGCTCTCAGCGATACTCTTAAACAAATCGTTGATGCTGTAAACAAGCTATTTTCTGGGAAGGCTACGTGGTTTCGGCCCAAGACTGAGGGCGGCGAGATAGGAAGTTGTGGACCAAAGGAAAGCGATCATGACATGATTGTTGCTTTGGTAACTATAGCTTTGGAAAGCATATATCATCGGCATGAATGTAACACACGTCATCTTTAGAACAAGGAACAATATGGCGATCTGGATGCCAAGAGCTCTTGGTGCGGCAAAAAAGTGCTTATTATGAGTGGAGATAAATGGGTAGATGCCGTAATTACTGATGCATGCCCTGGTTGCGCCAAGTGTAAGTTAAATCGAGGAACATTACAACCCCAACTATGATAGACTAAATATATTACCCCTCCCTTCGTTCTCAATATCCACACTCCCTATCTCAATCTATGTAGATTCACTTGATTTGACACCTGCAGTTTTCAAAAAGCTTGCGGATCTCGACAAAGGCGTGCTGCCCATCACATGGTGTGTGATTGGTGAGAAAGGTTGCAAGATACCAGGCAAGGGTGGCAGTAGCAAAAAGCATGGCAAAGGCAAAGGCGATGATGAAGATGACGAGAACACCTAAATATAACATCAACCTGTTTACCAACCACCACGTTATCTTCATCCACAACCAATCTTGTTGTACGATTACCCTACTCAAAAAACCAACTATACACCGCTTTTCAATGATACCTCCAATGCTTGTTACCCGGATACTACGACGTTGATCAAATCTCCTATTTTCCTTGTCCCTTGCTGAATACCTGCATGTGTCGTGTGATGTGCAAAATGCTCTGCTGCTATGCTCAAGAGCAGTAAAGGAATCTATGGTAGCAGAAGCAACAAATCCACAACCCATGACCATTCATACCACATTTGATCTCTTCTTTTTCACTCCTTTTCTCCCCTTGTCCCCTTTTCTTTGTTTCGCTCTTTGCAGTACTACTTGTTTTTGCACATTTGCATAAAGCCGTTCATATTAGCTTGTTATATCCAGTAATACATTTTACCTTTTGCTACCATACCAATCGCTTCATTCACGATGATGACGATGGCGGGCTTGTTGTGTTTTGCATTCAAGTATCACAAATGCAGCATTATGCAAGACGATTAGGGAGGCACCAGCAGCACCAAGAAAGCTTAAACAACCTTGTGGAATCTGGCAACCAAAACATCCACCCACTCCCGATTCTACAAGCCTGTTCGAATTGTCAGGTTGGGAAGCATGTTTGGGGCTTGTCAATGGGAGGGCAGGGGGGTTTGCAAACATGCATATTGTAGCCTACGTAAAGCAGCATGACGACGGCCATTTGTTGTTGCCTGGCAGATCACACCAACAACAATGGTACTACATAGCAACGCCATGTTGCTATGATACGCTTCTTTCCTTCCCAATACCGGTAATACTATTATCATGTTTCCCACCCATCCCATGTGCCCGCCAACATTCTCTTTTTCTTTGTGTACAACCATGAAAATTGTGTGGTCGATCACATTGATCGATTGTGCGTCATATGCTCATCCTTTTCTGGAATACTACCCGACACGTTATGTTGACCGTCCCATCGGCATTTGCTTTATGATACAAATCGGATCACGTAAAAAAGTGTCGGTGTCAGATTCATCCCCGTGGACCAATGAAAAGGGCATTGCTTACGAAACAACGATAGAAAATCAGATGCGGAGCCCATTAACATGTTTCTCTTTTTGGGCAATTGAAAAGGCTCTCATCTGTGATACCGTGACACTTTTGTGTATATGTTGCGCTTGGGGGGTGTATAAGTGAACAACTGACGACGACCACAACGCCACCATGAATGTCCTTTGTGCTACATTCCTCATATTACTATGAGACTTTACGTGTAGAAAAAAAGAAAATGATGATAGCAAAGACGTAATGTATTGTTGCTTGTTGACTTTTTCCAAGCTATTATGTCATACCTCTCTTTGCTTTTGGATTCTCGATACTTCACCTCCCAAAACGGCAGGTGGCAATATTGGCTAAAGACGTATCGTTCGAGACCACCTTTTAATCACACGGGCTTGGCAAAGTATCCACAAGGTTGTCCAATAGAGTTTTTATGCTGGTTTTGATTATAGGGTGGCGTGGTGGGAACCCCATTTCACACATTGTTGCATATAGGTCAGGTGCCAAATTTTCGGATCGACCGAGACATTCAGGGCCTATTGTTCTTTATTCCCCCCGGATGGCCCTGTAAAGAGTTTTGGTGATGATTTAGAAACATGGCCATCGAAAATGACGCATAAGAATTTTCCATGTGGATCACTTTGTTTCGCGGTGGTATGGGTCGCCAATACAACTTTATGCTTTTCAATCCGATCATCAGCATTCGGGATGCACACACATGGCATTACACAAACGACGATGGAAACACTGTGTAACCTCACTTCTTTTTGGTTTAGTCCTGTCGATCCCACATTCATTTCACCATTGGGTGCCACTCTTTTCTGGACACTGTCACCACTCTCAAATCCATGCACTTGCTTTTCTTAGCATGGCCTGTTGACTTGCCTAAATGTTAAGGGTAGCCATCGGTAATAGCAAGCCCGTGCATAATTGGTCACACCTAAAGATATCGCATTTCCCGCCCTCATGTGCATTAGCCAACATGCACATACCCAACCCCCCGAGTTTGACTCCGGGATTCTAAAAAGTCATCAGGAACGATAACAAAAACACATACCGAGAGGCTTCAGCTCCCCCCTTGAAATAAGGATTGCAGCAACGTATAGTGGGCCGATGTCACGAATGCTGAGATCGTACCATCGTTTGCAGCTTTCATGCACGTGTTCTTCCATCCTCATCCAATGATGTCGACTTCAGTTTTTCTCTTGCTGCAATAGCAATCCTTATGGCCTCCTTAATGCAGGTGGCAACCTTTTTTTCTTCAATCCTTTCTCAGCCATGGAAACTTGATTCAAGGTCATCCAACGCCATCAAGTATTGTATGGGAGATCTCAATCCTCGTTCCTAAAGTAGTGGATGGTAACCATGCGAAGATGGCTATGTTGCTATCCAGCTATGAAAAGCGATACTTGCTGATACTAGGATTTGCTTTAATGAATCATGGTATGTTGTTTTGCTTTGCATTCATGGGAACAAGCTTAGCATCACGCATGATAGCAAATACACATCCACCTACCTGCCACAGATATTGAACGTGTCGATCACTTATTACCATCTCAACGGCTTGCAACGATAATTAGCTTTCGATTTCCAAAAGTAGCTATGTGCAAATGATGGCTTTGTTTCATTCTACACGTTAAACCTCACCTTATCAAACTTTGTTTATTTACCGTTGTATGTCATCACCAGCAAAGTCATTTCTCTTCGTCATCAAGCGTATAAGTTTTTAGCCAAGCTACATGATAGCAATGATTGCCCAATGAACAAAAACGTATACAAAACCAAGAATAGAGGACAAAAGCAGGCATGAACTTTTATATAGTGATCATCAACATGAGCTCATGATCATTTCAACAATCGAGAAATTCAAAACATACATATATGAGAGAGAAGGAAAGGAAATGGAAAAGATAAAAAGAAGCGATAGCGTGTTGTTACAAACGAAGGATGGCTTCTAAACGACTTGCCACTTGATGTCAAGTTCACCGGTATCCAAGTCACCCAACTTCTCGAACACGGTTGGTGTCATATCCAAGTCGCCGAATTTGCATTCTGGGCAGGCATCCTAGAGAAAGAAAAGTCGTTAAGAATGAAAAGATCAACCAGCAAAAATAGTACCCTACATACCTGGATGGTAGCTTGGACGCTTTTTGAGCCAACAGTAATCTTCACTTTTTTGCCACACCATGGGCTCTTTTCGGATGTATCGCCATATTGCTCTGAATTCAAGGCCACAATGAGATCGTCGTCTTTAGTTGAAGTCTCGCATGCGCCTTCATCAGTGGTGCTAAAGAAGGTACCAGTTCCTGAAAACGTCTTTCCAGATGATGGGCCACCAGAGGAGGATGAGGAGGATGAGGAGGATGAACCACTCTTGTCACCTTTCTTGCCACCTTTCTTGCTATCATCACTACTATCACTGCTATCACTGCTATCATCGTCGTCGTCGTCATCGTCATCATCATCATCGTCGTCTCGCTTGTAAAGATCACCACTTGCAGAGCCAGCTGCTTGTAAATCAGCATGTTGCTTGTCACCAGTGACAGCAAAAGAGGGAATGGAAGGGGCAGCGTTGGAACGGCCTGCGTTCAAATCAGAGGCAGCTTGAGATGTCACGAGATCAAGATGTTGTCTATAGTGCAAGATTGCAGCAGCATCAGCCGTTGAGCTAGAGGACCAGCCACCCAGGGTAACGATAGCAACAGCAGCAGCAATAGCAAAGCACTTCATGTTATACAAGATCGATCAAGCGAACCAGCGCAAAAAGATAAAAGAAAAAGAATAAAAGACTAATTCATTTCGCTGTCTTTTCACATTATATAAACGACGCGCGATAAAAGGCACCAAAAGATGAGCCATCGATGATTAGCTTGGTTACTTTTGGCAAGTATCCAATATCAAAGATTTGCAAGCGATCGGTGTATGTACCTTTAGACATTGAGTGATCGCTGTTATTTCGTGTAGTGTGGGTGGGGTGAATAAACAAGTGAAACAATGTCAATGGCAATTGCTGGTTTGATTAGATGGGGGGAGCGTGTGGGAAGTGAAAGGGGATCGCCGTGTCGCGTTGCACAAGAAAATGGCCTCCAGGCTCGGGTAACCAACCCAAAAATATTGAAATGAAACAGGCGAAGCATGTCTTTTTCTCCGTATGACTTCACCCACACCAACCACTCATGCCAGAGAAAAAGGGAGAAGCCCGCCGCCGCTCGTCGATCTTTTTGTCTCGCTTCACACTCACACAGCTTACACATACACACCCACACACCCACACACACTCACACAACGAAAGTTGTGTTCCCGAAAAGCAAAAAGTCACTGACGTCATGCCCTAACTCCGATGCCTGAATAGAAAGCTGTTATAAAATACCATCTCCCCCCTCTTTTTGCTCTTGGTTTTTTCTGCACAATCACTCTCATCCTCTTTTTCTTTTCTTTTATTATTCACCTATGATGATGTATCCACAACAAAGCAGCTTGTTGAGTCGTCGACAGCAACAAAATAGCTACTTGCAACAGCTTGAGTTGCCTCCCTTGTCACAGCTTTTACCCACTTCATCTTCCTCCACGGTCCCTGTCCCTGCAAACAACACATCCTCATCATCCATTGCAGTATCAGCAGCGGCTGCTCCAATTGATTCTAACTCTGTAACCTCTACCTCAACGTCACCATCCAATCCCATTTTGACAACTACCACTGCTACATCGGAGGGTGTATCAGCCATCGCACCTGCCACAGCAACAACAACATCCCAACCACAAACAACCGATGCATCAGCAGCAATAGCTGCAGCGGCAGCAGCTGCATCCAATATGACAAGCAACCCTGTGTACTTTTATCCACCATTGCTGCTTCCACAACAAGCTGCAGGAGCACCCGAGTTGATGATGCCTGGTTTTATGCCTGCAGCGGCACCCAATCCTGCCATGCCTAATGGAACAATGAATCCACAAGCACCGACAACGACGATGGGTGGTCATTCCGATTCATCCGATAAAGTCTATTCATTCGTGTCGATCCCTGGCACCACCCAAAAGAAGCGTCCAAGGAGACGTTTCGATGAAATTGAACGTTTGTACCACTGCAACTGGCCTGGGTGTACTAAGGTATGTATGGGATTGTGATTGGGGGGGAGTAATGGAGAAAAGGATCTTTTGATCGAAACAACATATACTCATTCTTGAATGCTTATATAGGCTTATGGTACTTTGAATCATCTTAATGCCCATGTGAGCATGCAAAAACATGTAAGTTGGTCGTTTGGTCTATAGGAGAAAAAGGAATTGGATGCTGATTGTATACTTTTACAGGGTCCTAAACGACATCCATCCGAATTCAAGGAGATGCGCAAGGAATGGCGACGACAGAAAAAAGAGCGGGAAGCTGCAGCAAAGAAACTAAAGGAGGAAGCCATGTTGCAATTCCAACTTCAACAACAAGAACAAGCTATGGCTGCCATGACAGCAGCGGCTGCCATGGGTACCACTTTTCCGGCCGTGTCCGCTGCAGCAACGACAAACGCAGCAGCAGCAGCAACCATTGCTGCTACAACTACCCCATCTACTACTACGATCCCTCCATCTATTACTTATCATGATCCACTCACTGGTTTTTATTGATTTATTCATTCATTCATCATTTGTACACACTCTTGACACCATCCCCCCACCTATTGTGCATACCTCTTTTTTTTCTCATTTTCGATGCTGGCATCTCTTCCTTCGTACCCAAACTTCTATAGCCTTTTACTTCACGCCATATACGCTCCTTTTGTTTGTATAACGTCATCCGTTCATACCACTACCTTTTGTATAAAAAAGTATGAGATTTCTTAAAAGATGATGTTGATGATCATTTTTCATGTGATACAAAACAATAACACACCCCCAATGCCCCGAGTCAAAAGGGGGATAGTACAAAACCATATGCTATCACACAAAATGCGTGCGCGTCTCACTGTACTCTCGTTCTTTCTCTGGTCGCTCGCTCTGTATGCTTTTGCATAGGGTTTCCATGCACCGAACAGCGACGTCTTGTTCTCCCCCAAGATAAACTTGGCACTTGTCGACATGTGGAATGGTCACCCAGCTTGTCGGGTATCTTTCCCCCGCTGTGACAACATATGCGTCAGCATTTGATACTAATGTGCCCATCTTTTTCCAATACGCATCAACCCCCCATGTCTATGTGTGTGTTTTTTTCTCATCGGTTCCACATCGTGTCTCAAGAGTAAGGATGCATGCGTGTGTGGTGGTGGAAGCTGATGAGGATGGGGGTGAAAGAATTGGG